TGCTATTGTTAATTGATATTGCATATCTTATACCTGCCTATAGCTTGCTAGTGTATTTGTTTAGTTATTAGCATCAACTGCTGGTGGTGTACCCTTTTCTTCTCCCTTCCTCCTTCCTATATCTTGTATGATTTGCCTTTATTGAACCCCTCTTCTTTGGCCAAACATCTCCTCTCCCGTAACTCTCGCTATGCCTAGGGTTCCTACTCTCATAGCCTATGCTACTATCTTAACAGCTTTTATCAACTCAGTCATTTTACATTCACTCTGACATGAGATTCAATCTTCCGCTGCAAGACTACTCTGCGATCAACCCTGAGCGATCCTTCGCTAAAGTCCCACTTGGGATTGTAACAGTTTCTTAACTATGGCCGGAGAATTCTCGGAAACATTTATTTAAATAATTATTTCAACAGCCTCATATTTACAAAAGATGGACATTCACTACTTTTGATGTTGGGATAGCTACATTTAGCGTGTAGAATGTCTCGTTCATTTGATAACTCCGCTGAAGTTGGCACCACCACCTTCCATGTCCGTCGACTTTAGATCCAATGGCAAGGCAGATCTCATTTTCCACCAATCGTGTTCAAGGAGAAGTTCGATTTCTCCCTATGTCAGCACGCCAAGCATGCCACAGCGAAACCTCCTTGCCACGTCAATTCACCCCTTCGCCAGCACTAAACTTGGGCCAGAGAATCCCGAGCCGCGTCACTTGAATGATTATTCACGCACGCATCGCACACTCGGAGAAGAATTCATCGAGTTTACCTTGGTTCTATCCCACACAGCACCACCTCCAGTTGACTACAACAAGGGCATAGCCCAAGTGAGATGTTATTGCTATCGACATTCCAAGTTTTAGGATCCGTCTCTTCTATAGAAAATTGGCTGTCAGTGACTTGGCGAACAAAGGCTCGTGATGGCGTTCAACCTTCCGGCGCAGAAGTTTCCACGCATCGATGGGAAACCAGGCCTGTGGCAGCCTTGTTCGCAAAGAGGCCCCGGGCGTTGGTCGAACGTCGTATTTCCAACTTGGAATCATCGTATCGAGACGGATCTGTGCACCTCGGGAGTACCGGCTTGTACGCCTCAAATCAGAGCTCTTCCCTCGCGCCTGTTCGCGACGCCCATGCGCCAATCCTTTTCGCTTCTTCCGCGCCGCCGTCCGTCATTCAGATCCGCCATGCCGCGTGAGCTTCCTGACACCGCCGCTGGTTCACCCGCCCGGTCCCCCTTCTCACCCGTGCCCCTCTCTACTACTTCCGGCGGTTCCCGCGCCCCAGCCGCGTCGCTTCCCGCAGCCGTCGCGTCATTAGCCACCGGATCTCCCACCGAAACGCCCCCTCTGCCGCCGCTCCTCCCCGGAACAGTTCCGCAATGGCTCCGCCTAATGTCCGCGGAGGCGCGTTCCGCGCCGCCGGTGCAGATCCTCCAGCTCGAGGCGCGCCCCCTCAACGTGCCGCTCCGCGCGCCGTTCACCATCGCTTCCGCCACCCTCTCCGCCGTCCCCAACGTCGCCATCCGCGCGGTGCTCCGCATGCCTTGCGCAGGGGGGAAGCGGGAAGTGGTGGAAGAGAAATATGAATCTGGATCTGAGGAAACGGGAGTGTTTGGCTGGGAGGGCGACGGGTGGGGGGCGGAGGAGAACGGGGGAAGCGGCAAAATGATCGAGGTGGTGGGGTGGGGGGAAGCACCTGTGCTGCCGTCAGTAACGGAGGAGGACCAGGAGACGATTCTAGAAGCATGTGCGCGCGCGCGGGACTGGGTGGTGGCGCAGCCGCCCATGCGGTGGCATGAGCTGCTGCTGCGGCTGGAGCAAAGGGTTCTGCCTGGCCATGGGCTCGCTTCGGTATGTCATTCAGTATGCATTTAATATTTCGGGTCTTGGATGGGCGCATGTGATATTCGTCGTCGCATGGTGGTGTGATATAGTATGTGGGGTGGGGATGATGGAATTCACTCATATTGAGTGGCACGGCAGAGAATGATGGCGTATGCGTTCAGAGGGCAACGGCGTCCTTGTACCGGCTGCGAAGAAACGGAAGGGAAAGCATCTGCAAGTCTGTACCATCTTGCCTTACAGATCTCTGACTTATCTTCTATTTGCGTGTATTCTGAGATAGGAAACAAAACAAAGCACACGTCTATCTGCTTGTGGCAACGTCATCCATGCTTCCTTTCTCTCCTCCCCCCTCCTTCCCTCGCTCCCAAGGCACGTGCGGGAGTGGAAATGGCCGTTCTAGACGCGCTTGCATCGGCACTCGCGCTGCCGCTCTGGCGCCTCTTCTCCCCATCCTGCCGCCCGCTCTCCACTGACATCACCGTACGTCTCAAGTTAGCACGGTGATCAAAGAGAGGCATGGGAAACAATGAAGGGGCTTCGGGGTGTGATTTGTGAATCTGCAGGCGCGCTTTCATATGCTCCTTTCTCGTCCATTCCCTTCTCCTCCCCAAAACCTTTTCTGCTCCCTCTTCTCCTCTCCCCCCCCTTCCCCCCTGTCCCCCTGCGCGCATCAGATCCCCATCTGCTCGCCAGAGTCAGCAGAGTCTCTTGCGCGCTCCTACCACTCCCAAGGCTTCTCCTGCTTCAAGATCAAGCTCGGCGCGCTGCCCCCTTCTCACTCGCCGCTCCCTGTACATGCGCTGCAAGAGCTCTCGTTACAGCCGTCGGTGGACGAACTTGCGCATGCAGGGCAGGGTCAGGATGAGAGAGAAAGGAGCGGGAGGGAGAAGCGGCGCTGGGGGGAGGGGAGGGAGGATGTGGGAGTGATGGAGGGGTGGGAGGCCCAACTGGTGCAGGCAGATCTGGAGCGGGTGGCGGCTGTGCAAGAGGCAGTGCCGCACTGTTGCCTGCTGCTGGACGCGAATGGGGGCTACCGCACTGCTGCTGCTGTCCTGCACCTGCTCTCGCGTCTTGCAGGTGACCGCAGCTGCTTGCGTGCTGTGGATCTGCTCTCTTCTGATCGCTTTTGAGGCGCCTCAAAAGTCTGCTTGCGTGCTGTGGATCTGCTCTCTTCTGATCGCTTTTGAGGCGCCTCAAAAGTCTGCTTGCGTGCTGTGGATCTGCTCTCTTCTGATCGCTTTTGAGGCGCCTCAAAAGTCTGCTTGCGTGCTGTGGATCTGCTCTCTTCTGACCGCCTGCTGCTCCCTTGTGCTCGCTCAGCGAGCCTTGTGCTCTCATTTGTGAAAAGCATCACTGTGCTCCCTCCATTCTTCCTAATTCACGGCTTATAAGAAGACTCCAAATCGCTTCAGCACCCCATGTCCCTGCCTCATTGCGCCATTACCTCTCTTTCATTTCCCCCCTCCCTTGTCCCCCCTTCCCCTCTTCCCTCCCTGCCCTCCCTGCTCTCCCTGCCCTCCCTGCCCCCAACCAGAGCACGGCATATACCCACGGGTGTTGGAGCAACCCTTCCATCGCAGCAACTGGCCGGCCATGCACTCCCTCACAGCCACTCTCTCCCTCCATCACGCCACCTCCTGCCGCACATCGCCATCACCTGCAGCAGCACATGCGGCGGCGGTGGTGGTAGCAGATGAGAGCTGCCGGGGCGAGGGGGACGTGTGGCGGATCGTGCACGAGGGAGCAGCGGCAGGCGTGAACGTGAAGCTGGCCAAGACAGGCGTGGTGGGCGCGCTGAGAGTCATTGCTGCGGTGCTGCGTGCGAATAGGGCGCAGGGGAGGAGCGGAGAGCCGCTGCAGCTGATGATTGGGGGCATGGTGGAGACCCGCCTTGCCATGGGGTTTGCGGCGCACATGGCTGCTGGACTCGGGTGCTTCCAGTGAGTCTTTTCCACACACTGTTTCTTCACCTGTATCTGCTCACGTGTCTCCTCCTCTCCTAGACACTGCTGCTGGTTGTGGCCCCCATGCTGGTCCTCATGCTGCGTACAGGGGCATGTCCCCGCTGCAGCACCTCTGCGTGATGTGTGCAACGCTTATTTGTGTGCGTGTGTGTGTGTCACTCTCTCTCTCTCTCCTCCTCCCCCTCCTCCCCTCCTCCCCTCCTGACCTCCTCCCTCATTTACGTCTCGGCTCTGTGCCTTTCTCTCCGTGCGTGAACTCCTCATGTACTGTTGGTGCAGGTGGGTGGATCTGGATACACCGCTGCTGCTGGCTTCAGACCCTGTCGAGGGGGGGTATACAAGTGAGTCATGCCACATCGCATCACACAGCATCACATGCACCCCCTCACATCACATCACATCACATCACATCACATCACATCACATCACATCACATCACATCACATCACATCACATCACATCACATCACATCACATCACATCACATCACATCACATCACATCACGGGGTGTCTCTGTCACGGCATTGCAGCCTCGTCTCTCCCACTCATCTCACCCACTCATCCACTCATCACTCCCTCTCATCCACGCATCTCTCCCACTCACTTCAGTGCTGCGCACTGCTTCCTCTCCACATGCTGTCTCTCTAACCCTCTCATCTCTCTCCTCTTTCTTCCGCACATTCGCCTGCCACCAACCACACAATGCAGTGGACCAGGACAGGATCATCTTCCCTCCAGGCCTGGGCCATGGGGGCTCACTGCATTGGCCAACCCAAGCAGCACAGGAGCAGAGCGAATGGTGAACGAATGTCACTCTGGAGGATTGGAGCAGAGAGAATAGCTATTCTGGAGGAATGGTTCAGAATAGAGAGGATGAGATTCTGTCATCTTGCATGTTGTGCATATTGCCTCTAAACAGCTGTGTATATAAGTATCTAATGTTCCATTATTCCTTTTGCCTCGACATACTGGTAGTCCAGAACAGTCCCTTCACTCACATGCTTCACATTAGCATCCACTCTGCCTCAAACTACAAGATAAGGCACAAAGGCCTAGCAGAGTAGTGTATCGCCGTTACACACGCAGGAACTTCACCAAATCCCGTTGCGAGCTACCCTATTCCAGGTTAAGGGTGGTGCTCTGCAGCACCTCAAACTAGGGCCTTCGGGAACCTGTCTGACCCGCCTCCCTCACGCCCCATCAGCAGCATCAGCAACATGAACCACATCATCATCCTCACCATCATCAGCATCATCAGCATCATCATCATCACCATCACCAGCAGCAGCACCATGAGCAGCAGCAGCACTGCCAGCAGCAGGGCGCCATACAAAGACGCGTCCACTGGCGCTACCACCAGCGATGATGGGCAGCGAGGGGTGCGTGGCGAGGCGAGCAGGAATGGATGTCATGTGCTCCGGGCTGCTGAGAGCCGGCAGCCATGTGCCTGAAGTCACAGAGAGGATATCCAGAGTCCGCCCCATGCCTCCCACCACCACGTGCTCACTGCCGCTAACCCAATCGGCTCTGGGGGATACGGAGGGAGGGGGGTGAGGAGAGGAGGGGGGATGAGTGGGGTTGGGAGCCATGTGCTGGAGGCAACAGAGGGGTCGCCCAGACGGCTCTGGGGGATACGGAGGGAAGGGAGCTAAGGGATTAAAGTTAGGGATTTCTGGTAGTGTGATGAGTGGGACAAGTGTGATGGATATTTGTGTGCTTCCCATTGTTTGCATGGATAATAACGAAAAATAAAATGGTGAGTTCTCAAGGTGGTGAATTCCCAAGATTTGAGGGATCACCTGAAGGACGAGACCCATCGGCCTGTCTGGTTGTTGTGCTTCTTTGATATGTGCGGCTGGTGCAGGGGAGGTGAGGGCGGAACAATGAAAGAGGATGCAGAAAGAACGAGAACTTAAGGAGGAGAGGGGACTGGAAAGGCCCGGGAGGTGAGATAAACGGGCAGATAGCATGATAGAGAACCAGGCCGTTTGTGCATACAAGCTTGCCACACCACAACGGAGTGGGCTTCAAATGAGGCAGACAAGTAAGAGGCGCTAGACTGCTGAAGCACGCTTGAGGGGGATGAGAGGGGGGGTAAGTGGGGGCGAGAAGGCGTGGGTAGGTGCGGGCTTGAGGGGAAACCTTGGGACTTGCAGGAGTGGACTTGGAGGGTGCGAGAACGGCTTGCTTCCACTGGTCCCTGGTCCACAGGCGAATGGTGTCATCGTAACTGGCGACGGGGCAAGGGGAGGAAGCGGTTAGAGAAGTGGCGATGAATTGGGACAAAAGCAGTGAAAAGAACGGAGGAAAGTGGAGGGGAGGTGAGAATGCGAGAGGTGCAGGAGGGAGGGGTGCAAGAGGGATGCAAGGGGCAGCAGGTAAGGGCGCACACCTGGTGGAGACGAGAAAGGCCCCATCAGGTGAGAAGTATGCAGAGTTGGTTGCACGGGCATGGGGCAGCTTCATGAGAGGAGTCACTGATGACGCAGAATGAGCTGCGCGAAACAATGAAGTCCCACCACTCGCTCCCTTCCCTTCCTCTGTCTTCCTCCGCTTCCCTCCTCCTCCTACGCCTCCTCCGCCTCCCCCTCCTCCTCCCCCTCCCCCTCCCCCTCCCACCATCTTCCGCACATCCCACAAGCACACAGTCCTATCAGTAGACGCCGTGGCAATAATTTCCTCCTGCCCGGGGCAGAAATTAATCGTGCAGACCTTTTTCTCGTGAATTTCCCAGCTGCCCACAGGGCCCCCGTGGGCTGCCCGGGGATCAAAGGCAACCAGGTGACCGGAGGAGGTTCCGAGGAGGAGGAGGGGCGAGAAGGGCGAGGAGGGCGGGGAGGGGGTGAGGGTGGAGAAGGAGAATTGGGAGGAGGAGTGCAGCAGGAGGAAGGACGCCCGGGTCACGTCCAGACAGCGGAGGGTTCCGTCGTATGAGGCCGTGTAGACCTGGTGGAGTGGGGTGGGAGAGGAGTGGTGAGAGGAGATATGCATGGGCAGAGGAGGAGGAGACAGACGGCCACTGGCAGTGTTCGAGTGAATGAACGAGTGATGAGCAAAGCAAGAAAGGTAAGAGAACTAGGAGAAGTAGAGGGGAGGAGGGGAGAGAGGCGACTGACATTGGAGAGCGAGAGAGGGCAGTGGGCGAGGCCTGACACCGGGTTGCGGTGCGGCCAGAAGGTGAACATGCCCGTCGCACCCTCCGATGCCCTGCCGCCGTTGCTGCCATCCGCACTGCTGTTTCCAGTTACACCAGCAGCAGCGCAGCTGCGAGCGTCCATGTCCCCCAGGTCCCACACGCCCACCTGCCCTGCCTTGTCCCCTGCCACCACCACCAGACGATCCCTGGCATGGGGGGGAAGCGGAAGCGAAGGGAAGGGGGGAAACGGATGGGAGGTAACAGAAGGAAGAGGTTAAAAGGGAGGGAAGGGATGGGAAATGACATGTGGAACGCCATAGGGATGGGAGGAGGGTACGGATGGGCAGAAAGTGATACGGGCGCAGGACGAGGTGAGAGGAAGACACAGATTGAGAGACCAGGGGTGACCAGTGGGGCCATTTGTGATACGATCAGGCAAAGACCATCCTTCCTTGTTGAGGTAGACATAGAGCATAGATATATACCGGAAGGGCAGCATGATGACGTTGTGGATCCGCTCCTTGGTCAGCTTGCACACATCACCCTCCGCCAGTTGCAACCTCCCCGCCTGCACCGCCTCCCTTGCCCGCCCCTGCTCCCTCAACTCTTCACTCTCTCCCCCTTCCTCCCCCGCCTCCCTCTTCACAGCACTCCCCTTCACGCCATGCACTCCGTTGACCTCTCCTTCTTCCACCCCGGTTGTTCCTCGCCCCTTCACTCGCTTTCCAGAGAGTGGCAACCGCCGCACGCCCCCCACGCCATCGCTTATTTCGTCAGATTCCGCCTTCTCCGTCTCTTTTCCCTTCCCCCTCCCGCCCCGCTTCGATCTCCGCACGCCGCCCTTCTCCCCCTCAGGAGGTTCGACAAGACTCTCCCCTTCCGCCCCGCGGTCCCCCTCTCCTTTGCTCTCCTCTTCCCCCTCCTCCCCGCCCTCGTCCCCGGACGTCTCTTCTGTCTCTAGCACAAAGCCCCGCGGGATCATGCGCGCGCGCAACACGCGCATGAGCGCCGCGTCCTCCTCCGCCTCGCGGTTCAAACTCCGCGCGGTCAAATGCCCCTTCAGCGCAACCTCTTCCGCGATGACAGCGCCAACGTTCGCGGAAACAGTCCCCCCGGTTCCCCCGCCATCCGCAGGGGTGTTTTCCGGAGCCATGCCGCGGTTGCGTAGGGATCGGCGCAAGGGCTGTTGCGGTTCCGCGGGCTGGGGCTTGGGGCGGGAACTGCGCGGGGGAAGACATGGCGCGGAGGACAGGAAAGAATGAGACGAGGAAGCGGAAAGAGGAGAAGGCGGAGAGAAAGGAGTAGGAAGCAGAGGAGGATAATTAGGCGGGGAGATTGTCAGGGCGTTGAGAGTGAAGCAAGCGCGTGTGCAATATAAATGGACCTCAGTCCAATATAAAGATCTCTAGTTCTTCGATAGTATAATCCGCGCTAAGAGCCCTGTCCCACGTACGGCGCTGCGCGCTTCTTGGCGGCGATCGCGGTGGTGAGGTCTTCCGCGGACGCGGTGACGCCGAGCTGGCGGAGCTTCGCCGCATTGCGCTCCTGGATCTGCTGGCGCAAGCGCTCGTACGCCGTCAACCCGCCCTCCGCCTCCTCCATGCGCGCAATTTCGAGAGGCGGAATACTAGTAACCGTGTCTTACTAGACTATACTGGACCGTACCAGACGGTAACAAACGTTATTAAAAGAGCACGAAACGGGCGATTGAGGTAAATTGGGATGCCGACGTGTGGTAACTAAGCGTCAGCAGAAAGCACACACTGTGTAAGTTTTTTTCATCCGGAGCAGCAGCAGCGGCAGCAGCGAACAAATCACTACTCTTGTGACGGGGTTGGTGCTGTGTTGGAAAAGCGGGGGAAAGACGAGGACGAGAATACTGGCACTCCAAGAAAGAGAGGGCAGCGGTCTTTGGTTATGTGTGAGCGAGGGGTGGAGGTGCGCAGCGGGTGGTACAAGTGTGGAGCGGAGAGAAAGGAGGCTTCAAGCAGACGAGAGGAACGACGAGACGAAAATTCAAACGAGGAAATGGTTGGCGAATGGAGGGACACGCAGTTCCCCGCCAAAAAGTCGCGCGCACCAGCAGCACTCACGTTTCCAAGTTTTGAGGCGTCAAAATGAAACTCTACTGTTTGTAAGATTTAAGTCTGTGCTCATTCTGCAAACAGAGTAACGAAGCTCTCCGCAGCGAAACTTTCCAACAATTTCGCGAACTGGTGTATTGGGTTGGCTGCTTACAGCACAGCCTTCGATTCCTACCACCGCAACTCTCGCTGCGACGCCATTACTCAAGATCAGGGCTAATTTTTGCATTTGAGCTACCCTTATTATCAGTGTAGTACAAGTGCAAAAACCTGATTATCAGTGTTACCCCTTGTAAAAACCCTGATGCATCAGGGTTTAGGCTGTTTTTTGTAAAATCTACCCTGTCGCATCAGTGTTCGTAAATGACAAACCCTGGTGAATTGTTTTTAAAGCTGAAGTATACATTTGTCAGCAGGGTTCAGGGTTTAGGGAGTGAGCCCCACAGGTTTGGGGCAACTTTTCAAATTTCAAAAGTTTTTGAACCCTTCCTTTCAAATGTATACCGCAGCTTTAACGTTGCAATCAATACAAATTTTAGTCATCATCATCAGACATGCCACAAATGGGGGGGTGGGGGAACTGGGGGGCGGTTTCGGTTTCGCCAGTTGGCAATCGGGATTCGGGAATCCCGGGTTACGGGAAAGGGGGGGTGGGGGAACTGGGGGGCGGGGGGGGGTATGGGTCTCGATTCAGGGTAAAACTCATTATGGAAATCGGGAACCCTTAGTCATCAGTGTGCCTTAAATGTAAACCCTGGCACATCAGGAAAATCTTGACTCCTAAAAAATTACCCGGGACCATCAGTGTGACTACCAAAAACCACTCTGATTATCAGGGTATCAGGGTGATTTACACTGATAAAATTAGCCCTGCTCAAGATATAGAAACCGTCGTGAAATCCGTTCGTCATTCATATTATCTTCACTTCCTTTCAGAAAACGTTGCACAGGTTGCATTGCAAGGTGCGGGGAGGGCGGGCGGGGGGAATCCGGAGGAGGGGCTGGGAGCAATGGTGGGAACGGAGAGGGGCGCGGAGTGACGAGGGGGGAGCGGGGGTGGATCGGGGAAACGAGGGCGCGAGGGGGGGCGCGGGCGCGGGGGGGGGGCGAGGGGGAGGGGGAGGGCGCGGTGGGGTTGACGCCGTACGTGCGGCACATGGAGATCTCAGTGGTGTCAGAGGCTGTGTGTCGTGGCATCATCTCGCCCTCGCTCTACTTTGTTGACAACCAGTGAGTCTCTCCCGCGCGTGCGCCGCGCACGATCGTGCGCTAATGGCCGCGCACCTCCCCTGTCTCCCGCCTCCCATCTCTCGTCTCTCGTATCTCATTGGCCACCTCACTCCATCCTGCCCTTCCCTCGGTAACCTTGCCACCCGCCCTCCCAACCGTTTCCACATTCTCCTTTCGCAGCCCTTGCCCCGTCCCCTCTCTCCCATCTCTCCCCGCATCTCCCCACTCCCCTCCACTCCCCCCACCCTCCATCTCCCCTTCCCCCCATCGCCCCCACCGCTTCTTCCCCCCCAGGCAGTCCATAGCAGTGGTGGCGGATCTGCGGGGGGGCCAGCGGCGGGTGCTGCTATTCATGCCGCGCCACGGGCTGGGCAACAGTCTGCGCGGCTACGTCTCCGCGTTCGTCTATGCCCGGCTGGCTGGCCGCCGCCTCGTGCGCCTGCACGCTGCCGAGCATGCCAAGGTGCTGCTGGGTGCTGGGTGGTGGGGATGGGTGCTGTGTGCTGGTGCTCTGTGTAGTGGGTGGTGGGGGAAATTCTACGGGTGATGGGCAGAGGGTAGAGGGCGAGGCTCATGTGCCGGGTATATCACACGCTGTGTGCGGCGTTCACCTGCGGGTTCGACGCCATCCGGTGGTCCAACGAGTCGGGCCCATGGGGCGGCACCATGGGTGTGTACCGCCAGCTGGAGCTGCTGCAGCCCGTGCAGCTGCAGTCCGCCTTCAAGACGTCCGGCAGTCAGTCCCCAAACTCTCATTCCCGCTGCTGCTCTCCGCTCTCTCCTGCCCTGTCCTGCCATGACCCTGCCTTGCAGACTCACACTTGGCATACCTGCTGCCATGGCCCTGCCTGGTCATCTCCCCTCCTGATATCCCTGCTACCTTACTGTGCTCGCATGCTGTCTATGTCTCTGCCGCTCCACCCAGTCGGTCACTGTCTCCTTCCTTCTTTAATTCCCCTCTCTCCACTCCCGCCTGCCAGAGATAAAGAGCAGTCTGGGCTTCACAGGCCCCATCATGCTGAGCAAGTCACCGTCACACTTTGACGGCTTCTGGCAGCTGTACCCGCGCGTGCAGGCCTGTGTCTTCTCCGCCTTCCGCTGCTCCTCCCTCTGGTGCGTGCACTCCCGCGCCATCCACGAACTCATTCTCGGCCCCTCACGCCTACTGCAAGAGGTCGTGGGGCAGGTGCTGACAAGCGACCAGCAGAGTCGTGTATCGCCATTACACACACGGGAACTTAACTGAATTCTGGTACAATATTGCAGGCTACAATAGGTGCTCTGCACCACACCACCTCAAACTAAGGCCTTGGGGTCCCGCCCGTCTCATCTCATCCCACCCTCCTCACGCCCCATCGGCAGCATCACCGGCAGCAGCGATATCAACAGCGTCATCATCACTACCATCACCATCACCGCCACCATCAGCAGCAGCAGCAGGGCGCCACACAAAGACACGGCCACTGGCGCCACCACCGGCGATGATGGGCAGAGAGGGGTCAAGGCGAGGCGTGCAGGGATGGAGGTCATGTGCTCTGGGCTGGTGAGAGCAGGTAGCCATGTGGCTGAAGCAGCAGAGAGGATATCCAGGGAGTGCCCCATGCCGCCCACCACCACGTGCTGACTGCTACTCGTCCACATGGCTCTGAGGGATAAGGAGGAGCATGAGAGAGGAGGGGCGATGAGTGGGGTTGGGGAGGGGAGGCGAGAGGGAGCGAGTGGGTGGGAGGTTTGTAGGGGTGAGGGGGAGGAGAGAGGGTAAGCGGATGGAGTAGGGGGATGGAGTAGGGATAGCAGGTAGTGCAATGAGTGTTATAATTGAGATAAGTGTGATGGATGGATGCACAGGGTAGTACTGTGTGTCTGCCCTAAGAGCCAAGGTGATCAATTTGCGCCATTAGATAATTCACACATTCATTTACTTGTTGCCTGCTCAATCGGAGGAAGCAAAGCCGTGCATGCCAAAGGTTTGAGGGGTCACCTGAAGGACGAGACCCATTTCCCGGTGAGGTTATTGTGCTTCCTTGATAGGTGCGGCTGGCGCAGGGCAAGGCAGGGGAGCGACAGAAGGGGATGCGGGAAGGACGTGAGCTTGAGAAGGAGAGGGGCAGAGAAGTCCGACCATGCTACTTTTGAGATGCCTTGTAAGTAAAAAAACGGGCAGATGGCGACAGACAAATAAAAATAATGATAGCGAATCAAGGAGCTTGTGCACACAACAGAAGCTTGTTGTGACAAGTGAGAGACGATAGGCCGCTGATGCACGCGTATGGAGGTGGGGAAGTCAAGTAAGAGCGGAGAGAAAATGAGTGGGTTTTAAAGGGGTAACCTCGGGGCATGCAGGATCGGACTTGGAGGGTGTTGACACGGCTTGCTTCCACTGGTCCCTGACCCACAGGCGAATGGTGTCATCGTAACTGGTGGTGGGGGCAAGAGGAGGGTTTAGGGTTTGAAGCGGTGGTGGGTTGAGACAGGAGCAGCAAAACAAACGGACGGAGGTGGAGGGTAGGTGAGAGAGTGGGACAGGTGCACGAGGGAGGCGTGTGAGAGAGGTGCACGAGGGAGGCGTGTGAGAGAGGTGCGCAGGCCAGCATGCAAGAGAACACACCTGGTGGAGACAAGGAAGGCCCCATCAGGTGAGAAGTACGCAGAGTTGACGGCGAGGCTGTGCGGCAGCTTCATGAGAGGAGAGACTGCTGACGCGGAATGAGCTGCGCGGAACAATATAGCCCCTCCCCCCGCTCCCTGCCCTTCGCCCTCTGCCTTCCTCCGCTTCCCTCCTCCTCCTCCTCCTCCTCCTCCTCCTCCCCTCCCTCCCCCTCCCCTCCCTCCCCCTCCCCCACCCACCATCTTCCGCACATCCCACAAGCACACAGTCCGGTCAGTAGAAGCCGTGGCAATAATTTCCTCCTGCCCGGGGCAGAAGTTAATCGTGCTGACCTTTTTCCCGTGAATTTCCCAGCTGCCCACAGGGCCCCCGTGGGCTGCCCGGGGATCAAAGGCAACCAGGTGACCGGAGGAGGTTCCGAGGAGGAGGAGGGGCGAGAAGGGCGAGGAGGGCGGGGAGGGGGTGAGGGTGGAGAAGGAGAACTGGGAGGAGGAGTGCAGCAGGAGGAAGGACGCCCGGGTCACGTCCAGACAGCGGAGGGTTCCGTCGTATGAAGCCGTGTAGACCTGGTGTTTGGAATGGGAGGGGAGTGGTAAGTGGGGAAGGGGAAGTTGGGGTGGGAAGCGGAAGGGAGGATTCGACAATAGAGGGCAGAGGAGGAGGAGACGGAAGGCCAATTGCAGGGTTCGAACGACATGGAAAGCAAAGAAAGGTAAGAAGCTTAGGAGAAGTAAGGCGAGGAGAGGGAAGTGGGAACTGACATTGGAGAGCGAGAGAGGGCAGTGGGCGAGGCCTGACACAGGGTCGAAATGCGGCCAGAAGGTGAACATGCCCGTCGCACCCTCCGATGCCCCTCCACTGCTGCTGCTGCTGCTCCTGCCATCCACAGAGTCACCGCCTTCAGCACTACCGCTTCCAATCGCAGCAGCAGCAGCAGCAGCAGCGCAGCCGCGAGCGTCCATGCCCCCCAGGTCCCACACGCCCACCTGCCCTGCCTTGTCCCCTGCCACCACCACCAGACGATCCCTGGCGTGCAGGAGGGAACGGAAGGGAGGGAGGGAAGAGAAGGAGGGAAGGGTGGGAAATGGCATGGGCAACGTGATACGGGTGCAGCGTGAGCGTCCATGTGGCCGGGTTGTGATAAAGGAAAGGATTCTGACACGGGTACCATAAAACCACCTGCCCTGTCTCGACCCCTGCTACCACCACCAACGGGACTCTCGCGTGCAGCACAGGGCGTGAGGGGAAACAAGGGGTGGGCGACAAGAAGTCATAGGGGCGCGGGACGAGGTAAGAAGGTACATAGTTCTTGAGCAACCAAGGGTGACCAGTAGGGCGATCAAGAAACAACAAAGTGAAGAGGGTTCGTTCGTGTCGAGGTAGGCACAGTGTGTGCAGCATACCGGAAGGGCAGCTTGATGACGTTGTGGGCAACGTGAGCGACCATGTCCCCAAGGTCCCACACGCCCACCTACCCGTCGTGCCCCGTGCTTCCACCAGCATACCGGAAGGGCAGCTTGATGACGTTGTGGGCAACGTGAGCGACCATGTCCCCAAGGTCCCACACGCCCACCTACCCGTCGTGCCCCGTGCTTCCACCAGCATACCGGAAGGGCAGCTTGATGACGTTGTGGGCAACGTGAGCGACCATGTCCCCAAGGTCCCACACGCCCACCTACCCGTCGTGCCCCGTGCTTCCACCAGCATACCGGAAGGGCAGCTTGATGACGTTGTGGGCAACGTGAGCGACCATGTCCCCAAGGTCCCACACGCCCACCTACCCGTCGTGCCCCGTGCTTCCACCAGCATACCGGAAGGGCAGCTTGATGACGTTGTGGATCCGCTCCTTGGTCAGCTTGCCCACATCGCCCTCCGCCAGTTGCAACCTCCCCGCCTCCACCGCCTCCCTAACCCACCCCTGCTCTCTAATCACCTCACTCTCCCCCCCCTCCTCCCCCGCCTCCCCCTTCACCGCACTCCCCTTCACGCCATGCACCCCCTTTCCTCTCTTGCCCTCTTCCTCTTCCACTCCGGTTGTTCCTCGCCCTTTCACTCGCTTGCCGGACAGTGGTAACCGCCGCACGCCCCCCACGCCATCGCTCACTTCATCAGATTCCGCCTTCTCCGTCTCTTTTGCCTTCCCCCTCCTGCTGCGCCTCTCGCTCCTCCCGCCGTCCTTCTCTCCTTCATGTGGTTCGTCAAAACTCCCCCCTTGCGCCCCACGCTCTTCTTCTTCTCGTTTGCGCTCTTCTCCCCCCTCCTCCCCGCCCTCGTCCCCGGACGTCTCTTCTGTCTCTAGCGCAAAGCCCCGCGGGACCATGCGCGCGCGCAACACGCGCATGAGCGCCGCGTCCTCCTCCGCCTCGCGGTTTAAACTCCGCGCGGGCAAATGCCCTTCCGGCGCATCCTCTTCCGCGATGGCAGCGCCAGCGCTGGCGGAAACAGCCCCCCCGTCCCCCCCGCCATCCGCAGGTGCGTTTTCCGGAGCCATGCCGCGATTGCGGAGGGATCGGCGCAAGGGCTGTTGCGGTTCCGCGGGGTGGGGCTTGGGGCGGGGACTGCGCGGGGAAGGGCATGGCGCAGTGGACAGGAGCACACGGGAAATAGGAAGCGAAAATCAGAGAGAAGCGGAGAACTGAGGAGGATAGGGAGGAGGAGAGGCAGGGAAAGTGCCACTGGCAGGTCGTTGAGAGTGAAGAAGGGCGTGTGTGTGCCGACTTGAATAAATGAACCTCCTTGGGCGTCGAAGCTTCGACGTTCTGGCACGCCCTCGGTTTCGACGAAACTATCTCAATCTGGCGCTCGGGCCAATCTCCTTGGGAGTAAAAAGAAAAGACAACTAAAGTTCCTCGATAGTATGATCCGCGCTAAGAGCCCTGTCCAGCTTCTTCCGTACGGGGCGGCGCGCTTCTTGGCGGCGATCGCGGTGGTGAGGTCTTCCGCGGACGCGGTGACGCCCAGCTGGCGGAGCTTCGCCGCATTGCGCTCCTGGATCTGCTGGCGCAGGCGCTCGTACGCCGTCAACCCGCCCTCCGCCGCCTCCATGCGCGCAACTACTCCGCGTGCGCGAGAGAGGAGGAGTCAAAGTAACCCTGCCTTGAAAGACTATATCAGACTGTACCAGTCGGCAGGGCGAATAGGCACGCACTACTCTGGTGTGACGGGGTCGGTGCCGTGCGGGAAATGGGCGAGGGGGGAAGTCGGGGACGAGTTACTGGCACTTGATGCGGAGAATTCAGATGGTATAGTGATGAGCCGTGCTTAGGGCGTGTAAAATTGTAACGACCAAACGCTATGGTCGATCATTTGGGCGTTTCTGGCGAGTGCGAAATGTGTAACACTCAAACGAACCCCGCCACAAACTTCGTCAGCATTTGGAGCACCCACCCCAAACCACCCCCTTAATAAAAAAGGAAAATATTTGATTCCCTTTACTGCATTCGAAAGGGGTGTGAAATAGGGGGATCTGAAGCCTAGACTAGAGTGTTTACCAAAGCAGTGGGTTTAGGTAAACGGAAAAAATATCTCCCCGCTGAGCATTAGTTTAGGCAAGTCCCAAAATGCGGTGCGTAAATTTCTGTTAAAAAATTACCAGTGCAAATCGGTCATATCGGGGTGACTACTCCAATCGGCGTAACCCTAATTCCTCGCAATCGCCAGAAACGCCCAAATGATCGACCATAGCGTTTGGTCGTTACAATTTTACACGCCCTTATGTGATGTGATTTGAGTTTGGGGTTGGGTGGAATGGAGGAGAGAAAGGGAGGCTTCAAACAGACGAATGAGGCACGGCGAGACGAGAATTCAAATTAGCAGATATGGTTGGCGGATGGAGGGACACGCAGTTCCCCGCCAAAAAGTCGCGCCCACCAGCACTCAGCACTCGAGCTTCCAGGTTATGTGAGGCGTCAGAATGAGTCTTACTGTTTGTTGGATTTAGATTTGTGTTATTTTGGCAAACACAAATTCAGTAACGAAGCTGTCCGCAGGGAGAAGCTTTTCAACTCATTCAGGAGTGCTGTGTTGCCTGGGCAGTTCAAAACACAACCTTCGATACCTACCACCGTAGCTCTCGCTGTGATGCCACAAGGTACAGTAACCGTCGTGAATCCCGTTCGTCAATCCATGTAGTCCTCACTTTCCGTAAAAAAATGTCGATTCGCCTTGTGACATGGGCCCGAATCTCGACTCCTAGTCACCATTAGCACCGCATGGCACCAAAACGATCATTCGCTTACGGCCAAGGAGGCGGCGGCGGAAGCGGCGGCGTGACCGCACCTATAATCGACACCCTCGACGCCCTTCCCTCGCGGCCGCTTCGTTTCGTGCTCCTGCTGCTCCTCGCGAACTTCGCCGGCCATTACTTTCCGCTGCTCTGGTCGGATACCGACCGCGGAGCGCTCCTCGCGGGGGGATGGGGGGCGCGGGGGTTTTCCGCCAAAGGCTCAGCTTCGGGGGAAGGCGTGGGGGGGAATCTGGAAACAGTGAGGGGGCGGGGGAATCGCACCGCGCTACAAATAGGATCTGTCGGCTCGGATGCGATTCGTGGCAGCGGCGCGAGCAGGTTGCAGGGGGTGGGGAGGGCGGGTGGGGCGAATCAGGAGGATGAGGGTCTGGGAGCAACGGAATGGGAACGGAGAGGGGCGCGGAGTGATGAAAGGGGAGGGATGGATCGGGGGAGCGAAGGAGCGGGTGCGGGCGCGGGCGCGGGCGCGGGCGAGGGGGAGGGGGAAGGCGCGGTGGGGTTGACGCCGTACGTGCGGCACATGGAGATCTCGGTGGTATCAGAGACGGTGTGTCGTGGCATCATTGCACCCTCGCTCTACTTCGTTGACAACCAGTGAGTCTCCCCGGCACGTGCGTCCCACGCACTCGCGTGCGCTCATTGCAGCGCACATCTCCAAGTCACCCATCGCCCGTCTCCTGTCTCTCGTATCTCTTCCTTCTCATCTCTTCTCGCCACCCACCATCCCAACCGCTTCCGCCTTCTCCTTACGCAACCCTTGCCCCTTCCCCACTCTTCCCCATTTCCCCTTTCCCCACGTTCCTCCTTCCCCCTATCTCCCCTCCCCCCATCTCCCCTCCACTCCCCTCCCGTCCGCCTCCCCTCCCCTTCATCGCCCTCTCGCCCCCTCGCCCCCATCGCCCCGATCGCTCCTCTTGCCCAGGCAGTCCATATCGGCTGTAGCGGATCTGCGGGGGGGGCAGCGGCGGGTGCTGCTGTTCATGCCTCGGCACGGGCTGGGCAACAGCCTGCGCGGCTACGTCTCCGCGTTTGTCTATGCCCGGCTCTCTGGCCGCCGCCTTGTGCGCCTGCACGCTGCCGAGCACGCCAAGGTGTGGCTGGGTGGTGGGTGCTGGGTGGCGGGTGCTGGGTGGTGGTAGGTGGTGGGTGATGGGTCAAAGATGAAGAGTGATGGGTGATGGGCAGCGGGTAGAGGTCCACTCTACTCTGTGTCTCGCATGCTCTCTTTCGTTCTTCCACCATTCATTCCAACAACGCATTCTCTTCCCTCCCTTTTGCATCACGCTGGCATCACCGCCGCCGCCACTACCACCGTCACGGGCACGGGTATTGGCACCGCTGCGCTACGGCCAGGTGTACGACACGCTGTGTGCGGCGTTCACATGCGGGTTCGACGCCATGCGGTGGTCCAACGAGTCGGGCCCATGGGGTGGCACCATGGGCGTGTACCGCCAGCTGGAGCTGCTGCAGCCCGTGCAGCTGCAGTCCGCCTTCAAGACCTCCGGCAGTCAGTCCCCGCACTCTCCTTCCCGCTGCTGCTCTCCGCTCTCTCCTTCCCTGTCCTGCCATGTCCCTTCCTCTCGGTCCCACGCTTTGTGTACCTGCTGCCACGGCCCTGCCTGGTTCTCTACCCTCTTTGAAATCTGCCTGCCAGCCTGTCACCTCACTGTCCTATGATGCTGTCTAGTTCTCCGCCTCTCGACCCACTCGGTCACTGTCTCCTTCCTTCTCTGACTCCCCTCTCCCCTCCCCTCCCGCCCCCACCGCTCTGCACACACGTCCCCTCTCCCGCCTGCCAGAGATAAAGAGCAGTCTGGGCTTCACAGGCCCCATCATGCTGAGCAAGTCACCGTCACACTTTGACGGCTTCTGGCAGCTGTACCCGCGCGTGCAGGCCTGTGTCTTCTCCGCCTTCCGCTGCTCCTCCCTCTGGTGCGTGCACTCCCGCGCCATCCACGAACTCATTCTCGGCCCCTCACGCCTACTGCAAGAGGTCGTAGGGCAAGTGCTGCTGCAGCATATGGGGGAGGGGACACCCCCCGTGCCGTCTCAGAAGGGAGTGGCGGATGGGGACATGTTTGACGTTGCTCTGCATATCCGCACGCGCCCTGCTGCGATTGAGCAGATTCGGGGGCATGGGGACGAGGAGTTGAGTCGAGTGGGGTGTGAGGATGCGGAGGAGGAAGAGGAGGAGACGGGTGCGGGGAGCAAGGGGAAGAAGGGCAAGTCGCATGAGTTTCTAAAGGGATGCCTGTGGGACTGCATAGCGTCTCTCCTGGAGAAGCTTCAACAGGATAAGGCGGCACGGAGCATGGCCAGGGATGCCGCAGGTAGGGAAACCAGAGGCAGCAGCAGCAGCAGAGACAGCAGCAGAGACAGAAGCAGTAGTGGTCCTCTTACGATTCTCCTGACAACAGACAACGAGGCTCTCCGGCCGGAGTTTGTGCGGCGGCTAGCACGACTGGGGACAGTGTTCTACTCAACAGGGTCCATCGTGCATCTGTCCAAGACAGCGAGCACGGACATGGAGAGGCAGCGCATGCCCACCATGGCAGAGTTCTTCCTCATGGCCAAGGCTCACACGCTCATTGAAGCCGGCTCCTACATGAGCACCTTTGCGTACTTTGCTGGGCTGCTTGGGAACGCCACGCTGGCTAGTATTGACTGGGAGGGAGGGTCACGGAGAGGGAGAGCAGGAGGGGTGGTGTGTGGGCTGAAGGTTTTTCATGAGGGTGAAGCGGTGGAGGAGTATGTGGGGGGAGGGTGGGCGGGGCAGCAGGGAGGGGCTGGAGCCTGGGAGAGGTGAGATTGAGTGGGATGTGGGGGTCTAATGGTGTACCAGTTGTCATGGACTATGGTGCCATCTTTGGCGCAATTTATATGCGAGTTCATGTCGGATGGCCCTCTGCTTGATATGCTGTTTTTCAAGTGTTTCAACTGGTCAAAGGTAGCAGCTTCGGGAACTCGCAGAAAGTAGGGGAAGCAAGAACGATTGGCAAAATTTCAGAAAGACGAAAGCGGAGGTGTGGGGGGGGCTTGCCAGAAAAATCCCACAATGCGTTGGAGGAATAAGTCACACTAGGGTGTGTTGCACAAATTGAATGAAGAAGAGGGTAAAACCTCGTTCGGTATGCTTCTAATATGTGCGGCGTGTTGGAAACAAGTGATTTAAGCGCCTCTGTCGCGTCGAAACACTAAGTCATAAACGAAGCGAAACACAGCGAAGCATCAGCGAAGTCAACCCTCAAAGGTTGAGCAACTGCTGGAGGTTACGCGAAAGTCAAAGGTCAGCGACCTTTGACCTGACAAGTATAGCGCGACAGCAAGGACAAACAACTGACTCGTTATCGAGCAGTTGCCCGAGTCGTCTCTGTATCGAACCGCAACAGCAAACAGTAAAACAGTTATTAGTTGCATCTTTTCATATTCCTTGTACTCTTATAAAAGCCTTGTATCTCTTTGATTAATTAATCTACTTTGCCCTCACATACCAGCGCAAGGTGGTTCACAAGCTTATCATTAAACGCTTCCGCTATTACATTGTTCCTACTCAGAGTTTAGTTATGCAAAGATCCTAAGGCAGGGCCTCAGATATCAGGAAAAAAACCCTGAAATTCCTGATTTTGGCAGTCCTTTTTTTACCTACCCTGAAAAGTCAGTGTTGAGAATTTTGAGGGACTGATCTTTCAGCCTTTTTTGTTAGGCCACACTGAAATTTCAGACTTTTTTCCCCTAGTACACTGATGCCACAACGTAACACTGAAAGCGATACCTTTGCCGTGTGGATTTGACCGCAATTACAGGGAATCTCAGATTCCCGAGGTGTAAGCACCCCGTGGCGAGGCCAACCTGTGAAATTCTGCCTCTGGTTCACGTTCAGAGGTGTTTTGTTGGCGCGGCGCCTCACACCATTGGGCCGTTTCGCTGCAGCAGTCAGTCTTGGCCAATCCGAACTTGGCCACCATGTGGTGCTGGAGGGCTGCCAAGGATCCTGCCCCATTGCCATCACCTGCGACGCGTTAGTGACAGCCTTTTTACTAGTGTAACACTGATGCATCAGGCTTTTTACAAACGCAACACTGTCATTTCAGGCTTTTTTTTTTTGGAACACTGTCAATCAGAGTTTACACACAGGGGGACCCTGATGGGTTGACGACCCTAAAAGTGAATCTGAGGGCCTGTCTTAAGGGCTTTTCTCAGCCCAACATGGTATGAGAGCTATCAGGACAAACTCAACTACTATCAGGACACCCACAACATCAGAAGGCATGGCAACACAGAAGGAGAGAAGCTCCTCTAACGGCTCTCCCGGTACTACTCCTACTCCACCTCCTGCCTCTGGCCTACAGACAGAGGAGGGCACAGCAACAAGACCAGCAGCTGGATCCACCGAAACTCCCGCAAATAAAGTCGCGGGCTTCGACCCAAGCATGATGGAGAAGTTCTTCTCCTTCATGTCCTTCTACGAACAACACCAGCAAGGGGCACCTGCGCAGTCAAACAACAGCAACAACAACAACGATGTGACGCCGATGAGCCTCGACGGTTCATCCTACGCGCGAGGAAATCAGCAACAACAACCTACCTTCGCTCCGTATGAACCCCAGCGCGGATCCGCCAGTTTCATGCCGCGCCAGCAGCCTTCACCTGAACAAGAGAAGACATTGGATGCACTTCAAGTTCAGTCGCAGTTTGCGCACGTCTTAAAACTGCAGACATCAAGACCGTTCGACGGAAACTACTTCTTTACCTGGTCATTCGAATTCGAGCTAATGATGGAAGGCGCGCAGATTCTTGGCTTCTTCGACGGGTCCCTGCCATATCCAACGCACGGGACACAATACGATAAGCAGCAGTACACATATCAGTCCATGATGGCGTACACAATCCTACTGCGCAACGTCACACCGAACCAACAGCAGAACATTCGGACTTACCGGGGATACGGGAACTCTGCCGAGCTTGCGTACAACCACCTGAAGAACCTGTATCAGGCAACAGACAGCGTCAATCAGAGTCGGTTAATGGCACAACTGACAACAGTGGAAATGAAACCGGGCGAAAAGGGGATGGCGTATATCAGTCGCTGCCGCGAATTGCGCGACAAACTCCTTCGATGTGGAGGATCGATATCGGAAGACGCCTTCGTCACAGTCGTTATTGGCGGTCTTGGTCCTCATTGGCGCTCCACTCGCGCCATACTCCGAGCCCACGGGAAGATCTCCGAAGCAGCACTCTGCGCCGAAATTCACGCTGAGCAGCAAGACATGGACCTGCAAGAGGAGCGGCACAAGAAGAAAACGTCAGTACCCGAATTTGCGTTTCACACCCAACGTCGCTACAACAACAACAACAACCGGCATCAACCAAAACCCGTACCTCCGTTCTGTCATATCTGCAAGACTTTAGGGCACCCTCGCACACACTGCCCGAATCGACAGCAATCAACGCCACCACAACGTCAACTTCGCCCTTCAAGTAGTCAGGTAGCGTCCACACAGGCGCACCCCACAAGCCAGTCGCAGTCTTCAACAGTATCGCCAACACAATCTGCACAAGGAGCAAGAAACATCGTCAGCTGCATGGCAAGTTTGACTGACTCTTGCATCACCGAGTCACCACCGCACTACTCACCGGAAGAGCAACTCGACAACAGTACCCCTCGCCGCGAGTCACTTCAACCGAACCCGACGTATGCAGCCATCGCTCAAAGCGAGCCGTCCGGGAAAGACACTTGGTTCTTGGACAGTTGCTGCGGACAGCATATGTGCTCTTCGGGTCGTTTCGTTCAACGCGAACACCAACTTCAGCGCGAAGTTGTCATCACCGTCGCCAACAATCAGAACCTGCGCACACGACGACAGGGCGTAGTGCAACTTCAATCACGAGAGACAAACGTCATACTGCAAATGTCAAAGGTTTTAATTGCGGAGGGACTCGGCTACAACTTACTAAGTGTCAGCCAACTGATGACGAAAGGCATCCATCTCGAAGCAGACAGCACCACTCAGGAGTTCAAGCTGTACCACGGGAGAGGCGGACTTTACATCGGGAAGGCGGTCCTGAAAAATAACGTCTTCGTCCTCGACTTCGTTCCAGATTTAGGCACCGCCGACAGCGACGGAATCGTCACCTTCACCTCCTGGACGCACCCACCGGATCTTGATCCTGACTTCAGCCCCGAAGGCTTCTGGTATTCACATACTATCCCTGAGGCAGAACGAACAAGAGCATTAGCAACGATTCAACACTCGGCAGCAGCAACATCGGCAGCAGCAGAAACAACATCGGCAGCAGCAGAGACAACGGCGGCAGCAGCAGAGACAACATCGGCAGCAGCAGAGACAACACCGGCAGCAGCAGAGACAACATCGACACCAATCGCAGGACCTTCAACAGCACCGGTCTTCGTCGACAACACACCACGGACTCCTGCGCAACAGTTGAATCCAACTCCACGAGAAGTCCATCGAAGTGCAAACCACACCGCAGGGTTCTACTCCAACTCCGACTTGTACCGCCGCTCACCCGGACATCGCGCTGACGAAGATCTCTGGCATAAACGAATGGGACATCCGAGCAACACGACGTTAAACAACACGATACGAGCAGGCGTTCTTGACAAAGACTCACTACTCTTACCCGACGGCAGAGAACTTCGACGAATGAGAGGAACTTGTTTCACCTGCCCTGAAGCTGACTTACCGCATCAGCCCTTCGTTTCTCACCACAACCCGAGCGCACCAGCTTACGCACCACTTGAGAAAGTGTACAGCGACATCCTGTACAACCGCGAACCTGGACAAGAAGCATACAACTACACCATCACGTTCATCGACGCCGCCACTCGTTATGTCTGGCATCTCAACCTTCCAAGCCGCGACATGGCCTTCGAAGCCTTCGTAGCCTGGCTCCCAGTAGCAGAACGGGAATCGGGAGTTAAGCTGAAGAGTTTTCAGTCTGACTGGGGAGGAGAATACACCTCACAGAGGTTCAAGCAGTACTTGGCAGAGAGAGGAATCAAGCGACTCATCTCCCTTCCCTACGCTCATCAACAGCAGGGTGTAGCAGAAAGAATGAACAGGACCCTTCAGAATACCATGCGCAAGCTGCTACGTGGGATGCGGCTACCCAACCACCAGTGGCCCGAGGCAATGGACCACGCCGTGATGCTCCACAACTTGCTCTCGTCATCATCGCTCCCGAACAACGCATCACCGCATCTGCTGTGGACAGGAAAACTGGGCAGCACAAAAATGTTGCGAAATTTCGGCTGCATGGTACAGTACCGACCCCCACCTGCACGCGCTGGCCGATTCTCCCAACGCGCACAGTGGGGACTACAGCTAGGCATTGAAAAGAAATACAACGCGTGGAAGATTTTCGACATCCACTCAAAGGAAACAGTAGTAGCACGTGATGTCATTTTCTACGAGCGACTCACCCTTTCAACGTACTTGTACAACTTGGAGACTTCACGAGATGTCACAGGCGGATTTCGTGGGGACCGAGCCTTCGCTTCGGCAGAAGATGAAGATGACCTGGACGAGCAGACCATGGACGGAGCTTCGGAAGAAGCCGGACCACTTCCCTACTGCTCGGTGGATATTCCAATGGACGATGACAACCCTCGCAAAAGCATCAACGCCGAAGTCTTCTACGACTTCGCCGACAACGGTTACGTTACATCCGCCCGAGTCAACACCAACGAAGCCAAACGCATAGGACCCAACTTCTTACCTGATCCAGAAGAAGGTGACGAAGCAGCTTATCCCGCGGATCCGACACTTCCCCGCTACACACAGAGCGGACTCCAGATACTTGGCCTCGTCACCGCGGTTCACGGCACGGAGATTCCTAAGGAGCCTGTCACAGTTCAGCAGGCTCTGGGGGGGGAGCATAGGGAAAAATGGCGCGAAGCCATGGACAAGGAGCTGAAAGCACTGGAAGAACGGAACACCTGGAAAGTCGTTCCCATCGGCGTGGCACGCAACAAAACGGTACTCACCGGAAAATGGGTCTTCCGTGTGAAGACAAAGGCAGACGGCACCATCGACAAGTTTAAGGCGCGCTGGGTCGTGCGCGGTTTCGACCAAGAGCACGGACGTGATTTCACCGAGACGTTTGCCCCGGTTAGCCGACACACTTCACTTCGAATTCTTCTCGCGATCGCCGCCATGAAGAAGAAGAAGTTGCGGCAAATTGACGTCGCCAATGCATTTCTCTACGCACCTGTTGACGCTGAAATCTCCGTCGAACTTCCACACGGCTCCAACGGAGAACCCAACCAAGTCTGTCAGCTGCTGAAGTCCCTGTACGGCATCAAACAGGCTCCAAGACTGTGGCAGCAGTATCTACACGCTCGACTCATCCGCATCGGATTCCGACAGCTACCACACGACCAGGGCATGTACCGGCTCACGAAAGGTGACGACTACATTCTGCTCATCGTCTACGTGGACGATCTGCTCTACATCGGCTCAACTGACAGCATCACTACTTGGTTCGAAGGGGAGCTGCAGCAGGACCTCACTCTCACAGTGTCATCAACCGTCACGCAATACCTCGGCCTCAACATCCAGGAAGAGGAAGGCGCGATCTATCTCAATACCGCGAAATATGCCGACACTATCGCCAAACGCTTCAGACTCACCCCGATCACCATCTCCACGCCATACCGCTACACCGCAGGAAATCACAAGGAAGGCTCCGCTCCGCTCAAGCCCGCAGGCATACGCGACTACCAGAGAAAGCTGGGGTGCCTCCTCTTCGCGGCCGTCACCTGCCGTCCGGATCTATCGTACTCTGCGAGTCAACTCGCCACCTACCTCAAAAGGCCCGAGGCAGAACACATGGCGGAGCTCGACCGCGCTCTTCACTACCTCATTAGCACTCCGACGATCGGCCTGACCTATCACAAGAACGGAACCTCGACACCTAAGTTAATCGGCTACGTCGACGCCGATCACGCCGGCGACTCCGACAACAGACGCTCGCGCACCGGCTACATCTATCACTTCGAACCTATCGGACCTATCTCCTGGCAGTCGAGCAAGCAGGAGTTAATCGCCCTCTCCTCAGCTGAAGCAGAATATATCGCACTCTGCTCAGCCACCAAGGAAGGACTGTACCTTCGCGAACTCCTGGAGGAAGCGAAGCTGGCTCAGTTACCCAGCTTCTCCCTGTTCTGCGACAACCAGTCAGCAATTCGCATAGCCAACAAAAATGGATTCGCGAACAGGACGAAGCACATCGCCCTGCGATATTTCTTCGTGAAGGACGAGATCGAGAAGGGGAGACTCGAGCTGTCTTACTGCCCCACGTCCGAGATGGCAGCTGATTACTTGACCAAGAAACTCGGAAAGCAGAAGTTCGAGTACTGCATGCTGTTGACTGGACAGAGCCACGTCACCAGCAGCGACACTCCAGAAGCGAAGGGGAGTGTTGGAAACAAGTGATTTAAGCACCTCTGTCGCGTCGAAACACTAAGTCATAAACGAAGCGAAACACAGCGAAGCATCAGCGAAGTCAACCCTCAAAGGTTGAGCAACTGCTGGAGGTTACGCGAAAGTCAAAGGTCAGCGACCTTTGACCTGACAAGTACAGCGCGACAGCAAGGACAAACAACTGACTCGTTATCGAGTAGTTGCCCAAGTCGTCTCTGTATCGAACCGCAACAGCAAACAGTAAAACAGTTATTAGTTGCATATTTTCATATTCCTTGTACTCTTATAAAAGCCTTGTATCTCTTTGATTAATTAATCTACTTTGCCCTCACATTCCAGCGCAAGGTGGTTCACAAGCTTATCATTAAACGCTTCCGCTATTACATTGTTCCTACTCAGAGTTTAGTTCTGCAAAGATCCTAAGGGCTTTTCTCAGCCCAACACGTCGAAATGGTTCAACAGATAACACTCCTACCACAAACCCTGGGTTAGATAGATGCTAGAATCTCTTGAACCAACAGTTGAGTAGGCAGTGAAACTCCAATGTATGCTACAATCTCGTGCAATATAGCTAAACGAGTAATCCAATAATTGAAACATGTAACGTTACCATCTAAGACCTGGTTCGAAGAGAAAAGCTGAGAAAGGTGTGCTCAAGGCCCTAGACGACGTTGTCTCCCACCGCGCAGCTACAGTTAGTGGGAAACCTGCTAGCAGCAGTTTAGCATCGTCTAGGTATCCGGCGGCTTGTGATCCCGTCAGCTCAGCCATGGCTGGTCTAGCCAAGACGCTGAACAAGCTTACCGAACCCGCGTTCAACTGGGCGTCCCATTGGTACCGTGGTATTGTTGGCGCTCAACTGAAAAAATACGGTACGATCTGGTGCCGGTACGGATTATTTAACTCGTGCTTCAGAACAAACTCCCGCTCAGCAGAAAACGTCTTTCCGACTTGTTTTCGTAAGCAGAGTCTTCTTACACCAGTACTTGCCAGATCTGTACATTTACGCCCCACGATGAGCAGGTCTTCGGTATGACGATCTCTACGATCCGTATTACGACCTGGACGTTGCCGAAGCCCTCAAGCGGCTGCCTCAAGCGGAGGTAGACGCGCGGAACCAACGGCTGAAGCGCGCCATTGACATCTCCATGAAGCACACCCACCTTCCCAAGGACCTTCAGGTACCTTCACCCGCTCTAACTTCCTGATCTGCTTTACGGAGGTTCTTACGATGCATCTTCGTCTGCTAGGTCTTTCGATTCATGGCAGTGAGAACACCTGATTCATCTCTGTAACCGTGCCTCACACTCTTGGCCTGATTGGTTGTCGTGTTGTGGTTTGCCGCTGCCGGTTGTGTTCAGGAAAAGCAAACGCCGTTCCAGCCTTATCTGCAGAAGGAGCTTCATAAGGTACGCCAACTCGTTTCTTGCATTGCAACACCCGTTGTTCTGTTCCGACTGCTTTCTCCTGCGTTTGTGTGCGATGCATTTGTCAGTCACTCAAATTCTGCTATGCATGATTCGCCAATTGGTAGCAGGGGTGGGGAAAAGGAAGATGTTGTGTACGGACGTGGCTTGCAGAGCTGGTATTGTATTTAGGGCGCAGCGGGCCATTACTTGTTCTATCCTCTCATTCCTCCTTCCATTGCTACCTTCTTGTTTGTTCAGATCAAGTTGGAGAGGGAGGAGAGAAAGGCTCTTGGATCAGACATGCCGTACAATCGCCAAATCCCATGAAGGATGTGGGAACACCCATCAGGCACACAGCTCTTGGTTTATACATGCCATTGTGCTTAGTGACTTGCGGTGACGTGATACATCGTTCATAGATTGGTTCATTCACTTGTAGCATTTGGGATCTTACATGGCCAGATGCTTTTAAGCGTTCATAACAAAGGCTTTAGGTTGGGGGATGCTGTGCAACGTCTCACTAGTTGTTTACACATTGACGTAATTTGTTACAGAAAGAAATGTATGTAGATTTGTCGAATTTGCTTGCTTCTTGTAACCATGTGTCATCAACTAGCCCCTCACTTCATCTGCCCTGTCGCGAGCCTATCATATAGATACGGCGACGCGGAATTATGGTTACCCGCCGGCACTCGTCACATCGCGTTTACTGTACAGCAGCAAAACTACTTTCAAGGCAAGGCCAAGCATGTGTGGTGTGGAATCTTTTTGGTTGTGGACCATCACGCGGGTCTCCTTCACAGTAGTGTTTCGTTATGGAGCAATCAGCAGCATGATGTGATGGGTGTTCGGCAGGAGCAGCAGCGCGGCCACCGCTTTTCCCCAGCCAACCTTTTCATGATGTCTGTCGACGTTTGCCGTGGGTCACGGATTGTCAGTGACTGATCCCCTCCTAACGATGGGATTTCGTCAGCATCTGATATGAACTTGGCCGTGCGTGTAATTTGTTCTACCCGCAAGCTGGAGTAACTGGCCGCTCCACCTATATTCTGTTCTGTTTAGTTGGCACATCGATATGGGCTTTTCTTACCGAGCATTCGGTCAAACTTCTAGGCTTTACCTCTAGAGAGCATCGATTAGGGAAGACCGCCATGCCGCGTAATGGCAGGTAGAGCATTCCTTCGTTCTAATTTATCAGGTCGAATCCGGCCTTCTTAGTGGCACGCAGCAGATCGACGTCATTTATTTCAGCTGACTTCGGCGTGTGCGGGATTTGGTAGTCACAAGCGGCGGAATGGAGAGCGAGAAGCTGACGTATGGCGACGTGGTGTGTCTGGGATGCATGGATCTGCACGGGTACCTGACGGGGTCAGGCCTCGTGGACGAGCGAGTGCGCTGCGAGATTCTGGACGATAACGTGGACGTCCCGCCGTGCCTCGATAACGCCAAGTTCGAAGTACGCGAAGCGGGATTGCCGCTGGACTCTGGACGCCGCAGCGCTGTAGCAGCGATCTAGTAGCGTCGCAAGGCGTTCCCTCGTTTTGACACCCGCAATGCGTTCTCTTCCCGCATTGCATCACCCTCGCGATCGTCTATTTTCGCCTTCTCTTCCCTTGCATCTTCCCTCAGAAAATACCCGTCCATCACTCTCCGTTTCAGTCTCATTACGGCGGCCTCATTTGTTCGTAATTCGCCGCCATTGGCTGTTATTTCCCATAGAGACAGAGCGTGTCTAGTTCAGCGGTTCGCCGAAAACGCCGCTTCAGCCGTACCCCACACAGCGTAGGCACTTCCATCTGCTGCCCTGACGCGTGCCTTTTCCACCCCCCTGAACGTCTCCGTCCGAACCTCACGCGAACGAACCCGTGTGACGCACGGCAGGTCCGGATCAAGTACCAGTACTCGCTGTGGAACACCAAGGACGACGCGCACGGCAGTAGCGTCGCCCGCCCGGGCCACATTCCGCCCAAGGAGGTGCGCCCACCGTCAATTCTGCTGCTGCAACCTCTCATTTCAGCTTAGGCCCTGGCTGGCCCCTGTGGAATGTTACCGCGTGCTGCTGCATTGCAGGGCGTGCTGGTTTGCAGGGCATGCTGCGTACGTCTCTACATTCGTTTCGTGCTAAGCCGACAACCTAGGCTTGTGCTCTCATTCAGCTGCCCCAGGCTCTGTCTCCCCTCTGTGCCCCTCTGTGTGCATGCTGTACTGTGCTGTGCTGTGCTACTGGCTGCGTGTCTGTCTGTCTGTCTCTCCCCTTTCTCTCTTTTTCCAGGGGGAAGGTGCCAGCAAAGCAGAGCAGGCGTTTAACAATGGTACGCAACAAACTCATATCCTCTCCATCCTCTACTTCTTCAACAGTGCCTTGCTGCTCTCGCTCCCTGCCTCCTCTACTCGTTTGCACTGCCCGCATTCCAGTCCACATTCCACTGCAGTCTATCTCCCATCGTCATGCACTCCTTTGCACACCATACCTCTCGCTCACCTACCCTTCCCTGCCCCCCTCCATATCTCCCGTCCTGTGCCTGTGCGTTCGCATTGCACGCTCCCAATATTACCCGACTTTCATGGCATGGTATGGCATGGTACGGCATGGTATGCCCTAACACGGTGTGCTCGCAGCGGAGTTTGTGCGGTCGGTGGGCAGTCCAGTGCTGTACGGGCAGGTGGTGCAGCTGCTGCACGTGTCCAGCCACAAGTTCCTCACTGTCAAGCGCACCCAGTCCGAGCTCGAAAAGTCCCACCTCAAGGTACTGCGCCATGCCCCTGCCGCATTGCCGCCCGCTCCCCCGTCCCTCCTCCCTCTCCTCCTCCCCTTCCTCCTCCCGCTTATGCGTGTAAGGCCTGTAGCGCCTGTGGTGCGGGGACAGCCTAGCAGCTCCCTGGAGACGGACTCAACCGTTTGCTATGTATTTTAGGGGCGCCAGTGCTGTTTGCTGTCTCGGTTTGGGCCGAAAACATGTATATGTGCAGTCATTATTCTGAGGCGCATCTGTTGTGCTGACGTGGCAGGTTGTGCTGCAGAAGGGTGGAGACACGGGCTCCTGGTTCTGTGTCACTCCAACGTACAAGATCAAGGTGAGGGGGGCGGTGCTGTTTGCACACATTAGTACCGCAGTGGACTGTTCGTGCTGTCGCCATTCTTCTCCGTCTGCCCCCTGGAGCCCTATGTATTTCCTTGTCGTTTCCCCCCTCTGTTTTCCCTCTCTGGCATTGCCTCTATTTTCCTTTCTGTTTTTTCCCTTTTCTTCCCCCCCTCTGTTTCTCCTCTCTGTTCCCAATCCCCCTCCCCCCCCCCCCCGCTGTCTGGTTTTTCTCACTATTTGTCCCTCTCTCCCACACCTCCGCTCATATTGGTATACGTGATCCACAGAGGGAAGGAGAGCACGTGGCATTTGGGGATGCAGCGACCTTCACAAGTGTCAAGTTCAACGGGGCTGGGTGGGCCACGATACTCTATCCTCCATAAAGATAGCTCATTTTAATGATAGTCTCTCGACCATCATGGTTTCATTCATTTCCTCCTTCCTTGTCAATCTTAACGATCCCCTTCACTCGCTCTTGTTGTCGCTGCTGCAAGCTTCGAGCTATACCCTCTAACCCTTTGTTTTCAACCCCCCGTCCCCCCCTAAACCCGATACCCCAAACCCTGATGGGTGCTCTGCGCTCATTTTCTCCTCCCTTCCTGCGCCCCTTTCCACGTGCGATAACAACTGTTGCTTTCATGGGTATGTGTGCGTGTGTGGGAGTGGGGTGTGATGCTGCATGCATTCATGGCAGTCTACGAGTCTCGGAGGGGTCATGCGACACTACAGTCATGGGCGCACACCCATACGTTGCAGATACCAGAGAAGTGAGAGACTATGCACCATGCACCATATGCCATGCACCATGCACCATACATCATGCACCATGCACCATGCACCATGTACCATCCACCATGCACCATGCACCATGTACCATCCACCATGCACCATGCACCATGTACCATCCACCATGCACCATAAGCCATGCATCATGCACCATATACTGTGTGCTGCATGCACCGTCGTTGCAATCACGGGCCCTCCTGCACACGCAGCCACCTAACCCCGCTCGTCCGCACACCATGCCTGCCGCTCTCCCTCCCTCTGCAGGTGAACGCAGGCCCTGAGATGGCGGGGTGGCGCATCATCCCCTTCGCCCTGCACGAATCTCGCATCCCCAATGCACGCCAGCTGCTCAAGGGAGGCGATGCCGTCATGCTCATCCACAGGTGCCACAGCTCAGCACCATGGGTCCTGGCATGTGGGCGGGAGGGTATGGGCCACAAATGGGTGGGCATGTTAGGACACGACACAGTGGGTGCGGAACTGAAAGGTTGCCCGTTGTATTGGAATGCTGGCCACGAGGGCGACTGGCCAACTGGTTTGTCTCTTCTCTATCGGTCATCTCCCCCTTGTGTATTGATTGCACCGGCTCTTTCTCTTACTATGCCCTATAACCACTGGCCCTGGTGCCCCTGGCAGGGCGAGTGAGATGAATCTGGTGTGCGATGAGGGCAAAGTCGTCTTTGAAGCCCGCAAGCAGGTAAACCCTCCTTGCCCGTACCCGTCCCATGCACACACACGCACACATCCTTTCATGCACATGTCCTTTCATTGATTCCTCCAATGCCCTTTTTTGGTTGCTCTCACCCGCCTCCTGTAACCAGCTTAGCTTGCACCTACATTCTCCACACACCATTCCGCTGCTCAGCACACCTGGTTCTGTGTTTCCACTTCATGCCTCATCTTCTGCGTTCCAATTCTTGCATGCACCAGGATGGGGGCCCGAGCTCCAACGCGCTGTGGATGGTTCAGCCCACGAGTGTGGAGTGGGGAGGCCGCCCTCTGCCCTACGATCAGGTCATTCCCATGCACCGCACCCTAGACTCCTCTCCTCTCCTGCACCGCCTGTAAAAGACACTTCATTAAATCCATGTGCCGCGACTTCCTTCCCGTTCCCAAAGAAACCCTTCCCCCCCACACCCTTCATCCCCGCCCCCTCCCTCCCCCTCTGTCTCCCCCCTGGGCCCTTCCCTTCTCCTCCCTGCCACAGGGCTTCACGCTGCGCCATCTGGCATCGGGGTTGTTCCTGGAGTCCAAGCGCCAGCCACAGAGCGCGCAGGACCTCCGCCTAGACGACTTCAGGCATGCCCTGCTGCTGCCCTGCTGCTGACCCTGCTGCTACGCTTGTTTCCTCTCATGCCCACAGCTCCCACTTGTTTCATCCCCCCTCCCGGACACTTGTTGTGCTCCACTATATGCTAAAGTCATTCTCCCAAAGTAGCAGCTTGGAGACCGTGCTTGCATCATCCATCTCAACTCAACGCAGCACCTCTCCCGTTCATTCATCGTCACTGTGTTTCCGTTTCATTATGGCTGACTATGGCTGGCTCACGCCCACCTGTACGTTCGGACCGTCTCCTCCTTATGCCTGCGACATGCAGTGGAGCGCTGACAGTCACAGACCTGTATCGCAAGCCCAGCACCATATGGACCATCGGAGCTGTCACTCAGGCATGCCCCACTCTCTTCCGCCCCCCTACCACCTGCCTTTTGCCCTCGTCCGTTCTCTCCCTCTCCTCTCGCACCTCAAGCCTGCTTGATCCAACACTGAGACAGCTAACCCCATGCATGTGCATGGTTGCGACTGATGCATGGATTATGCTGTGTGCTTGCGCATGGCCCTCTCCATCTTGCCTGTGCAGGGCTATGATAAGTCTGCCGTGCTCTATCAGTCACTGCTACGCTGCCAGGTGCTCTACTCACGCCCCTCTGCTCCTAAGTCTTTCTCACTGTGCTCTTTCCTCCGTCACCATCACATCACGCCAGACACCCATGCTCCATCTCCATGCGTATCTGCACGTGCTCTCTTTCCCTCCCTCCACTATCCCTGTTTCGCTGTCTCATCTGCCATATGCGGACCCACCTTCGCCTCCTCCCCATCATCCCATCACCCCCCCATCCTCCCATCTCCTCCCCATCAGCTTATTTCTTCTTCCCCACCTTCCCGCTCCTCCTCCCCCCCTTCTCCCCAGGGCGTGCACGGGTATGTGTCAGGCGGGTTGGGCGAGTACTCAATGACAGTGGGGGACTCCTCAAGCCGTGCGCTGCTGGCTCAGCTGGACTCTTTATACGAGCGCAAGTCAGCGGGCCTCACCCAGTCCTGGGACCAGAAGGTCAGCTCGCCTTGCCCTCCCAGGCTCCCATGCTTCTCTGGTTTCTCCCTATGCTCGCTCTTTTTCCTCTGTGCCTGCTCCTCGTTTCTTTCACTTGCTGCCCTTCTTGCGGCCTGTGCTCACGTGCTTCAGGGGGCTTGTCTCACTGCATGGTCGTTCTCCTTGTGCGTATGTGTGCGTCGATGTATGCATGGCGCATGATGGGTGCATGGTGGGGCATGTTGGATGCATGATGGGGGCGTGGTAGGTGTATGTTGGGTGTGTGATGGATCATGGGTTTATGGTGGGTGCATGTTTGGGGAGTGTGTGTGGTGTGCCCCTTGTGTGTGTGTGTGTGTGTGCTCATTCTACATCAGGATGCACTGGTCTTTGAGGTCGCCTCACACCAAGCAGTCAAGCTCACATGCACGGTAAGCCATCCCACCCACCCACTCACTGCACTGCCATCCCATCCACCTACCCCATGCCACCCTGCATCCTCCCACCCCACACCACACTGTTTATCCCCATCCCATGCCCATCCATGGACTCTCCATCACTTTCACAAGTAGCCATATGCTCTGTTTTGTTCCTTTGACTCACATATCTGCGCCTCCGTCCCACGCACCATGCGCGCCTTGCTGGCAGCAAGCGCACTCGGCGGCGTGTGTGCGCAACTTCGTAGCAGCGCTAGACAGAGTGGACGACATCGAGCCCTGCGCGGACGACTACCAGCTCAAGAAAAGGTGCCACGTGCTCTCCGCCCCCTGCCCCCTGTTGTGCTTGTGGGCAATGGTGCTGTGGACTTACGGGGGTGGTATGGTATGCCAAGGGAATGACACATAGATTGGTGCAGGGCGGGTCACAGATCTTCTTCTGCTTGCGGTCTGGTTGTTCTCTTTCTTGCAAAGTTCTGCCAGCCATCATCGTCACTTAGTCAGTATGAGCAGCCGCTGCCAGCTTCTGAACTTGCAATAGCCGCTCCCCACCCCCCCACCTTGTGTACCCCCTTCTCTCGCAGCATCCGTTCCTCTGGCCTCCTGCAAGTTCTTCTCAAATACGGGTACGTATTTCTGCTTCGCCTATCCTGAGAATGGATTGCTGCCGTTCCCTGTAACTGCACTCCACTTCACTCTCTGCTTCGTTCTCGGAACTCCTCCCCGCTCCTTTCCAGCCTGACATCCCTCATCCCCCCCCACCTCTCTGCACATCTCTCAACCGCTTCTATCTCTTTTCACGCCACTCCACGTCCCCCTGGCAGCCCGGCAGTGTCGGAGCAGTTGGAGCGGTTGATTCGTGCCCTGGTGGTGTCCGACATGCCTGATGTGCTCAACCTCAGAGGCCCTCCCAACCAAGTCTACCAGGTGCTGGCGCTCCCCTCCCCGTCCACTCCACACCACACCACACCACACCACACCACACCACACCACACCACACCACACCACACCACACCACACCACGCCACGCCACACCACACCACGCCACGCCACACCACACCACTCCACCACGCCCTGCTGCATGCGCGCTGCCGTATTTGCCACGCTTTTCTCTGCACTCCTCGACCGTGTCACCCTCAACCATTCCTCCCCTTGCCACCGCCTCTACCCGCCTGCCTCCCTCCCCCCAACAGGTGCTCCAGCGGGAGCAGAAGGTACTAACAGGCGTGATGACAATCCTGGAAACCCTCCTCATACGCAAGGGCCTCCCGCAAAACAGCATCATGCACCCGCACCTCTTTGGCGGCTTCGACGTGCGGCGCCTGTGCAAGCTCGTGAACCGCTACCTGCAGGCGGCGTGCCGGCGGTGCCGGGCGAACCAGGACCAGCTGGCGCCGTACATCCCGCTGCTGGAGCAGCTCGTGGGGAACGAGATCTACACGTCTGGGACTCTCATGGCGATTGTGGCTGATAATGAACACATCATCTCGTCTGTCACCGTGGAGAATGTGAGCGGAATGGGGGAGGGATGGGGAGGTTGGGAGGGCTGGGGAGGAAGGGGTAGGGTGGGAGGAGAGAGGAGGAATAGAGGACCATACTGTAGGATGGCTCTGTGAGGAATGCATGCGTGCGCTCTGCTGCTGCTGGTGGTATATCGTTGTGTGTGCAGCGTTATTCCTTAACAGCTTGTTTACTAATGCGAATGCGTCCCTCCCTCATCTGCCATCAACGCTGCACTACCCTCCCCCCCCTCTTCTCCTTCCCCTTCCCCCTTCCCGCCCCCCTCTCGTCCCCCCCACCCACCAGATCCGGCAGCGCATAATCAACTGTCGCACTTTCCAGCGGCCGCGGGACATCCGGTTTCTGAACATCATCTGCAGCTGCGGGGGGGCGCCCGTGCGCACGAACCAGAACGTGGTGGTGGACATTCTCAAGGAGAACAGCGACGTGCTCGTCAAGGCGCGCGTGGCGCCCTCTGAGAACGGCGTGGGCGAGGAGACGCTGCTGCTGGAGCGCGACGGGCTCGTGGTGGACTGTGGCGCGCTTGAGAGTCTGGATAAGCTTGGAGCGCACTCGGACTCTATTCACCGCTCGCCTCAAGGTCCGTGTGCTGTCACACACCTGCGCACAGTCAATCCAACCCTCCGTCACTCGCTCTCCTCCCCACTTGCCCATCGTCCTCCACTTTCTCTCGCTTTCTGACTCCCCTTCCCCCCTTTCTCCCCCCCTCCTTACCCCTTCCAGAGGTGCTGTTTCTGTTCTACGTGGTGACGTTGGAGCTGTTCTGCACGCTGTGCATGCAGCGCAACCGCAAGGCCATAGACTGGCTGATAGAGGACAGCGACCTGTACGGGCTGGACTACCACACGCTGCGCATGGTCGTCTTCAACCCCTCGCTGCCCTTCTTCCTGCGCACCAACTGCTGCCGCCTCCTCACGCACCTCTACATTGATCGGGAGCCCTTTGAGGAGCGCTCCTACACGCGCCTTGTGCTCACCTGGTAATGTTGCGCGCACAGGGTAACAATCCACGTAGTAACATAACGTATCCCTCGCACTGGTATATCATCTGCCTCTAGCTCCTTCACATGGTATGATCCCTCCCCTCCCACTCATTGCTGCTCCTCCCATGCTTTCTGCTCCATTCCCTGCTTCATTCCTCCCCCTTCCTCCCATTACTCTCTGTTCCCGCAACTCGTCCCATCATTCCTCCCACTCCCCTCATCTCTTGTCCCTCCCTCCCATGCCCGCCCCTCCCCTCCTCCCCTCTCCCCTCCAACCCCCACCCGCCAGGCCGGCCATTGACAGCAGGCAGCCATTCCCCGAAGAAGAATCATCAGAGGAGGACGACGTGTCGCGCGCCATGGCAGACCCATTCCTGGCCTTCCCCCACAAGGCGCCCGAGGCAGGCTTCACAGCGCTGAAACACAACATCCTCGACTTCCTCCCCTCCACCACGCTCGCTCAGACCAACAGCCGGCCCGGCCAGAGCTCTCTCACCTTCGCTGTGCTGCAAACAGCCAGCCTGATGCTGCGGTTTGGGCTGTTTGGGAGCTTTTCTGGGCTGGGGGAGGAGGGCATAGCGCCCATTGTGGACGCGGTGGTTCCGCTGCTGGATGGGCGGTCAGAGAAGTGGGGCGCGGACGGGGCTGCGGGCGGGGATGCGCTGCGGTTTAAGAGCGATCCCGAGTCAAACATGAATACTGTCATGGAGGTAAGTGACTTTTGAGACGACTCAAATGTCGGGGATGCACTGCGGCTCAAGAGCCATCCCGAGTCAAACATGAATACCGTCATGGAGGTGGGTGCGGGGGGGTGGAACGCTGGAGGTCCTGGGGGGGCTGCTTGGGAGGGGGGAACGGGGTGGGGGGAGGATGTGTGGGGCAAAGGAGGAGGGGGGGAAGAGCATGAGCATGTATGCATGGCAGGCAATGAGGCCCATATGATGAGCCCTGCTCATGTCCATATTCGACAGGCACGCAGCAGCTGGCACACCACCATCACTATTGCCCCTTTCCCACGCCCCCCCCACTCCCTCCGTCCACCCCCCATCCCCCACAATCGCTGCCAGGCGAAGACGGTGATATGTTCCATACTCATGTACATATTCGACATGCGCGCAGCGGCTGTTGCATGCACAGCACCTGACACGTCACCATCACTCTGATCCTTTCTCACCCCACTCAACCCCTCCCACCACTCCCCATCCCCCCCACTCCCTGCCAGGCGAAGACGGTGATATGCTCCATGCTCATGTACATATTCGACATGCGCAGCAACTGGTGCATCACCACAGCCTTCGACGCCTACTCACGCCTGGGCGACCGCACCACCACAGTGCCCTGGGACATGCCTGCCAGTCTCTCCCGCACCGCACCCGACCCCACCGACGTGCCCTCTCCAGCCATCGGCGCACCCCCCTCCCCTGCATCCACGCTCGATCCCTCCTCCTCCGCCAGCACCCCTGCCTCTCAGGACGTGAACGGCTCGCACTCCGCTCTTGCGCGTGCGTTAGCAGCGGTAGACGGCTCCACGAGCCCTCACGGGGTTGGGGAGAGAGCAGGGGGTGCGGGGGCAGGTGCGGCGGGAGTGGGAGTGGGAGTGGGTGCGTTACCGCCATCAGGCAGCACGGGGGGGCTGGCTGCAGTGGCGCTAGCAGCCATGGCAGCCTCAAAAGAGTCAAGCCGCAAGTCTATGTGGCGTGGCATGAGGCTCAAACTAGAAGCTAACAACCTGAAGACGCACGGCCGCGCCACCTTCCGCATGTTCCCGCCCGATGCATCGGTGTTTGAGGGCTTGAGCGGGCAGCTGTTCAAGCGCCCGGCGCTGAGTGCCCTGGTGGAGCGGGTGTCGGAGGGCGGGCTGCCGTACATGCTAGAGGTGCTGCTGGATCTGACGCGGTACCAGTACGCGCCACTCAAGGCGTATGCGTTCTCGCTCATTGACCGGTACATGACGGAGAAGGCGTCGCTGCTGCGCAAGATGCTGGAGTGCCACATCATTGTGGATGCTGACATGATGCTCGTCTACAAGCAGGTGCGCACACTTTGAACCGTCTCTTTCTTCTGTTTTCTTGTTTTGAGACGTCTCTGCGCAAACGTAAACAATTGCTGGGATTGATCCAAGCACCCTAAGCAGCTATTTTCTTCTTCGATTCCCCCGGTCGCACACACCACATGCAGGTAGCACGGGATGTGAGTGTGCTGCGCAGCCTGCAGGGCTGGCTGGGCAGCGACGACTCGCGTCTGCGAGTGGAGGTGCGGCGGCGGTGTGTGCGGCTGCTGGGGCGGTTCAAGGCCATGTGCACTGTGGGGCCGGGGCAGAACGAGGCGCAGGTGCTCAAGCACCAGACCATCCTGCAGACCGTCGGCGCTCACCTCTGCTCCGGTAACCCCCACCCCACAATGCTTTCTTCTCACGCTCAGCAAAACTAAATTCCCCTTTGCTGATTCTTTTAACCCTGTGGTATCCCCACCCGAACCGCACCCCATTCCCGCATTGGCCGTCCCTGTGCTTGTTACCACCACGGTTGTTGATGTCTGTGTGGCCCAATCGTGCCTGCGTTCATGTGTTGGTTTCCTTTTCGAGACACATGCAGCCCTTTGTACCTGCACTTCTTTCACACCTTGTGTTCCACCTCCCCTTGGCCTGTCTCTCGCTCTTTCTCACCTTCTGCCCCCGCCTCCTCCCACTGTGCGCGCATGCATGCAGTGGACCTACTACGCACACCTTTCCGCAGGGTGGCATCGCACGAGCCGGGAGTGATGGACTGCATGAGCGACAGGGGCCTGCAGGACCTCTTCTCCGCCGCCTACCAGTTCCTCGCCATGGTCTGTCCTTACTCTGCTCTCCTGCCTGCCTGTCTGTCTGCCTGCCTGCCTGCCCGCCCCCACCTACTCCCCACCGTCACACCCATCCGCACGTCCTATCACCACACCACCCCCTCCCCCGCCTCTTCCCTTCCACTTCCCACACCAAATCAACCATATATTTATGCGTTTGCTATTCCACTCCCCACCCCACTATCCTCCTGTGTCCCATCCTGCAAACCCTCTCTCAACCACCCGCCACGCACCTGTTGCTTTGCTTCCTCCCTCTCCCCCGTCCCTCCTCCCACCTCCCTGACATGCCCCCCATCACCGTCCCCCCTTCCATGCTCACTTCTGTGCGGGCGTGGTGAACGAGGAGATACAGCTGGCGCTGCATGACCTTGGCAGCGCCTCAAAAGAAGAATACCCCTCTCCTTCCCCCCTTTCCATGCGCAGTTCTGTGCGGGCGTGGTGAACGAGGAGCTACAGCTGGAGCTGCACGCGCACATGGGGGTGTTCCTGCCGCACCGGGGGCTGGCGTCGCTGAACGTGATGGCGTTCATGTGCACCATGCTCAAGGACAACTACGACCTCTGCTCCACCGTCTCGCACGACCACCTCTGGGCCTGCATCAAGCTCATCCTGCGCTACGGCAAGCGCGCCACCTGGCTGCAGTTCCTCGAGGTGCGTTGAGGGGGTGATTGCACTCTCTCGTTTTCTATAAGAACTTCATGCTGGCCTTGCAACTCTTGGCCTGCCCCTTCAGGTTGGTCACTCGCTTCAAGCATATTACACCACACCCCCTCCTCCCCTCTCATCCCCCCCCCCTCTAAACAGACGGTGGTGCTGGTGAACAGGAAGCCCATAGCGCGCAACCAAATGATGGTCCTGGACATGATAATTGACTACGATGACCAGATCTCCGGCCTGCCGCACTCGCTTCAAGCATTTTATACCACACCCTCGCGTCCCTCTCATTCCCCCCCCACACAGACGGTGGTGCTGGTGAACGGGAAGCCCATAGCGCGCAACCAGATGATGGTTCTCGACATGATCATCGACTACGATGACCAGATCTCCGGCCTGCCGCACTCGCTCACGCACTGGCGCTGGCGCGAGGCGCTCATGCGCCGCAACGAGCACGTCACAGCGGGGGTAGACAGCCAGCTGCGCTACCACACCGCGTACGTCTCACTTATTGCCGCGTGCTGCTGGGGGAACAACCCTGCGAACGCGGTGAAAGTGAGCGGGCTGGTGGGACTGGGGGATATCATGGCCACGCTGCTGTGGCTTGCGAGTGAGACTGCTGTGAGCGCGGACGCGGATTCTGAAGACATGGATGACGCGGGGTGGGATGAGGAGGACCTGATGGAAGAAGTCGAGGAGGGGGAGGGAGAGGGAGAGGGAGAGGGAGAGGAGGGCCGGGGCGGGGATGGGGAGGGTGGAGAGGAATCGTCCGAGGCATGGAACGCGGAGATTAGCTCGGATGGGGATACACAGGAGGTGGACTCGTGGTCCACGGTCACGTCTGAAACCAGCTCTATTCGCGGTGTGAAGCGGGCGGGAGGGGGTGGGAACGGCAGCGGGCGCTTGCAGGCATCGGGGTCGTCCCAGCGGCGCCTGGATCCCCGCATGTCCCGCAGCTTCCCTGCTACTCTCAGCCAGCAGGAAGCAGCTGGGGCGGCGCTGCAGGCCAAGGGAAGCCAGAGCTTCAAAGTGAGCCGGCGCGGACAGGGGATGTTTGACGAGGCGGGGAGATACGTGTGGGGGGAGGACGAGGAGGAGGACGATGAGGGGTTGTGTGAGGAGGAGGATGAGGAGGGGGTAGCGAGGAATGAGCAGGCACGGGCGATGTGGAGAAAGACTAACTCCATGCGCACGTGGCGGGGGGAGGCGAGTGAGTGGGAGTGCCGCGCGATTCCTCTGGAGTCGGTGCATGTGGTGAAGGCCGCGTATGTGCGGCTGCTGCACCAGGCGTATGTGACAGGGCACAGCGACCGAGCAACAGCGGAGATCAGGGACGAGGGCAACGGCATGTGGCCGGACGCACGTGAGTCGGAAGGGGACGGGCGCAGTGCAGTTGTGGGGGTCAGATTGCCTCGGTCTGGATCAGCTGGTGGTAGCACGGAGCTGGGTGCCGGTCCGTCGAGTGCGGAGAAGGCGGCGGGGTGGCGGGGGATGAGTGGGACGGTGGGGATGCGGGGGCAGCCTGTATCGCTCATGGAGGACACAGTCACGGAGTTGCGCCTGGCAGCAGAGGAGAGCTTCGACCACGCAGCACCAGAGGGGTCAGCGCTGCATTACGTAACCACAGCAGCACTCCCGATGCTTTCCGCTTACTTCAAGCGCCACTTCACGTCTCGCGCTGCTCTCCCGGACTCCCACCGCCGCGTGTTAGACGAGCTTGTGGCGGGCATCTGGGAGCTGTGCTCACAGCTGCCGGCCTCCCAGCAGGAGGCGTGTGTGCGGTGCGTGGAGGAGATGAAGGCGGCGGGCGCGCTCAAGGGCACCATGTACGACCCGCTGCTGCTGCCCTTCGCCATGGACCGCCAGATGTCGCGCCTCAAGTCGTCGGAGCTGGCGCGGAAAGGCGCGGTGTTCAAGAGCAACTGGGGGAACTTCTCGCGCCTGTTCTCGCACACGCTGGAGATCACAGATCTGCACACCATGGAAGGGTCGGGCGCTAGAGACCTCGCGCTCCTGCTCTCGCAGCAGCGCCTGGTGATGAACTCCGTGCCGCCGTTTCACTACTCCGATGTGGTGCGGCAGCTCACGCTGCTGCTCTCGGCACCGAAGATTCCCGATGAGATGACGCCAGACCTCATTGTGCGCTTCCTGCGCGTGTGCAGTGCAATGATCTACCTCACAGAAGACACCGACACCAGATCCGACCTCCCTGCAGGAGTTGCCGCGTCCGCGTCCTCGTCCAACCCTACCTCTGTCTCTGCCACTGCCTCTTCGACCTCCACCACGTGGCTCGTGAGTGACGACCGCAAGCCCTTGGTAGCCAACATCACGCACTCCCTCGGTGCTGCTGTGGGGGCCGTGCCTGCTGCCACAGCCACTGCCGCGGGCGCTTCTGGTGCGGCCGGCGGGGGGGAGAAGCGGGAAGAGCAGGTGTCACTGGGGCTGCTGGTGCTGCGTCCAGAGGAGAAGGCGCGTGCGATGAGCAAGTGGGAGATGTTTGAGGCGTCGCTGCCCGTGCGCTACTCCAAGTCGTCGCTCGACGCTCTCGACCGCGTGCAGTGCAAGTACGCGGATCTAGGCCTGGCAGAGTGTGCCGTGCGCCTCGTGAGTCACGGCAACCAGTGGGTGCAAGCCGAGGCGGTGAAGCTCGCGATCGCACTCACAGACGAGGGAAACAGCAAGGTGCAGGATCTCATGTACGCTGTTCTGGTGGAGGATGGGCAGCTGTTCTTCACTGTACAGAAGGTGCTTGCTGCCGCCTCTGCCACCATCAAGTTTGTACGCAAGGGGCTGGATAAACAGGAGGCGCGCGCCAGGAAGGAAGCTGCTGGGAAGCGGCAGATGCAGGAGATGGCAGGGGAGGGGTTTGGGGAGGACCGGGAGGGGGCTGGGAGTGAGATCGCGCGTGGCAGCATGAGCGGGTTTTTCCGCGGGAGGAGTGTGCCGACGACCATGCCTCGTGCATCCTCTGCTATCAGCGCGAGAGGGGGACGAGTGCAGGCGGCCGACTCGTCTGCATCGTCGGCATCTGCTGCATCAGCCGAAGCACCAGCAGCAGCATCCGCAGCGGCTGGCGCGGAGGGTGGAGCGTTGGTGTTAACTCCCTCTATGCGCTCGCGGCTTCTCCATGCAGCAGCTATGATGAGACGGGCTGCTGCCACTGAGGCAGCAGGTGGAGAGGGACCCAAAGCGGTGGAGCAGCAGAAGGAAAAGGAGGGTGGAGCAGGAGGAGCGGAAGCGAGCAGCGGGAGGAAGCAAGAGGCGGAGGGAGAGGAGGTGCATGAGGAGGAGCAGGAGCGGGTGGGATCGTTACGGGCGTTTGCCAAGTCCAGGTCGTTGCGCATTCCCCGGGTCACTCTAGCTGACAGCCCCAGCATTGCTTCAGACGATGCTCTCACAGCCTCTGCTGCTGCCAGGGCCACACCCACCGGCAGGGGCGGCAGCAAGACACGGCAGCCGGGGCTCCCAAAGGCCAGCTCGAGGGGCATGAGTGGCAGGAGAGAGAGCGGGGAGGTGGGATTTGGTGGAGGGTTTGCTGGGGAGTCCGGTGCTGGCGGTGCAGGTGACAGCAAGGGCGGATCTGGCCTGCGCATGTTCCGCCGCGCCGTGTCCTCTGTGGTGACTCGTGAGCTGCCGCGCTCCTCCTCGTCCGCCGCGCACTTCCCCATGCCCCGCACGCGCGCGTCCATGGACGCGCATGTCAAGGCGGGGCGGCGCGTGGAGGGCAGTGCGACGCGCGAGGAGGAGGATGACGAGGAGGAGAGCGAGGGGCGATTGCGGCAGGAGGAGGAGGACGGGTTCCAGCTGTGGAACGTGGAGGAGTCAGCGAGTCACAAGGACACCACGCTGCACAAGAAGGCGTGGGTGGTGCTGTCGGGGCACGTCACCAACGTGCTGCGCATGCTGCAGCTTCTCTGTGAGGGGCACAACGCACGCATGCAGCGCCTGCTGAGAGTCCAAGACGACACCGCAGCAGCGGGTGCCGTTGCTGGTAGTGGCGGCGGTGGCGGGGGCATGGCGTATGACTCGGGGCCGTGGGGCGGGGGTAGAGGCGCGGGGGGCAGCGGGGTGGGGAGCAACGGGCGCAGTGTGAACCTGCTGCAGGAGATCATAGTGTTCCTGGAGCATCTGCAGCCGTCGCTGGACAAGAACCTGTCGCAGCACAACCCACTGCTCGCACAGATCGCACTCCAGGTAAGAATGTGGCACACTGGCACAGTGGCACCTCCTCAACGAGTCTGTAGTCACACTACAGGCGTGCTGTCCTGTCACCTTCTTAACCTTGCCACACCACTGGCCCAACCTGAGAAACTCATTTCCGCCTTGCTTCCACTTGCTTCCACACACCCTCCCTCCTCTTCCCCGCCACGCCCGGTACCAACCCCTCTTCCTCTCCCTTCCTCGGCAGGCCCTGAACACACTCCTGGAGGCGATTCAGGGGCCGTGCTTTGAGAACCAGCTGGCGCTGGTGCGGTCCAACTTCCTCTCCATCACGCAGCGCATGATGGCCAGCCTTACATACCGCGATGAACGTGTGCCCGCACCCGATGAGCTCGGGGAGGGGGGCGAGCAGCCCGTGCGCTTCAGCCCGGAGGTGATCGCCAAAGTGCTCAGCTACACGGCGCTCGGGGATAGACCCGCTGGCAGCCTCGACTGCCCCATGGTGAGATGGGCTGGGGGGTCATGGGTTGACAGGAGTGGATTCAAGGTTTTTTTTTTTTTTTTTTTTTTTTTTTTTTTTTTTTTTTTTTTTTTTTTTTTTTTTTTTTTTTTTTTTTTTTTTTTTTTTTAATGAAGGGTGGTTGCAGGATGATACTGATTGATGTTCGCTCGCCCACGCCTGCTTCTGTGCTTCACCACATAGCTTTCCTACTGGAAGACGCACCTGCATCTGTTTCACACACATCTCTCGAACCATCAACTTTGAACCCTCCATGCTGTAAATTCCCTCCCCCGCTCAACTCTCCCGAGTCCCTTACCCAACCCCACGCCCACAAACCCCCCAGCTTGGTCCGAACGACCTGCGCACGTGGGTGCGCAACGGCATCCTGTCAGTGTACCTGTCGCTGCTGGAGGAGATCGGCAGCAACCACGAGATCCCCAGCAAGATGGCAGCAGTCATTGACTTCTCTGCGCTGCTGCAGCGCTGCCGCTACGTGCGCGGCACCATTCTCAACGAGTTTGACGCCTTCTCCTCCACGGCGGCCCGCAGGTTCCGCGGCCGCTCCACGCTCTCGCTCTCTGAGATGCTCGAGGCCACTGGCCTTGCTGCTGTTGCCGCTGCCGCCACAGGGGGTGGTAATGCTGCTGCTGGTGGTACTGCTGGTGCTGCTGGTGGTGCTGGTGGTGCGAATTCTGCTGCCAGTGGCAGCAAATGGGGGGGCACTGCTGCTGCGGCAGCACCCGGGGGAAGCAACAGCGGCAGCGGCGGTGGTGGTGGTGGCAGCAGCGGCGGCGGGAGTGGTGGCGCTGGTGCGGGTAGCAGCGGAGGTGGGATGGGCGAGGGAGGGGAGAGGGCAGGAGGCAGTGGGGGCGAGCAGGAGGGAGCATCACGGCAGGAAGGGTCGAAGCTGCCACTGTGGATGACGTTCAATTCCGATGCGCTGAACCACCTCCTACCATCCGAAGTGCTCAACTCTCTCATGATCATGATCAAGCTCGACGATTTCGACCGTTGGATGTTCGCCAGCAGCGAAGCCAGCAACGCCAGCAGCAGCAGCGCTGCACTGGCGGCGCGCGATTGGTCGGGCGCGGGCGGGCGCAGAGCGATGTTTGCCACGTGCACGTACTCGATCCTCAAGTGCGACAAGCCGCAACGGTGCGGCACGCTGTGCTTTGGGCACACGCTTGCTGTGAGCGACTCAGAGCTGCAGAAATTCTTCTCGCACTCGTCGTGTGCCATTGAGGTGGTGCGCGAGGGGCAGCTGGAGAAGGTCTACTTCCCTCTCACGGCCGAGTGCCGCCGCCTGTCACGCGACCCCGTGTGGACCATGGCTGCACTGGAGGAGCTGTATGATGTGCCCCGGGAAAACCCCATCCAGGTCCGTGCACTGCACGCACGCCCACATGCACCCACCCACATGCACCCACCCACATGCACCCACCCACATGTACCGACGAGACGGTACTCACTCATACGCACCGCTCCGTCCCTTTCAGATTCCATGATCCGCTTATCTCCTACCCACACCCCTCCCTGCTTTCTCCGGGTCCCTTCCCGTCCGTCTCTGTTTCCCCTCCTCCACTGCTCCCCCCGCGCCTCTGCGTCCCCTCTCCCCTCTGCCCCTCCTCCTCCCCCCCCTTTCCCACCGGACAAGCAGAAGGTGCAGCACTTCATGCGGGCGGCGCGCGTGCTAGTGCTGAAGCTACAGCACTACGAGCGCATGCGGCACCGGCACCCATGGGCAGGCTGGCTGCAGGACATGCTGCCGCAGATCAAGCGCCTGCCCTTCTACACCTCCATCCTCATCGTCGCGCTCATAGTGTTCAGCTACGGGCAGACCATGCAGCCGTGGGCGCACTACGCCTTTGCGCTCGCGCTTATTCGTGTGCTGGGGCTGCTGCAGCTGCTGGTGACGAGCCTGGCGCTCACGGGGTTCATCTGGCTGGAGTCGCCGCTGCTCGTGCTGAAAGATGTTTCTGGGGATGAGCGAGAGGCGGACATCTCAGGTGGGGGTGGGCAGTGGGTGTGGGTGCGAGTGTGGATTGTTAAAGTGGGGGAGGGCGGTGGAGTGGGGAAGGGCGTGGGGATGATTTTGTTGTGTTACTATCATTGTCAGCGTTTTTTTTTCCCACGCAGTTTCTTTGCATGTGGTCTTTAGGCACATGGCCATCTGTGGTCTGCATATGCCCATGTGTGTGTGTGCATGCATCGGTGTGTGTGTGCGTGCATGGCATGGGAGCAGAGCGCATGACGCGGGGGGATGGGGCAGCAGTGGATGCAGGGGAGGCAGGTCTGGACCAGCGGCTGAACGAGTCCATGGACCTGCGAGGCGTGCCCAAGTCACTGCTCTTCCGCAACCTCGACTTTTGGTACTCTGTGCTCATGGTCGTTGCCAGGTACGCATCCCCCCCTCGCCTCCCACACTCCCTTTCCACACACACACACGCACACACACACACGCACGCACACACACACACACACACACACACACACACGCGCACACACACACACAGACACACACACATTCCACTGCAGTGGCCTGTTGCTGTGAGCCACCATTCCTCCCCCATCCCTCGTCCCCCTTGTGTGCAGTGTGCTGGGGCTGTCAGTGTCGCCCTTCTTCTTTGTCTTCCACCTACTCGACTTCATCATCTATCACCCCTCCGGCGCCATTGTGCTCAAGTCCGCGTACGTGGGCGGCCCTTTACTAATCCGCACGGGCCTCGTGGGCATCCTCGTCATCTTCATGTACTCCATCGTCTCCTTCCTCGCATTCGCCGGTCACGATGACTTTGCCTGCACGACGCTGTACGAGTGCATAGGGCTGCACCTCGTGAATGCCATAGCGAGCAGCAGCATTGGAGGGCTGTGGCAGAACTGGGACGCGGTGCCCACGTCGGTGGTGACGGATGTGTGGCGGCAGCTGCGCACGGTGTTCATTGTGTCCTTCCTCATCGTCTGGGTCTTCCTGCTGCAGAACATCTTCACTGGACAGGTGTGTGCGTGTGTGTGTGTGTGCGTGTGTGTACCATTGAGCTCCTGAACCGCGTTGTGTTCCCAGTACCATGCTGCACTCTGCTCTGCTATGCCTTGTGAACATCGAGACTGCTGGTTACCACAAGCATCAGCACGCGCTTTCTGTTTCTGGTTGCCTGTTGAACTCATCTCAACTCTGCTTCAAAAAGCTGCTGCACAAGTCACAAAGCTGCTTCTCCCATGGCCCTCCCTCACAACCTCGCTGTCTGTGCCCCATGTATCTCCCTCACGTGTGAGCACCAGATTGTCGATGCCTTCACCTCCATTCGAGATGAGAAGGCAGCCAAGGAAAAGGATCTCGGTGAGTGCCCCTCCCCTTCCCACCCAGCACTCCTCCCGACTGCTGCGTGTAACGCATCTGTCGTGACATGCATATCCTCCCTTTCTCTGCTTCTTATCTTCACTCCCCCACTCTCTATCTCCGCCCGCCCAAACCCCCAACGAGCTCTCCCCATTACGCCACTCCCCACCTCCCATCGTCCATCCCCCATCCCTCCCCTCCCTCCACCCCTCTCCGTGCAGACGACAAGTGCTTTGTGTGCAGCATCGACCGGTTTGCGTTTGAGCAGCGGCTGGGGGGGTTTGTGGAGCACATAGCGCACGAGCACAACCCGCTGCACTACCTCTTCTACATAGACTATCTCCTCAAGCGCAACCCCACCGAGTACACAGGCCTCGAGTCCTTCGTGCGCGCGCATCTCGACGCGTCCAACTACGACTGGATCCCTATTGGCCGCGCCATGCACACGGACCGGCTGCAGCAGGTGCGCGCGAAGCAGAACGACAACCACGCATCGCTGGACTCCATGCGGGCTGCCATAGACCGCATGGACGCGCGCATGCGGTTGTTAGAGGCGAGTATCGACTTGCTGCGCGGGGATGTGGGCCGCGGGTCAATGCGTGTGAAGGGCAACAGCATGGGGCGGCTGGGGAGCATGAAGGAAAGCAGCTCGGGGGGCGGGTTCAAGAGACGCCTGGCCTCGGGATCGTCGTCAAGGTCTGAGTCGTTCCGGCGCACCAAGACGATTGCGGTGGGTGATAGGGGCGTGGCGAGGGCGGAGTTGAGAGGTCACGTGGGTGGCGGTGGTGGGGCGACGTCAGGACGGATTAGAGGGGCGAAGAGGTAGCTGCATGTGGTGCAGCTAGGAAAGCAGGGCGGGTGGGATGTTTTGGAAGCAGGCAGGGGAGATTGGCAAAGCATGGCAAGTATTTAGATGGTAGGATTGCTATTTTGCAAGGGCCAATACACCAGTAACATGCTGTGCTCGCATGTAGCCATGGCACTCCTCTCTATCTAGCTCCTGCTTGCGGTGATTTGGGCCTTATTCATTCTGTAGTGTGTGGTGTCAGTGCGCAGTGTTCAAAGTTGCTTGCTACATCTTCGAAGGTTTGCATGTACACTGACCTAGCAAAAGAGCAGATTTTACCTGTTACCTGGTATATGAAGAGAACTCCAGTGCCATGCAGCTAGTGCAAGTGGTTTGCACACATAATCAGTAGCACAATTAACGCACCATAAGCTGTACCGTACTCTTAATTTCCTGCCACATGCGCTTCAGATAGTCTTTCTACACCCATACAAATCAGCTACACCTACAGGATCCCTGAATGTGCTTTATGACCTGTCAACATGACACGAGGGATAAGGTTTCTACCCAAAAAGAAAATGACAAGTGGTAAGGCAATCTCAAGTGCTCACCCTTCCCTGCATGCCCATGCAACAGGCACAGCAGTGCCATGCACACAAGGCGCTGCAGGCACGGCTTGGCATTGCGCTTGCCTCCCCACACGACAAGCTAAATGGCATAGATAGGAATACGGTTGCGCGTGGCGCTTCTCACGGCGATATGATATGATATGATATGATATGATATGCATGAGTGCCATCAGACACACGAGAGAAAGGAATGTGGAGGCGGTTCCGAGACAATGCCGTGCCATCACCGATTGTTGCCTGTTGCTCCTAAACCGCTCAGCCGCAGTCGTGCTGGGAGCAGGTGAGCGTGCTGGCATGGAGTGGATCACATCACACGTTCTTGTTGTACGTGGCAGGACCCTTGTGATAAGCCTGCTGGGAGGGTGGGCACGAGGAGAGGGGAGCGCAGCAGTTCAGTGCAATGCAATGCACACAACTACAAAGTGAAGTGTTCTGTGCATGCTAGAAGATGTGGTTGACTGTGGCTTGTGTGGTTGCTGTGGTTTAGGCAGCATGCACGTGCAGGAGGGGAAGGGAGGGGATGGGGAGATGGGGCGGAGGGAGGAGGGAGGAGGGAGGAGGGAGAGCGGTGCAGGAAGCTGGAGAGGGTGCGTGCATGGTGTGGTTGTGCACGAGCATGAGCATGCAGGCGCAGGCACTCACGGCAGTCTGGCGGGTGGAGGTGGAGTCGAGTGGCAGGTTCTGCACCTTCACCAGCATCTCCACTGCCTGTGCCATGGTGGGGCGCGCCTCAGGGTCCGAGTGGATGCACTGCGATGCCAGCATCGCCACCTGCAGGGATAGTCGTCAGGGGTCACATCGTCACATCCCACGACCACGGGCAACCGGCAACGGGGTCATGATGGGTTAGCACGAGGACTTTGGGGTGATACCAATGCTTTGAGCAAGTTGTGGTGGGTGCGGGGTTATTGGTGACAGCAGAGCACATGCGTGCAAGCAGGCCATGTGTCCCCATGTACATGTGTGTGCCAATGTGCGTGGGCAAGCATGCACGTGTGCACATGCATGTGAGCAGGGAGCAGCAGCACACCTGGTAGAGGGCGGCAGTGGAGATGGAGCCATGCAGCTTCTCATCCACCATCGCCTCCACCAGCGACCGCTGCGACAACCGCGACTTGGCCTGCACGGGGGCAGGGTGAAGAGCAGGAGGGTTAGTGTCAGGTGGAAGGTGAGGGGTCAGGGCTGTGGGCGCACCAGCAAGAGAATAGACAACAGCTTACAAGATGACCTGGCAGCTGTAAACTCGTGTAAGAACCTGCATATGATCCCCAACCCTCCATTCCCCTCCCCTCCCCACATCACCCACCCCCATTTGCCTGCCCTCTCCCCCCACATCCGCCCATCCGCCCAGGCGGCAGTGCACGCACCCAGTGCACGAGGCTCTGCTCGTTGGGCGGGCGCGCATTGTCAACGGGGCGGCGGCCGGTGATGAGTTCGAGCAGCAGCACGCCAAAGGCATACACGTCCACCCGGGGAGTCATCTCTGACGCCCATGCCAGCTCCGGTGCCGCCGTGCCCGCTGCCACCGCCTGCACATCGTGGTGATGGGTGTGTGTGGGTGGTGAGGGGTGTGCCGATATGAATGTGTGGAGATATGTGCAGTGCGGGACATTGTTGGGGTGGGGCATGGAGCCGGGGAGAGGGGGATGGGGGGAGGGGGATGCAAATGAGAGGAATGAAAGCGAAGGGCGCGGGGAGTTACCAGGGATGGGGAATGAGAGGCACATCAGTTTTAAGGCGGGAGGGGAAGCGTGTGTGAGTCAGGGTGGGCGTTGGCACCAGGTAATAGTGCTACATGCGGGCAGCACTGATGTGAGTGGGTGTGAGTAAAGCACAGCACAGCACCGCACCATGTTAACGGAGTGCGTGAGAGCAGAGGTGCGCGCAGCAGCAGATCCCCCAGAACTATTAGCAGCGAGGGTGGGGAGGCAGTAATCGGCGAGCTTGGCGTGGAAGTGGTCGTCGAGCACGACGCACGTGGCCTGCAGCCCCTGGTGCATGAGCTGCGGGTGCAGCGAGTGCAGGTACGCCAGCCCCTTGGCCACGTCCAGACAGATGCACATGCGCGTCGTCCAGTCCAGCGGCAGAGTGCCGGGTTCCAGGTCTGGGAAAAGGGAGGTGGTGGAGGGGGTTGGAGAGGGGTGGTGTGGGGGAGAAGGGGACGGGCGACGAGAGGGGGGGAAAAGGGGGAAAGAGGAAGGGGGGTGGGTGGGCAAACGGGAGGATGAGGTAACATGGAGACCGGATGTAGGGGGCAAGGGTGGTAAGGAAAGAGCAAGCAGGATAAGGAAGGCGCGGGAGGTTGTGAATACTGTGACAAAGGAGGGAGACAAAGCGGAAAGGAAAGGGAAGAGGGGGGTTGGGGGTGAAGAAGGGTGTGGGGGGGTGGGAAGGGAGGAAGGGAGGGAGGCAGGGAGAGGAAGGAGGGAAAAAAAACAAGACGGAAAGCAAGAGGAGAGCAGCGGGGAGGCGAGGCGGCAGCAGCAGCATACCATGGAGGTGCATGTCAAGGCTGCCATTGGGCACAAGCTCATAGATCAGCAGATGATGACGCCGCCCCCCGCTGTTCCTATCCGCGCACACGCCCAGCACCTCCACGAGCTGCGGGCACCTCACACCACTGAACATCTCAGCCGCGGCGACAAAGGAATCGGGGGACTCGTGCGCGAGGGGGTCGAGCTCCTTGACGGCGACGTACAGCCCCGAGGGCAGCACGCCGCTGAGCGTGCGGCAGACTCCGTCGGTGCTGATGACGTTCTCCACGTTGAAGTTGTTGGTCGCTAGCTGCAGCTCGTCCAGGGAGAAGCGCGTGAGAGTCAGCTTCGCCGTGCCTGGTACAGGGGGTGGCATGGGGGCGAGGGTAATGGGAGGGGGGGAGAGGGTGGGGTTGTGGAAGGAGAAGTGGTGTGGTATTGGGTTAGAGAGGTAAGACGCCAGCAGTGCAAAACGTTGATTGACAACCCGCCCTCCCTCCCTCCCTTGATTGTTTGTTCCTTTCCCCACTCCCCCTTCCCCAACCCCACCCTCCCTCCCTCCCTCCCTTGATTGTTTGCTCCTTTTCCCGCTCCCCCTTTCCCAATCTCACCCTCCCCTCCCTTCCCCCTCTCCGTTTCCAACCCCCCATCACCATTCCCCCACCCAGACTCCCCTTTCCCATACACGCACCACCCCCACACACCTGTCTTGGCCGCCGAGCCGTCGCTGGGGTGCTTGGGCAGGGAGTCAAACGCAGGCACGCCGTAACCGTCGAGATCATCCGGGTCATACGCATGCGAGCGGTACGCCTTCATGTCGGGGAACGCCTTGACGCGCCCCACGTACTCCCAGCCCGCGCCCTTGCTCTTGCCGATGAAGCCCGACTTGACGCCCCAGTAGCCCGCCACGGCCAGCAGTGCGATGAGAATGAGCACCAGCAGCGCTATCAGCCACTTCCATGAGGAGGATGACCCCCCTGATGCTGGCGGCGGGGGCGCTGGCACGGGGGGAGAAGGGTGGGGGGAGGGGGAGGGGGAGGGGCAGAGGGGAGGGGGAGAGAGAGTGGGGGAGGGGGAGAGGGGGGAGAGGGGAGGAAGGGGTCGTGCAGAAGGGATGAGGGTGAGCGGTGCTGTGTTGTGCAAAGGGAAAGAGTGGGAGGGAGCAATTGGATGAACCGAGGTTGTAAAGAAGATGCGTGGAAACAGCACTGAACGGCTTTGGGCAGAGAGTCACGTGTCATGTGAGTCGTTGAAAGCGTTGATGCACGTGGCAGGGCAACACGCAGGCATCGCTATGGCCACCGTTCAGAACATCACAGCCTTTTGGCTCCTCCCTCCCAGGCTAATCCCATTCTCCCCCGTCTCGCCCCAGTGAAATTCCTCCCTCTCCTACACCCACAGCCCCATCCATTCCCCATCACAAACACACCCTATGTCCCCTCCTAAACGGCCTCGATGCATCAATCCAGTCCTAGCAGCAGGCAACGTACCAGCAGCGCAGACGCACTCCCCATAGCCCGTGCCATCGTCCAGGCACTTCTTCTCGCCAGTCTGCCCCTCCGCACACGTGCAGCTCTCTGTCTGCCCTGCGGAACACACCACCTGCGCCGCTGCTGCTGTCTCCTCGCCCCCTGCCCCTCCCGCTTCTCCCGCAGGCGGCGTCCCCTCGACCGGCCCCTCGGACGGCGGGGGCTGGGCGGGCTCGACGGGGGGAGAGAGGTTGGGGTTGGTGGGCAGCCCGGGGTTTCTGCCCGAGTCGCACTTGCCGTTGTTGTCGAAATCAGTGCACAGATATGGGTTACCGTCAGCGCTGGAGGGGAGAGAGGGCACGGGGGAAGGGGAAGCGTGGAAAGTGGGGGAAGGGGAAGGGGGGTTCAGGAGACTGAGAGCACCTCTAAGTGCGGTATCACATAAGATAAGCAACGGCACACATATATACAGGGCGTGCTAGCGCAGGAGCACATGGGAGCAAGGAGGGGCGGGCGGGGGTTACAAGAGCTGGATCTTGTGGGCCTTGTAGGTCCCCGAGAGCATGCCGGAGAAGTTGTTGTTCATGAGGTAGAGCTCCTTGAGGTTGGGCATCAGCGCGAACTTGGGCGGGATGGGGCCTGCCAGGGCGTTGTTCTGCAGCTCACTGGTGGACGCACACGCGAGGGAAGAGAGACGCACACACAGGTGGCGCACACGTGCTTGCAGGCTCAGTCACACGAACATACTCCTAAACCCAGCCGCACATGCACGCAGACAACCAGAAGCTTGCATGGGCAGGGCAAGCAAAGGCGAGCTGAATGGGAGCTGCAGCGGTTACAATGGAAGAGCATGGTTGGTGGTGGGTGCATGTCAGACAAGCAAGAGCGGGAGCGGAATGAATGAAGTGGGCAGATGTGGCAGGGGTGGGGGGGGGGGGCTGACAGTGTTTGCAGACTGACGCAGCTTGCAATCCCCACTGGCAGCGAGCCGTTGAGTAAGTTGTCGTTCAGGAAACTGCACACGCACACACGCACACACGCACACACGCACACACGCACACACGCACACACGCACACACGCACACACGCACACACGCACACACGCACACACGCACACACGCACACACGCACACACGCACACACGCACCAACACGCGCAAATGCGCGCACACACATGCACACACGCGCGCGCTCGCGCGAGCACACACATGCACAGCATCGTGCAGGGAAACATGACATGGATGGCACGTCGGGGGAAGGAGAGAGTCAGGGCCCGGGAAGAAACGAGGAAGACAGCAGGGAAGCGCTGAACGTGGTGTGAAGCACAGGAGCCGTGAGTGCGTGCTTCATGTAATGCCATGCACAACATGCCCTATCCTACCACACGCCTCCCCCTCTCACACCAGCTAGACAGCCTTGCAAGCGCTACATCAAGTGACCCCGAGACCACGAGAAAGTACGAGGCAGGGGTACGGGGGCGAGGGGGACGCAGCAGGCGGCTTACAGCTTCTTGAGATTCGTAAGCGAGCCCCAGATGGGCGGAATGACGCCCATGAACTGGTTGAAGCTCATATCGCTGCCAGGCAGGCCGACACACCAGGGGGGCGGGCGTTCAAGGGTGGGATGACATGAGAGGCGTTGCAGGGGCCACATGAGAGGATGAGCAAAAGGGGCCGTGCAATGCAGCACACGCGTAACCAGGGCGAAACATGGAACGGCGGAGGCAGGCGCGTTGCATGGTACTGCGTGGCACAAGTGCGGGCAGAAGAGGCAGCGCTGAAGCAGGAGAGAGAGGGCAGGCATGGGCACTAACAGCGTCTCCAGGAGTTTGGAGGAGTGCAAGCCGTATGGGAGGTTGCCGGTGAGATTGTTGTGTGACAGGTCACTGCAGCAGCATAGCGCCGCGCAGAGGGGGAGAGGGCATGGCAGGAAAAACACCAATTATGTTACAGGGGAACGATTGACTTGACTGCGCCGAGGCTGATACAGAATAGGGAATGGGGACGAACGAACTAACAAAACGAGCGAGCGAGCGAGTGAGGAGGCGGGTGAAGCGAGGACGGAGGGAGCGGAGAGGTGGCGCGAGCGAGCGAGCGAGCGTACAAGCTTTTGAGGTGCTTGAGGCGCATGGAGCGCGGCAGCTTGCCGCGGAATTCGTTGTGGCTGAGGTCGACGTGCTCCAGCAGCTCCATCTTGCTCAGCAGATCGCGCAGCCGCCCAAACAGATTGTTGTTGCGCAACGACCTGCGCGGCGGAAGGGTGGGGGAAGGGGAACGGGGGGGGGAGGGGGTCAGGTTTGGGGAGAGCGTGAATGTGTGTTTGTGCACGTGCGTGCGGGCGACTAAGTGGCGGCGTGTATGTGTGCGTGTGTGCGTGCGGGTGCGTGTGTGTATCTGTGTGCGGACGAACCACGCATGCAGACAGTGACAGCAGCTCACATGGCGCGTGATCGTGCTGCAACGGCAAACATTATACGCCTAAACTATAGATGGCAACAAAAGACAATCTAAGGTTATCTGGGCACACAACGCGGCGGCTGCACGCCATGACATGGCACATTCCTCATCCAAATCCCACAAGCCCGCTTTAACAAACGCACCACCCGCTCGTGCGTAGCGATTGGGCGCAACTTCTGCGTGAACCTACTTGCGGGCCCGGCCTTGCAGCGGGTCAGTCAGTGCAAGGCAAGGCAAGGCAAGGCAAGGCGCGGCAAGCGGCTTACAGAATCTGGAGGTTGGGCATGCCGATGAGCCCCCTGATGCTCCCCGAGAACTGGTTGTTGTTCAGGATTCTGCGCGCCGCACGCACCAAGGGGAACGCGCGGGATACGGGGGCAAGGGGAACACGAATCGGCTTATGTTCGGCGCGGGAATGGCAGACGGCGCGGAAGGCATGCGCGAGGGCGAGGGGCAGGGACAGAAGAAAGCAGGAGAAAATCACGTTTTAAACGCCCCGGAAGTTGACAATGTCATGCCTGCACGAGCGCGCGCTTTGCGCGAAGCGAGCATTTGCGCGAAGCGAGCAAGGGGGAGTTGCGCGAAGCGGCCATGCGGGGGTTGCGCGGAGGAGCGCGTGCAGGGGAAGGGGGACTGACAGCGTTTTGAGGCTGATGAGCTTGGCCATCTCCCGCGGCAGCGCTCCCGACAAGCTGTTGTTCGATAGGTCGCTGCTCACACACGCACGCACGCACGCACCGAGGGGAGACGTTGGAGAGAGTAACGGAAGGATGTTCAAGTGTGAGGATTCAGTGGAAGGGGCTCGGCGGTGGGATGGTAGTGGGGGGGTGAGGGGGTTGGGGTGGGGGAGGAGAAATGCGGCTCATTGAAAAAGAGGAGCAATGCGATCGCAGCACACGGTTCAAAATTCAAGATGCAGTGTCCCACTCATGAACAGAACGAGGGCGTGCGGCGCATCAGAGACAGAGCAGCAGGCGAAACGACATTCTTCTTGCACGAGGGCCGCGCAGCACGAGGGCCGCGCAGCACGAGGGCCGCGCAGCACGAGGACCGCGCAGCACGCGGGCAAGCGCCTAAGCAAGCGCGAGGAGGAACGGGGGGGCGGTGCTCACAGGCGGCGGAGGGACTTGAAGTTGCCTATCTCTCTGGGAATGACCCCTCGCAGCCCCAACCCCTTCAGGTCTCTGTTTCGCCGAGCGAAAAGAATCACGTGGCAGGGGCAGAGAACAGAGTGTAACAGGAGGTGCTTGAAGATGAACCAACGTAAAACCAATTTGATGATGACGGGAGAGCGGAAACAGCATGCGGCGAATCTTGAGGAAAGAAAACTGTTCGTCGATGCGCGGTACGAAGCAGCGGCGCGAGCTTACCAGGATGCAGGTGCCGCTGGGCAACTAGCGGAGCATTGATGTCGCCCGAATAACACATCTGGAACGTTACTCACGTTCTGCCGACTGACATTATGTAAAGTGATTTTTTTTAAGCTCGGGAAGTCGTACCAGGGAATCCAACTGAGACGATCTTCTTAAGTGTTCGAGCCCTCGGCTTGCATTCCTACGTAAGATCTTGGATCTAGGATTCCAAAGGCTTGAAGCTCACATATTGGCGACATAGTAGCTGCGCTTCGCCAGATCCTTGAAGCAGCCGATGCCCTTCCATCTGTCGGCGCCGGGGGCACAGGGGTGCGGGCCCTTCCACGAGCTGAGCGCTCCGACGCTCGACTGGAACGAGTTCTTGAGAAGATTCAGCGTCAGCACTGCCGTTAGCCGCGGCGCATGGAGAAAAAGGCAAATGGGCACCAGGTATCACGCATGGTTGTACAGGTGTCAGTGAAGAGCCGCGGTTCGGTAATGGACCATAATGTATCATGATTATATGTAGTTGAAGTAGGAAGAGGCGATGCTGTGGGAAGCTATACGGCAGTAAGTGCGTAGAGAGAAAGTTATGTGACAGTTAACGATGCAATAACGAGGCCAGAGGGGAGGAGGGGCGAAAAAAGAAAAAGAAAAAGAAAAGCAAAAACTAAAAAGCAAGCAAACAAACAAATCCTTGGGATCCCTTGCTGATGGCTGGCAAATTACACACCATCTGTCGTGAACGTTTTATTGAAGTTGCAATGCGCAACAGTAAATGCAGAAAGCAATGTTGTTGCGAGAAGCATCCATCCGCATGTCTTCGTGTAGCTCCACCGGTGCTCCATCATTGCGGCTGCTTTCCCACAGCAACCTCGCAACGTCCACCGCCCGTTATCCCCCTGGATAATGCGGAGACAATGCTAACAGCGGAGCCCAGTTTCAGTCTTCGGGATCCACCACGCTGATAACCTCCCAGAGCTGGAATTTGAGAAGGGGGGCACAAAGCTAGAAATCTGGAAATCAGCAATTCCAGTGGAGCAGCAAGGTCAAACAAGAATGGTTGGGCACGGAGGTGCAGGAATGACTTGGGGGAGCAGGGGGTCCTCGAAAATAGCGACGATGGGCGGAAACGGGTGGGTGGGGGGCCTCAGCTTGCATAACCGAGCGGAGCGGAGGCCATTGAGATGTGAATGGTTTGGACTGGGGGTTGTGTGCTCGGGTATGGGGTGATTGGTGGTGAGAAGTGGAGGTGGAGGGGTTTGCGGGGGTGTGGGGAGAGAGGAGAGCAGCGGCGGGGGGAAGAACCCAGCGAAAATTCAGGAGGGATGAGAGGTGGGGTGGTTGCTGATTGGATGAACAACGGTAGCTTGTTCATCTCCACTCCAGTCACAACACAAGCACGCTAGTCAGTTCGTTCACCCTCCTGACCCAACGTGGTGTTCATGAAAATAGTTGCAGTTCCCTTGCTGGATATACGGTACAATATCACTTTTTACATCACGCAGATGTTTTTTTTCTGATCGTTGACCTCAACGAAGGAATTTCAGACACATTGCAGGATGTTGACACATACTGCTCACAGGTTCTTCCCCAGATTAAAAATTTCAGCTACAGTTATGTCAGGTGCCTGTGGTCGGGACCTCGGCTAAGTTCGGACGGCACGGAGCAGAATTTCAGGTGCCAGCGAATTACAATAAGTTTTCAGAGTACAGTCTCTCATTTTCATTGTCGTTATGCAATATCAGCTGGCCACTTGCTAAGGTCTAGTTCTAAAATTCCCTGATCAGGGTTGTGATCAGATAATGAAACAAGCTGGGAAGTGTGTAATCACTCCGATAAAATGCTTTTTTTTTTCCAGTGAGAGAATCTGAAGTTGGATTTCCTGGCAGAGTGCATTAATTCCCAGATGCAATTCTCTTGGGGTCTTAGATACATTCTCATTGTAAGTACGGAAGTTCCTTATGGAAGAAAAGAATTGTAGCAGTTGCAAGGGCTTGGTTGGTATGATATAACATGTTCTGTTCCCAAATCTGCTAGTAGTTCACAGCCTGTTTCCCACTGTTGCAACAAAATTGTAACGATTTAGGGTTTAGGGTTTAGGGTTTGGTAATGATGGTGACTAAAACATGGGATTGGTGACACACACGCACTGTATTGGCTATATGACCTTTCATTCGAGGCCAGTCCAAGATGGTATGTGGCCCATCTACCGTGTGCCTACCGTAGCACTATAGATAACTTTCCATAGGCATACAAAGGTCTGTCAGAATGGTTCACACTTGGCAAAGCATCAAACAAAATACAGAAAGGGTGCAATGCACGCTTGACAGAGGTTCAGCAAGGATCCAGCGTAGTGCCAAGTCGAGGAGTGGGCTGCGGCAGCAGATTAGGTAGCAACCTCACACTTGCCATCACCATTGAAGTCAACGCAGAGCTGGGGGTTGCCCTTGAACCTGCAAAGACGCAAGCACAAAACCATCGTCATCTCACTGGCTTGAACTTCAACATGCGGTAAATGCAAGGCAGGCAACTTACCCAGTCTTGAACTTCTTAAACGCTTTCCCGACTGTACCGAAAAACTTGTTGTTGGCGAAGCTAACGGTAGTGAGAGCTTTGAGGTTGGCGATGCCAGGAAGGATGGGTCCACCTAAAGCGTTGTTGGCCACAGACCTGATGGTGATCAACATGCAGCACAGCCGTTAGGACTTGGAAAGCAACTAGGAAGTGGACATACGAGCGCAACAGGGTATGCAGCAGGGAAAAGTCCGGTCATCAACGTTTAATGCTTACAAGGCCTTCAGACTATTCAAGCCCAACCATCCAACAGGCAAGCCGCCAGTGAAACCATTGTTGGCAAGGTTCCTGCAGCATGAGGGTGAAAGCATTCACACACAGGAGGTACGTTAGCACCTTCACATTTCACCATGTCAACCGACCACAACGAGTCACTGACTGCCAGGGTTTGGAAGGACGAGCACAGCTAGGCCGACTCACAGATTCTTAAGGCCGGCTGAGCGCACAAGCAGGGGCGGCAGGGGGCCGGTGAGCAGATTGTTGGACAGGTCACTGTGGAGCAGGGGCGCGCGGGCGAGACACCAAACGTCAGAAAATGAGGGAACCGGCCGCCATGAGGGGCAAGACAAGCTAACTAAAAGTGGCGGACGGGCAAGGAGGGAGAGGAGAAGAGCGGATATGGGGGAAGAGGAACGATGAAGTTTATATTAGTGAGGAGGCATCTCACACGTTGACGAGCGACTTGGTGGGATCGCCGGTGAGTTCGGAGATGCGGCCACTGAGCCTGTTGTTGTTTAGCAGGAGCACACTGAGCTTCTTCGCGCTGAACAGGTTCAACGGCACGTCGCCCTTGAGCGCGTTGCCACTCAGTATCCTGTCGCACACCGCGCACGCACGCCAAGGCAGAAAGATTTCAGAACACGCGTTGTGGAACGAGTTAGGTGAAGAATGCGTGCGACGAATGGTAAGGCGGAGAGGCGAAAAGGTCGAACTGAGAGAAAAGAAAGTCTCCAGGGTGCGAAGGGGTTTACAAGGTGTTAAGGTTCTGGAGGTTGCCGAGCCGTTGGGGAATGTCGCCCGTGAACTTGTTGCTGCCGAGATTGCTGTAAAGCGGGGCACGGCGGAAATAGACGTTGCAACGCAATGTCAGCTTGTAGCGAAGTGCGGGTGAGGAACGCGAGAGACGAGAGGTGGGTGAGGGCTGCGGAGTAAGTTGGCATGTAGAGAAGAGGGCGGCAGGCAAGTCACGGATGGGTAGGAGGTAGGACGTACATGGACGTGAGCGCGGTACAGAACGCCACTTCCTCGGGAATTGCACCGGCGATGCTATTGCCGGAGAGGTCCCTGTTATGGGGTGTACGCACGAGACGAGCACGTGACGCGCGATGGTCAGAACGAGACACAAAAATCAGGCGGAAATGCGCGGTGCGAGGAACTAGGAAGCGAACGAGTAGGTGCGGTCATAGCAGGAACGGACGTGGCGGTGCCATAAGCGGGAGCGACGCGCGCAGGCGGGAGCGACTCTGTAGCTTACAGAGACTGCAGATTGTTGAGGTAGCCCACAACCGTACCGAGGCTGCCGCTCAGAGTCTTCTTCGGCAGGGACCTGCCACCACGCCAGCCATCCCCGCACACGTGCATCAATATGCGGTTATGAGGCCGGCGATGGAAAGATCGGAAGTAGAAACTCGAGCAAGGCCATGCAAGAAACGCACGACATGTGGCTCGAAAAGGAAAAAAACGCGACGACCGGTGGGTTGAGAGGTGAGCGACGGAGGGGTGAGCGGACTTACAGGCCTACGACGGCTCCGTTCTTGCACGTGACGCCCGTAAACGCATTGGCGCACGCAAATTTGCCGAAAATCCAATTCTTCAGAACGGCCCCGCCGTTGAGCGTCAACTTCATCGATAACAGCGCGTTGGCTGCAGGACGCACATAACAGGATGCGAGGGGGACGGTGGAAGCGAGAGGGTGGGGGGAAGGGAGAGGGGCGGAAAGCAACCACCAACCACTGTGCAAGGGGCCTTATGGACATGAACTGGCTGATTAGCAGTACCCGCGTGGCGGGCAACGCTACGGTGAACGACAATTGGACGACGGAAAGTGAAAGATCTGGTCGTCGAGGCCCTATCAGATTGTCGCGTGGCGTTGCGCGACGCGGACATAAGACTCAGAAGCACACACGCGCACTCACTCTCTCTCTGAGCAACAGTGACGGCAAGGCTTCCCCCCACATGGAGCAGAAGCAGCACCGCCAGCAACGCGGCCATGGACTTATGTGCCATTCGTGCGGCGGGAGACTAGATCGTGAGGGCCGGCAACGATGCGTAGCAGTCAGCAGATTCAGCTTCCACAAGACTAGAAACGTACTACTTGGAAGACCAACAAAACTCAGTAACTCTGATCAATCACTACTTTCAGTGCTGATGCCCCAAGCCTTGATGTATCCCACCCAGGCTCACAGGCATCCTCGGCAGTCCCTCCCCCTTCCCCCATGCGATTGGGGAAGGTACAGCTCGAGGGGAAGGGAGGGCAGGTTGGCTTCGGGCAATGTAGTGTCGGCAGCAGGAGTTGCTCCAGGTTGGGGTCACACCTTGGGGGGTTCGGTGAATGCGGAAGGGGTGGTGGTACCGCTTGGCGCTTTGCGGCAGTGGAGGTTTGCGCTCAGGTGAGTGCGGCAGGGAGCGTCGGCTCAGATGGTGGCCGAGAAACCCGCAGGTGAACTGCAAATCACTGCACTGCTAGGCTTGCTGGGTGCGCCAAAACCAACTGCCCGAAATCACTGCGTATTCGGCGCACGTTCGAAGAGAAGGTGAGGCGACTTCAAGCCGAAGGGCAGAAAAATAAACTACAGATGCAGCTGACCCAGGATGAGGATTGTGTGGTTATGTCAAGTTTTCATTCCACAGAAACGATCGAGTTGACGTGTGCGGGGTTTCCAAGAACATCGCAGGACCATCCCCACGTGGATGATGGAAGCAGTGCCCCACTCCTCACCGACAATTCTCTCGATCTTTGTCGACGCAGACGGCGATAACGTCGGAGTTTGGTAACTGGCCCCCAAAAAAACGGCCTCTTGCTTTCGGGAATTCGGTGAATTCCCCTTCCGCGTCTGGAGAGGCGGGTTGTGGGAGGGGTGGGGGTGAAGGGGGTCTGGCTGGCGGGAAGGAGGAGGGAAAGGTAGGAAGAGGGGGGAAGGAGAAAAGCGGGGAGGGAGTGGGGGGAAGGGGGGCAACATGAGCCATGCCACGACCCAGCCTCGCCTCGCTAAGTGTTCGCAAGCCCTCCGCACTCTCCAGGAGCTGTGATGGATTTGAAGCTTGGCTGTTTCGTCGTCGGGGTCAACAAGTTTGAAGACCGGGCTGACCAGGTTTTGTGGCATCAAAGTTCTAGGTTATTGAGTGAGCCAGGGAGAATTGCACTATCGAAGCACAAGATACAATCAGCACATGAACAAATTGTTAACTAGCGAAACTAAAATGGTAACGTTAACGAGAGATCGTAGGGGTGCACCACGGCACGGGCCTGGTGTCGAGGTTGGGAATTGATGAGGCGCAGGGCCGTCTCACATGTTACCAGCCGAGCGGTGTAGTTTGGGGGCGATGGTGGTGGTGGCGAGAACAGTAGTCGAGGCGAATGTCGCGAGGCGGTAACGGGACAATGTTTGGGTGCAGTGTCGAAAACAGTGCTGTACACGGTAGAGGTGGTGACACGAAGTAAAGAATATTTATTTCCTTACACTACCCCCCTCCTAAAGGGAGGCCCTTACGAAAGCGCATGGATGTTGCGGAAGTTTCTGTTGCGAAAGGTACTCGGTGAGGACCGTGCGATTTTCGATTTTGTCCTGAGGTACACAGCTGTCTTCGGTCAGTGTTGGGTCTCTCCAGCGAAGAAGGAACTCGGTGGCTGGGGATTTTTTCGGGAGTGATTACTGGTTCCGCGGATGGTCGTGTCAGGCTGAATGGTCGCATGCGAAGGAGTTGGCTCGTGGACGGGATGTAGGGGCAAAAGAGGCTGACGTGGAATGAGGGGCTGACAAACCAGTCAGCAAGGAAGAGGAGGTCCGCCGCGACGGGGATGATCAAGTGGTTAATTCTGAATAGCCCGCAGTATCTCGAGCGTAATTTCGGGGTCACGGGAAGGCAGAGATTCCGAGTGTCGAGTAGGACTAGGTCGTCGGGTTCATGTGACAGGGCGGTGGTGGTGATTGGCGTTGCGCTTAGCGATGATGTTGTACTTTTTTATTGCGTTTGCTGCTCTGGTCCAGGCTGCTTGTAAATTTTCGTCGAACTGTTGTGCGCGAAGAACGGTGTTGTCGGGGTTTGGCGTTATCGGTACTATGAGGTTTTTCCCGTAGTTGAGGTAGAGAGACGACTTTTGGGTGGTGGTGGCGGATGTCGAGTTGTTGTAGGCAAACTCAATAAGGGGCAGCTGATGTTACCATGTTGTTGGTTCGTCACACGTGGCGCGAATCAGCTGCTCCATGGTCTGGTTCGTGCGTTCAAAATTTCCCGCCAGTTTCGAGGTGGTACGATGAGCTGAACTGTAGGTATGTACCGAACTGCTGCCACAGGTTCCTCCAAAAGTTAATTCTGAATTTCGTATCGTGGTCGCTGATGATCGCTTTTGGTATCCCATGTAGGCGAACAAATGTGGAGATGAAGATGTTAAAGTTTAGAAGAAAGAAGAGGATTGCACTAGCAAGAATGGGGATACAAATAGCAAAACCCTAGAAGAGTTGTACTCGCTATAGAGCACCCCACTACAGGCTAGAGCATAATATTCTGACACACCCCCATAGCCAAAGTGGGGTGTAATCAGCAGAGCAAGCAAAAGAAAACAAGCTCAGGGTGGATCACAATGTCACCACACATTCTGAGCACAAGTACAAGAGGTAGCAGTTTTATAGTTAACAAATATAAGCAAAGCTAGAGGCTATCACAGAGGGCAAGTGAGGAGGAGGAGAGACTGAGGGGGAGAGAAGATGGGAGGCGACTGCTGACGCTGCAGACACACAGACGAGCTGCTGGCTCAGTGGCTACCGGAACAGCGCTCCGGACTACTGGGGTAACTGGCCCCGCGGCTAAAAGTAGCGGCAGACGAGCAACGGACCCACGGGCGACTGGCGACTACCGGAGATTGTAGCCTCCGGACTGCTGCTGCTGCTGACGACACGACGACCGCCTCCATTCAACCTCCCCCAACTGTCCCACCCCCATTTCACACACCCCCTGTTCAAACCCTAGCTCTACTCACACTCCACCCCCCTAGCACCACTCCGTACACTCCCACACATCCACCCCCCTCAGCGATAGCTGCAGCAGTGGGAGACGAAGGAGGAGGAGGAGCAGGCGACGCCACACACCCGCCACCCCCCAACCGCCACCCCCCAACCGCCACCCCCCAAACCCTAAAAACAGGGTAGGGAGGTAGGGGGGGGGGGGCAACGCGCGCCCCCCAGGGTCGCCTCGACAGGCGACGGGAGTTGGGCCGGGGCAGGTCGGGGCCGGGGCAGGTCCGGGACGGGGCAGCAGGGGCCGCGCACGGCTCCCCTGGGCAGCGCGACGGGGCAGCAGGGCCGCGCGACGGGGCAGCAGGGGCCGCGCGCGGCTCCCCTGGGCAGCGCGACGGGGCAGCAGGGCCGCGCGACGGGGCAGCAGGGGCCGCGCGCGGCTCCCCTGGGCGGCGCGACGGGTCCCCGTCGCCCGTCGCAGCGCCTCCCGGGGGCGACGCGGCGAGTGACGGGGCAGAAACCCGTCGCGCGCCTCGGGGCGCACGGCGGGCAGAAAACCGCCGCGCGCCTCGGGGCGCACGGCGGGAAGAAAAACTGCCGCACGCCACGGGGCGTGCGGCATAGAGAGTAGCAGTAGCAGTTGCAGCGGAAGCAACAAGGTGGTGAGCCCACCCACAGGATCGATCCAAGGGGATCGACCTGCTCTGATAGCATGTTTAAGTTTAGAAGAAAGAAGAGGATTGCACTAGCAAGAATGGGGATACAAATAGCAAAACCCTAGAAGAGTTGTACTCGCTATAGAGCACCCCACTACAGGCTAGAGCATAATATTCTGACAGAAGAGTCGAGTTGTTTCGGCGGAGATGGATTTCTTGCAGGCTACGAAGTGTGCCATCTTCGTCAGCCGATACGTCAATCAACATTTCTGGCCATTAATAATATATTTGCATATGCTGCCGGGTCTTATCTTCCCCGAAATGTCCCGAAGTAATTCCGTCGTGTGACTCCTGTAGGAGCACTTCCCGCAGTAAGGAGTAGCCCGGTACCCAAATGTGGTTATTGCCGGATTTTACGTAATACACCCCTCGTGTCGCTGTGATCTGTTGTGAATTGTCACGAGTGAAGAATGGATCTGTTTAATATTCGTGAAAGTATAGGCATGTGAGCGGTGGGCTGGGCTTGGCAAGTAGGATGGCTTGAATCTGGGCAGTCGGGGGAGTCAGTGCGTCTGCGATTTTCAAAGCTCCCTTTTTCTATGAACGACCGTATAGAGGAAACTGGACTCCAAATTTTACAACCAGCGAATATGTCGAGGGTTGAAGTGAGCCTATGCGCGGAGGTTGTGTAGTGATCTGTGGTCCGTAATGTGACGTCCACGACGGTCAGGACACAGTGCCAAACTTTGCACACTTTAATTATCGCTAACATTTTGCGACCGTGTATTGGGTAATTCTTCTAGGGCGGATGCAGCTTCGGTGACCCGTATGCGATCGATTGCAGCCCTTCGCCAAAGTCATATAGCACTACCGCTTTAATCGCAATGTCGCTGGCATCGGTGATTACAACGATGCGTAAAACGGGTGGCGAGCGCAGTTCATGTTTTAGGGAAGAGAAGGCAGCTCCCAGCACATAAAATCGATCCCCTTCCTCGGTAGGTCTGTTTGCGGGCCAGTTAACCTAGCCATGTCAGGGACAAACCAACGCGGATAGTTAACGAACCCTAAAAAACTCGGCAGTTCCGTGATATTCGCCGGCGGATGCCATGCCCGTATCTAGCTTCTTAGGGTCGATTTCGACTCTAGCCTTGGAAATGGCGTGACCCAATAACTCTAGGCGGTTTTGAAGAAGCTCGCACTTGGAACCCTTCGTCAATAAGCGATGCTCGTTTAGGATTTTAAACACTGCTTCCAAGTCGACTAAGTGTTGTTGCTTGTCCCGGCTGTAAAGGCGTTAAGGCGGGTCTCGGACTCAGCAAGACGAGTCTCAAAGAGCTCAATAGTGAGGCTTGTGGGGTGCATAGCGAGAAAAACATCGCGAGCAGGCACGAGGCGGCCAGGGAGGTGGTTCGTGAGGAGGTATATGGTGATATGCATGGGGGGCGGGTGCACAGCAAGGACGTTAGTAGTGCAAGGTGCGCGGTAGCTGTTACCAATCGAGCGTAGTGAGTCACAAGATCAGCGACAATGGAGAACACATGGAGATCAAGGAAGAGAAAAGGCAGAAGGAGGCAGCCTAGCAAAGCAGAGGAGGGAGTGGAGTAGCGAGCGATAACGTCATTAATGTCAGAATGTTATTCTCTAGCCTGTAGTGGGGTGCTCTATAGCGAGTACAACCCATCTAGGGTTTGCTATATGTATCCTCATTGCTGCTAGTGAACCCCTTTTTTGCCTAAACTTCTCTTGCCTAGCTAGGACTTACCTAGCTATGGCTCCTAACTCTACCTACTATTTTAACATGCTATCAGAGCAGGTCGATCCCCTTGGGTCGATCCTGTGGGTGGGCTCACCACCTCACTGCTTCCGCTGCTACTGCCACTCTCTGTGTCGCACGCCCCGTGGCGTGCGACGGATTTTTAATCCCGCCGCGCGCTCGGAGCGTGCGGCGGTTTTCTGCCCGCCGTGCGCCCCGAGGCACGCGGCGGTTTTCTGCCCGCCGTGCGCCCCGGGGCGTGCGGCGGTTCTCTGCCCGCCGTGCGCCCCGAGGCGCGCGGCGGCCTTCTGCCCCGTCGGTCCGCGCGTCGCCCCCGTGGGGCGCTTCGACGGGCGACGGGGACCAGCCCGTCGTCCCCCGTCGCCCGTCCTGGCCAGCGCGGGCTGCGCCAGCCCCGAGCGCGGCCCGTACGGGCTGCGCCCGGCCCGCGCGCGGCCCGTACGGGCTGCGCCAGGCCCGCGCGCGGCCCGTACGGGCTGCGCCAGGCCCGCGCGCGGCTCGGGCCGCCTGCGCGCGGTTCGTCGGGCTGTGCCAGGCCCGTGGGCGGCCCGTTCCTCTCTGTCCCTGAGCTGCTCGCTATCCCCCGTGCTTCTGACGGTGCCCCACCCCTACTGCTGCCCGTTCTCCTGAATTAGGGTTTGGGGGTGAGGAGTGTGGGGGTGGCGGTTGTGTGTTACTCCCCTTGCTCCTCCTCCTCCCTGGTCTCCCACTGCTGCAGCCGCCGCTGAGGGGGGTGGGTGTGTGGGAGCCTAGGGTTTAGGGTTTTAGGGGGGTGCGTGGGAGTGGAGCTAGGGTTTGAGCAGTGGGTGTGTGTCGAGGGTGTGGGGCAGTTGGAGGAGGTTGTGTGGAGGTACCTGTCGTGTCGCCTGCAGCGCCTGTAGTCCGTCGCCCTTGCTTCGGTAGCCAGTGAGCCTGCTGCACCAGTCGCCAGTGGGTCCGTTGCTCCTGCCGCTCTTCTATAGCCGCCGAGCCAGTTACTCCAGTAGTCCGTCGCCCTTGCTTCAGTAGCCTCTGAGTCAGCCGCTCCTGTGCCCGTGCCTCTGCAGCTTCAGTCGTTGCCTCCCATCTTCTCTACCTCCACAGCTCCTCCTCCTCCTCACTTGCCCGCTGTGATTAGCTCTAGCTTTGCTTACCTTTGTGAACTCCTGCTCTATACCTGCTTGCTCATTGTACTGATTACACCCCACTTTGGCTATGGGGGTGTGTCAGAATGTTATTCTCTAGCCTGTAGTGGGGTGCTCTATAGCGAGTACAACCCATCTAGGGTTTGCTATATGTATCCTCATTGCTGCTAGTGAACCCCTTTTTTGCCTAAACTTCTCTTGCCTAGCTAGGACTTACCTAGCTATGGCTCCTAACTCTACCTACTATTTTAACAATTAAAGCCGGGGATTCGCGTAATCTAAACAGCCATCAACTGCAAAACAAAAGAAGCTAGGTTACCTAGTTAGTGCAGGCAAAGATCTCTTTGGTTGGGTTGGAAACTCAACCTCGTCACTCCCCCCCATAAGCAATTGCAAAACATGTTCTGGAAAGACGAGACTTTCGATGAGTTTGGGGCATTTTAGGTTTGGCTCCAAACCAAATTTCCAAGGCTAGAAGGTTCGGGTACACCGAGCGATTTGCGTTCCCTTCGCACCCCTCGCTTCAGCCTCCTCAAAATTTACAACTCGCCAACTAATAACAGCCACGAAGAGAAGTCGATCACACGGCCCTCTGTATCAAAACGCAAAACGGAATCAGTCTCCATAACAGCAGGAAGTAGGGGCACAGCTGCAAAGGTGAAAGGAAATGAACACAGAAGGAGGAGACCGGCACTGTAGGCGCACGACGGACACAAGCGGCAGGGGCACGGGCACATGCGACTTATTTTTCTATTTGTGTGATATTAGGTGCGGACGGCTTGGCGCGGGCGCGGCACAGCAGGGCGACGCGGGCTGGCGTGGGGGGAGGGGCGAGGGGGGGGGGAGGAGGGGGGGGGGGGGGGGGGGGGGGGGAAGGAGGAGGGGGGAGGGGTGGGGAGGGTGTGCTCGGCTAGCGCGGGCGGCTGGCTGGTGCGCTATTTAGTGGTGCGCTGCTGGCAGGCGCGAGAGGCTGGCTGGCGTTGGCGCGGGCTGCCACGCGGCTGACGGTCGCGCGTCTGGTTGATGCTGGCGCGGGCTGGCGCGCGGCTGGCATAGGAAGCACGCTAACTGGCACTGAAGCGCAGGCTGGATCGGCCGGCGGGCTGGCGCGTTGGCATGCTCGTGCTGCTGGCTGGCGCGCTGGCGCGGCAGTAGCGGGCTAGGGGGTGCACTAGGGGGCGCTTTAGGGGGAGCACTAGGGGGGCACTCTAGGGGCGCTCTAGGGGGCACTAAGGGGCGCTTCGAGGGGGGCGCGCGGAGGGCGAGGCTAGGGTTAACTAGGGTACGCGAGGCGGAAGCGACAACCTACCTAATCTAATAGCATGTCAGAATCCCAGCCGCTAGACCACTAGGATAAAATGGCTTGTTAAGTAGCGGGAGAGCGCTTCCATAACCCCCCAGGCTAGCGAGCGCGTAACCCATCCCTGGGATCAATCTGGCATCCCGAGTGCAGGTCTTAGAAATGCCCTAGAACAAGACACAGCGGTAGGACATAGGCGCCATCACGTGCGCACATGGGGACTTGAACCAGGGACCTTTCGCTCTCATACCATGCCAAAGAAGGAATGAATGACTAGAATGAGGGCATACAACTGGATATGTACCAAACCTGTATCGTCTGCGAAGTAACCCAACCTAGCCCATAATGTGCACAAGGAATAGTGGAAGTGTAGATTGACATACTCCACACCGTAATCATCGGTCCCGACATTATTCGGTCAGTTGTATTCGTCCACTGGCCAGAGTTGACAACGGGGCACGGTCAACAACTAGCGGTTTGAGAGTGTATGGTTCTTTCGACCCGTCTCTCATGGGCGCAACGGATGGCTTGGTGCATGGCATGTCGACAAGGTCGGCGATGAAGGAGGTGCTGGGATTGTCGGTGAAGCAGGGAACGCAGGCGGAGCTGGCGGGGCAGGACCTGGAGGTGTCGGGGGATTAGGAGGCGCAGGCCAGGGCAGAGGTCTAAGAGCTTGTCGACTAGGAGCCCCAACAACTATACGAAACCAATGTTTGGGGGTTCCGTTCATACGGGGAAACAAATTAAGCTAGAAAAGACGAGCGCCTGTCGAGGCAGAATTGCTGCACGCATCTCGGACTGCACAATGAAGAAAACAAGAATTAAAAGATTCGACCACTGCTTGGGAGGGTGGGGCTGTAAGCTGGGTGCAAGTCACATGCTGTGGCTGTACGCATCTTAGAACAATGACACTCATACCGGTAATCTCCATTTCCTTGTTGTATTGTCCCTTTTAATGCTGGCAGGCAGCTTGAAGGTTGGCAGATTGGTCTGGGATTTACGTGTCCATTTTGTTGTTTTGAATACAAATGCCATAACAATACCGTATGTTCTTGAAGGGAAAGGGGCACAGAAAATATGATGTTTTGCTAAAAAATAATGTCGGTCCACAATATACAAGTCAATGTCTAAAAGTTTTATAGGATACTGATTGGTTACTTGTGAACTGATCATGTATATGTCAAAAGGTATGTTGTTATAAACTACCTGTAGGTTATTTGAAAACATGTACATGATCATATGCTGTACATCCTAAACCTTGGTGTATCGATTTTCAGCCATTGAGCTGCACGGTTGATCGCGTTCATGTTTAGATTTCTGTTGGGCGAAAAGGCGGTGAGCGGATGAGCCGCTGAGGTAGAGCAGAACGCGAGCGGAGGAACGCAGTTCGTCGAAATCGATGACCAAACGGACGGCCAGATGCTTCTAATCGGCTGATCGCGTTTCTCCTTGGCTCCAAGCCATTTCCTTCTCTTTTGCTCTCGCCCTTTGCGGGCAGCCAACCAAGCTCGCTCCATCCTGTTGGTCCCAATGCGACTCGGGCCCCTCTCTCGTTTCCATCATCGCCTCGCCACCAGCCATGCTTGGAATCAATCCGATGTCAATGGGATCGCGTTCCACCCACCAAGCCACAATTCCCTACAACTTCTCGCTCGGACAGAGTCATGCTGTATGTATTCAACACAGCACGACTTGAAGCCGTTCCATTGTGTGGTACTGAGAATTAGATGCAGGCACCAACTCTTTTGTGACATAGCACATACGATTCCCGCTGGTTTCTAGTTCTACAGACATGAACGATAGGATGGCGAGAGAACTACAGCAAATTCCCGCACAATATGAGGTGGAGGGAGCAAGTATGGCATCGTTTTCTCAGACGCCCAGAAGCTCTGGATCGGTCATTCCTACTCCGCCTACGCCTGCCACGGCACAACCGCGGATTAACCACATCCGCGGGCGCAAACGGAAGCAAGGGGCATTCACATGCGAGGAAAGTCAACAGCAGCAAGGAGCAGCCTGTGCGAATGCACAACCGTTCGCGGGATGGAACGGCGCGGACAACGTCGGATGGTTTACGCCGAGTGGTGCGGGCCCGGCGGGTCAGAGCACCATGGCAGGGGACCTGAAGCCTGATACCACAGGGACATACCAAATGGCCGTGAATCCACCGCCACTGCCACACGCTACCGCCGGCCCTGCCGCCCCCGCTGAAGCTGCCGGGACATTGGGCACAGCCTCGGCTGCGCAGCGCGCGTCTACCTTCACAGCTGCGGGCCCCTGCACTCCGCGTCGCTCCGTGTCGCTCAGGTCCGTGCAACCCTGCACTCCGCGCGATGCCATCAGCGACAGTATCGCCTCGCCCGTCCACGTGCCGCCGTCGCCCCTCGCTACCCCCGCCCCCGTGACGCCCACCGTGGCCTCCCATTCCGCCTCCGTCGCAGCGCCGGAAGCTTTGCCAGAGAAGAGCGGCGCCGCAATGGGTGGCGGTGCGGCGGAGAACGTGGTTTTCCAGGCGACTCAGACGGCCGCGGCCGCGGGTGCTGACGTGGGGGCGCGAGGCAAGGGGAGGAAGCGAAACGGGAAGGCGAGGCGTGCGGCGGAGAAGAGAATCCAAGAGGAGTGCGCGGATGCCGAGAAACACGGCGCCGCAGCTGAAGCAGCGAAGATAGCGCGGTCATCGGGCTCCGCCCCGCTGCGGCAGCCGCGCTCCGGAAAGGACGGCGGAGGTGTCAGCGGAAAGGCGAGCAGCAGCGGAGGCGGGAGAGGCGGCGGCGGCGGAAATCGCAGCGATCGCGACGGCGCGAGCGAGCGCGAGTTGAAACGGCCGCGATTCCAGGCGTGGCAGATCGACTTCCTGGAGGAGAGCTTCCTGGCGGACTACACGTTGGAGCCCGACCGTAAGCGCGCGCTGGCGGCGGAGCTGGGCGTGCAGCCGCGGCAGGTGGCGGTGTGGTTCCAGAACCGGCGCGTGCGGTGGAAGTCGCGACAGAAGGAGGCGGACCTGGACTCGCTGAAAGGCGCGTACGACGAGCTGGAGGACGACTGCGAGTCGCTGCGGTCCGAGTACGAGCTGCTCAAGGGCGACTACGAGGAGCTTCTCGCCGAGAATTCCGGACTCTACTCCAAGGTACTATGCGCGCCGGGTGTGCTGCAGGGTGGTGCGTCCATGTTCAGTACTTTGGCTTCGATTTTTCTGGGAGAAGAGAAGGACGGCGGGAAATATCCAGTTACTAATTCTGCCGTTTCTTTCTCTGTCTCTAATGTTTTTCGCTTACAGATTCTGTTGCTCTCGCGGCTGGTGGCGTTGCGGGATCAGGGCGTGGAGCAGGCGCAGAGCGAGCAGCGAGACGGGCACTCTGGGGCCGTGGCAGGCACGGCGGAGAGGAAGGCGCGCGAGAGTCGCGCAGAGGGTGGCGTAGGCGTGGCGGGCAGCGAGTGCGAGCGGTCACCCATGCACAGCAGCGGTGGCAGCAAGGCCATGCAGCACGCGTTGAGCGCGGGGAGCGCCGGGAGAGCGGAGTGGGAGAATCAGCCATGGAATGACGATGACGGCAAGGACGTGCGGGAGACTGGGCGGAGCGGCACGCGTGTTGCCACCAACACTGCAAGCACCAGCACACCGGCCGGGCAGGGCGGGAGGCGCAGAGGTACGGCGCTGTCCCCCCTCGTCCTTCCTCCGTGCGCCATGGACCTGCCCCTGCCGAGCCCACTATCTGCGCTACCTGCGGCGTTCCCTTCAGACGCAGCAACCACGCAGTCCGACGCAGCAGGCTTTGAACCCGGCAGTGGGGAAAAGGAGATCAACGGCCATGGCATGCAGGCTGAGAGCCCCCCCAGTGGCGGTGTTGCGGTGCTGTGCGCGGATTTTCTCCCAGCTCCACTCCATTCCAGTGAGCCAGCTGCAGGCATGGCGGCATTGTCAAGGCAAGGCACACTTCCCACGGTCATGGACGGCACGTTCGACGCCTTCACATCGCTCCTCACCGCTCCCGATGAACTCGCCTGCGAGCCCTACTGGTCTCATGCTGGCAGTCCAAGCACCCACGCCGTGCCTGCTCTTCCCGGCCCATCGCCACATTCTGCGCATGCTGAAGGCGCTGCGCCTGCCCGGCCTGCTGAGCCTGCTGGGGAGGGTGATATGGCGCAAGCCTTCTACACTGCAACCGGCAATTCACAGAATGAAGACAGGAGCGGAGCACCGCAGTGGGAGGGAGCGCCTGCACAAGTGGCGCAACTAGTGGACAATGGTGAATCTAGGCAAGCGGGAGAAGGATGCGCACTGACAACCGGCGACCCAGCTCTCCATGCAGAGCCCACCGTCCATCTAACCTCACCATCTCTTCCCTCACCTCTGTCAGCTTCAACACCTTTAGCCTACTTGCCTGAGCCTGAGCCTTTCTCGCTGCCCTCTTTGCCGGCAGCTGCCGCCTCCCACGCCTTCCAAGCCACAATGGCCATGCCTTTCGCCAGCGGTGAACCTGGTAGTCCAAGCCGCAGCATGATGGTAATGGCTGCTGCCTATGCTTCCCCCACACAAGACGGCCCAGCTTCACAGAACCTTCCCCATAACCTGCAGCTGGCGCACAGCATGCTGTCTGGTGATGGTTCAACGCGTAAAAGCACTGGTCTAGCCGCCTCTTCTCCTTGCACGGGCGCTCAGGGTAGTGGGAGCATGACGTATCTGCCTTATGATGTGCTCGCACCCGTGGATCTGCTTCCCCATACCCGCTACACAAGCAATACCGAGGGGATTGAAATCCACTGCAGAGGTTCAGCCATGCAACCTCTGGCTAGAGGCCAGATGTCGGAGGCAACCGGACGTGCATCAAACTGCACCCCTTCAGTTGAAACCTTCCACAGGAACAACAGTGGTATGATGGAGGGGGGTCATGAGCAAAAAATCCCACCAGCAGCTGTGCACATCATAGATAGAGAAGAAGGTAGTAGCTTCAGGGAGGGGATGGGTGAAGAGATGATGTTGAACAACTGGTGGGATGGCATAAACAGCTAGTCAAACTCTGAGAATTGTTTTAGCCTGCAATTTGATTCTTGCATGTTGACAGCATACATTTGTGTGTAATGTTATGAGAAACCTGTATTTTTGCAAAAGTATATTATGCCCCAACTACAAACCTTTCCATTTTCACTTGCAAGTCATTCATTATGTAAATAGTGAGTAGGTGTTGCTATTACGGAATTTGAGAGTTACCTGTATGTAAAGACGCTGCATATGTGTTTATTCACAAATGTCGTGCAGGTACAACTGCTTGTAACACACATGGTAAATTGGATGTAAGTGGTGTAGCAGCTCGTCAATCTGACTAAACATGGATGTCAGAACCTTGGCGGTGTGCCTTCTAGAGAATTGCTCCCGCACCTTGAACTTGTACTTTCACGGAAACAGTTGGATTTCATCTGACGGAGCCTGTCGCGGCTCCAGCAAGAGTGCGTGTGCGTCAGCGTTGGTAGCTCACTCACCAGACTATTCATACAGATCAATTGGGGTGTGTGAAATTCCCACACCTGTGTTTGACTTGCTTCTCCATCGCCTTTTGTCAGCAAGGCGTGAATCCCTACGTCGGCGTTCACTCATCGAGTCCTTATAAGTCTCACCCCCATCATCGCCTTACCTCTCCGATCGAATTTGTTTCTCAGCGTTTTAGGAATATAACCGTGACAGATCGGGTCGAGAAGGCAGGATGACGGAGGGGGAGAGCTCCGATGCGGCGTAAGTGATGCCAGATCTGCATGTTGGTATCGTTATTGCTGAATTGCGATTTGTTACACGGAACCCTGGTACTTATGCTGTCGGTGCTTCCGATCCCTAGAATTCGTTGTTTGTTTTTTGCTGTGTCGATATTCAAAGCCTTTGCGCGGTATGCGTCGACAATTTTCTTTAATCGTGAAGGCACTGGCCTGCTATATTTCCTCATCCGATCTTCGGTGTCGCTCTGGATCCTGCAGCTCTCGCGTTCTTTACCCCCCCTTTTTTTCCCTCTCCACTTTCTGTCAAATTCTTCCTCTGCTCATCTATTTTCTCCAGCGGCAAGGGTGGCAAGCGCGATTTCTCAACGGCGATTCTGGATCGGAAGAAGGCGTTGAACCGGCTGATAGTGGACGAGGCGGTGAACGACGACAACTCCGTGGTGGCGCTCAACATGAAGACCATGGAGGAGCTGCAGCTCTTCCGCGGCGACACCGTGCTGCTCAAGGTAAGTCGCTGCGTACGGAGGTTGGATTCGAGTTTGTTGAACGAACTTTTTATGAGCCAAGGAGATTCAACAAGTTCGTTTTTAACGGTGCTGCGTGGTTTAGATTTATGAAGCCGGATTGGGAGAGGAGGTGACGTGGTGTGGTGCGCGTGCTGGCAGGGCAAGAAGCGCAAGGACACGGTGTGCATCGTGCTGGCGGACGACACGGTGGAGGAGACGCGCATCCGCATGAACAAGGTGGTGCGCGCGAACCTGCGCGTGCGCCTGGGCGACGTGGTGTCCGTGCACCAGTGCGCGGACGTCAAGTACGGCAAGCGCATCCACGTGCTGCCCATCGACGACTCCGTCGAGGGCGTCTCCGGCAACCTCTTCGACGCCTATCTCAAACGTCAGTCGCGAGCCGTACGGTCTGCTTCCGCCTTTTCGCACGTGTCGTGCTGCTGTCCAGTACCTTAACGCCTGGTTGTGATTGCAGCGTTTCAACCTGCTCTCGCTCCCTCCCCGTATGCTGCCGTCCTTGTGTCCGTCCAGCTTATTTCCTGGAGGCGTACCGGCCGGTGCGCAAGGGCGATCTGTTCCTGGTGCGCGGCGGCATGCGCAGCGTGGAGTTCAAGATCGTGGAGACGGACCCGGCGGAGTACTGCATAGTGGCGCCCGACACCGAGATCTTCTGCGAGGGCGAGCCCATCAAGCGCGAGGACGAGGAGCGCCTCGACGAGGTGGGGTACGACGACGTGGGCGGCGTGCGCAAGCAGATGGCGCAGATCCGCGAGCTCGTGGAACTTCCGCTGCGCCACCCGCAGCTGTTCAAGTCCATCGGCGTCAAGCCGCCCAAGGGTATCCTGCTCTTCGGCCCGCCTGGGTCCGGTAAGACGCTGATAGCGCGTGCTGTGGCGAACGAGACGGGCGCGTTTTTCTTTCTCATCAACGGGCCGGAGATCATGTCGAAGCTGGCGGGGGAGAGCGAGAGCAACCTGCGGAAGGCGTTCGAGGAGGCGGAGAAGAACGCCCCCGCCATCATTTTCATCGACGAGATCGACTCGATTGCGCCCAAGAGAGAGAAGACTCAGGGAGAGGTGGAGCGTCGCATAGTGTCGCAGCTGCTGACGCTCATGGACGGACTCAAGTCGCGCGCGCACGTGATCGTGATGGGCGCCACCAACCGGCCCAACAGCATCGACCCCGCGCTCAGGCGGTTCGGGCGGTTTGATCGTGAGATTGACATTGGCGTGCCAGACGAGGTGGGGCGGCTGGAGGTGCTGCGCATCCACACCAAGAACATGAAGCTCGCTGAAGACGTACGTGCCAGGGGGGAGGGGGGATTTCGGGTGCTTGGGGGATTTCGGGTGCTTGGGGGAAGGGAAGGAAGGAGTGCTCGTTCAGTGGAGGAATAGTTGGGGCGTATTTGGCTTTAAAGCACTCACTGTGAGGAGAGGACGAAGCAAATCCTGGGACAGTGATGTGGAGACAGAATCATCAGGCTTCAGTAGCACTTACATGAACCTATCAATAGCATGAACCCCCTTCCCCCACCCTGCCCACTCCACTGCTCCCCCCTATCCCGTCCCTTCTTCCTGTGTCCCCGCAGGTGGACCTGGAGAAGATATCATCCAACACGCACGGGTTCGTGGGAGCGGATCTGGCGGCGCTGTGCACGGAGGCGGCGCTGCAGTGCATTCGCGAGAAGATGGACGTGATCGACCTGGAGGACGACAGCATCGACGCCGAGGTCCTCAACTCCATGGCCGTCTCCAACGACCACTTCTCCACCGCGCTCGGCATCTCCAACCCCTCCGCGCTCAGGGAAACGGTCAGTGCCGTGCCATGCGCTCAGGGAAATGTCAGTTAGTGCCATTCTCAATGTGGGCTTGGGGGATGATGTGGGGGATGCGGGAGTGCAGGGTCTGATTGGGCATGGGGTTTCTCTGCAGATGGAAGCAGGTTGAGAAGTAGCAGACTGGCAGAATGTTTTGCTGTCGTTCGCTGTTTTTAGCTCACTCAGCTGTCTGTGTTGGTGCATGTGAGCAGGTTGTGGAGGTGCCCAACGTCTCGTGGACCGACATTGGAGGGCTGGACAATGTCAAGCGGGAGCTGCAGGAGGTGACACCACTGCTCTCTTCCCTTCCTATCGCTCTGCTTCCCGTTCCACCCCACCATCTTATTGTCCTCGAGCTTCAATCATCCTGTTATGCCCTACCCCCCTCTTCCCCCCTTCCCTCCCTCCGCTCCCCTCCTTCCCTGTCATTCCATTTTTGTCATACTCTTATTTCCCCTCCACCTGGTTGCTTTCCCACCTCCACAACCATTAATTCCAACTGACCCCCTTTTCTGCTCCTGGGTTGACTCCTCTCGTTTCCTCCTTCCCGCCTCACCCGCCACCGCAGACGGTGCAATATCCGGTGGAGCACCCGGAGAAGTTTGAGAAGTTTGGCATGTCGCCCAGCAAGGGCGTGCTGTTCTACGGGCCGCCGGGGTGCGGCAAGACGCTGCTGGCCAAGGCGATTGCCAACGAGTGCCAGGCCAACTTCATCAGCGTCAAGGGCCCTGAACTGCTCACCATGTGGTTCGGCGAGAGTGAGGCCAACGTGAGGGAGATCTTTGACAAGGCGCGCCAGTCCGCTCCCTGCGTGCTCTTCTTTGACGAGCTCGACTCCATCGCCACCCAGGTGAGAGGCGCAAGCCATGGAGTAGTAGCAGTGTTGGATCATGCTAGGCTTGCAACAGCTTGTGTTCAATTCGGATGGTGGGACGGAATCGAAGGTGGCCGTGTGGCTTGCACCCAACAGGTGTGGTTCCGTTTCCTCCTGAAACAAGCTTCCATCTCACTTTCTCTCCCCTTATCCCCCCTCCTCCCCCCCCCGTTCCGCCACTCGCAGCGTGGCAGCAGTGTGGGCGATGCAGGAGGAGCAGCGGACCGAGTGTTGAACCAGCTGCTGACGGAGATGGATGGCATGAACGCGAAGAAGACGGTGTTCATCATCGGCGCCACCAACCGCCCTGACATCATCGACCCCGCTCTGCTGCGCCCGGGCCGCCTGGACCAGCTCATCTACATCCCGCTGCCCGATGAGGGGTCGCGCCTCAAGATCTTTGAGGCTGTGCTGCGCAAGTCCCCCCTGGCTAAGGAGGTCGAGCTTACTGCTCTCGCCCGCTACACCCATGGCTTCAGCGGTGCTGATATCACTGAGATTTGCCAGCGCGCTTGCAAATATGCCATTCGGGAAAACATTGAGAAGGTGGGATGTCAGGGAAAGGGTTATGGATTGGGAAGGTGGGGAAGAGAGGACTGGATTGGTTATGGGATCGGTGTGGTTCGAGAAGATGGGATGTCGGGAAAAGGGAAACGGATAGGGATTGCCGGTAGGAGAGGAGGAGGGAGTTGGTTATGTGAGCGGAGTGGTGTTGTTGTGTGGATGTTGGGTCCTGGCAGCAGCGGGCTTTGCTAAGGTGCATCCTTCAGTGTGTGCTGGTGGCAAATGAGGTGACGCTTCTATGCATGCCCATGCGTTGTTGGGTCCATGTGCTTCGCTTTGTGTCACCTTCTCCGCTGCTTGTGTGTGCTCAATCACGCACCCGTGGCAATGTGTGACTGCATGTGTATGTGCATGTATGCATGTATACCCGCTGTGTGTGCACGCATGGCTGCATGGTTCACACTGCAGGACATAGAGAGGGAGAAGCGGCGGGCGGCCGATCCGGATTCGATGGAGGAGGATGAGGAGGACGAGGTGGCAGAGATCACAGCAGCGCACTTTGAGGAGGCCATGAAGTTTGCCCGCCGCTCCGTCAGTGATGCTGACATCCGCAAGTACGTGCTACTGCTGCTCCTCCGTTTGCTCTCTTTGTTCTTGGATGATGCCTTGCCATCACCTGCTTTGCTACTACTTTGTTCCTGTGCTGTACGGGGCTCTAAACAACGGTTCTGTAACTGCTGCGCATGCCCATTGTCTCTGTGCGTGTCTGAATGCTCGGTGTGAGCAGGTACCAGGCCTTTGCACAGACCCTGCAGCAGTCACGCGGCTTTGGATCGGACTTCCGCTTCCCCGACAGACCCGCTTCCGCTGCGCCTGCAGCAACGGGTGCTGCTGCGGGCACTGCGGAGGATGACGACGACCTGTACAACTAATCGCACACTCCCCCACGCCTAGTGCCTTATGGTCCCATCATACTTGGTTTCAAGCCTGGACCTGGCACAGGTTGCATGGCTGTCGGATATCATACATACGGTACCTAGGTTTTTTGCTAGGTAGGTGTACACCACTCTGGGAGTTGCTTTGGGAACACAGGTGCATGACAGAAGTAAAGGCGGATGGCACCATACTCTTAATTCAGAGCCTTATAGCTGGTACTTCAACATTCAGAATGAACTTGCATAAGCTCCTGTCCTTCTAGAATAGAACATTACTGGTACCTATTTTCCGAGCAAAATTCATCACAGGAGTACATGTAGGTGGGAAAGCTGATGGTTGACAAACTCTGTTGGCAGTTTCAAATGGAGCACTTCTGTTACACCACATTGGACAGGCATTATCACGATCGTTGACCCGAGGAGCAAAATGACCTAGACTTTAGGTCAACGCCACCAGCCCCAGACTTTGACACGTCGGCCAACCTGCAATCAGGCTTCATGAGCCCTCCCCGCACAACAACCACCACGATCGACCCCAGCCAGCGCCACCCTCGCGAGGCGTTGAGGTCGGCCTGTCGAAGGCGGTAACGCGCAGCAGCAGTTCCGGTTGTAAGGAAAGTAGAGTGCAGTGAGAGAAGAGAGTCCCAAAGCAGCTCGCGCGCGTCTGGTGGTGGTCGGCTGGCACCGCGCTGCTTCGGGCGTTTCGACGTAGAAGCTCCTCGCGACTGCCCAAGGTAAGCTCGCGACGTGTGGCACAACCGCGCGCTTCGTGCGCAAGAGCACTGCGCTTTAACGGCTGCCGCCGAGGGGACGCCTCGGCATAGGATCGACCGGTACATGAATGGCGCTCAGGGGAATGAATGCGCGCAAGACCGAGAGCACGCGCGTCGCTCGCGTTTGCACGAACATCCCACCTTCCCAGCGCCGATTCCCTCCCTTCCCTCCCTCTCCCCCTCCCCCCACCCCCCTCCCCTCCCCCCCCCCCCCTCCCCCCTCTTTCCCCTCCTTCCGCCCGTGACTTTTGAGTCGATTCAAAAATCATTCCCCCCCGTGACCGCCTCCCCCTCTTCGCTGTCAATCTCCCCACGCCCGCAGGCGCAACTCCGCGCAGAGGGTGCGACTACACAGCGGGGAGGCATGGCGGCGAGCGGGCAGCACTCGCGGTGGGCGGCGGTGGGCGCGTGGGCGGGCAATGTGGGGAGCTCGGTGGCGCTGGTGATGGTGAACAAGGTCATCATGTCCCGATACTCCTTCCACTTCGGTCAGCCACGCATCCCCATCCCCTCCTCGCCTGTATCCGCGCCCCCACCTCCACTTCCATTTTCTCCGCTCACTTCCTCCCCGTCGCCCACAAAGTTCTCCCCACGTCCCCCCTCATCCCCCTTCTTGCTCCCTTGCAATTCCTCGTAATATTTGTATGTTTCATTTTCCAGCCTTTTCCTCCTCCCCTCGCCCCATCTCCAACTTTGCGCCAAACCCTCGCCCTCCGCCCCACACCCTGCATCACCACTGCACTTTCCCTTTTCAACCTCGTCGCACTCTGCTGCATTGCCGTTCCAACTTCCAACACTTTTTCCCCACTTCCTTACCTGACCCCCTCCCCTCCGCACACCCGTCCCCCCGCCCCTCTCCGCGCCCCTCCCCGCGCCCCCACCCGGCCCGCTCCCCATCCCCTGTGTGCGCTGGTGTGCGGGGCATGGCATGGCAGCAACGACGCTGACGGCGCTGCACTTCGCCATGACGGGCCTTGTGGGCTGGCTGGGAGGCAGCAACCGCAAGGGCGCGCCTGGTGTGCCGCTGGGGGAGCTGCTGGCGTTCAGCGTTGTAGCGAATGCGTCTATAGTGGGGATGAACTTCAGCCTCATGCTCAACACCGTCGGGTTCTATCAAGTGCTCTCCCTCCCCTCCTTTGCACCCACACCGCCACCACATGCCTTTCTCCTTCCCACTTCTTCCCTCCCTCTTCCCACCCTTTTCCCCACCCTCGTTTCCACCCCTCATTGGCTTCATTCACCTGCAACTCCCACTACAACGCACCCAGTTTACTCACACCACAAATCCCCCAGCACCTCCTCCTTTCCCTGCATCACCCAAAACCCTTCCTCTCATCCTGTCTCCCCGGCAACACACGCCTCGCCCCACCGCGCGGTGCAGATCGCGAAGCTGAGTGTACTGCCCACGGTGTGCGTGCTGGAGTGGGCGGTGCACGGGCGGCGCTACTCGCGGGAGGTGCTGGGCGCCATCATGCTCGTGCTGGCGGGCGTGGCTGTGTGCACCGTCACTGACGTCTCCATCCGCCCCACTGGCCTTGCTGTCGCTGCTCTCGCCGTCGCAGCAACAGCCCTCCAACAAGTGGTGAGGGCAGCAGGGGGTGAGGGCAGCTCATTGCGGTTGCTATTTGCTGTAGCCCTGAGAAAAGAGCCGCTTATGCCAGACGGAATCTACTCAGTGATTACATCCTTATCCTGCTGCCCCTCCACGTCTCTGCTGTCCCTGCCTTGTGTTTCTTCTCCCACCCGTGTGTGGAACCCCACTGTGCCCATGTGCTGTGCGTGGCAGGGCATCGCCATGCTGCATTCACGGCATGCCATCAACTCCATGAGCCTGCTCTCCCTCACCGCGCCCACCCAAGCGGCGTCGCTACTACTACTAGGCCCCTCCACAGACTCGCTGCTGCTGGGAGGCCAGTCCCTGTGGCACTCTCACTTCAGCACAGCTGCCTGGGTGAGTCACCGCCAGGCCATGCCAGGAGCATGTGTCTTTTAGGTCGACTCATATGCCAGGACATGCTCAGTGCGGGGAGCATGTGTTGCTGGTGGAGGGGAACTGCCCTCGCTTCCTTCTTTTATTTCCCGCTCGTTCCTTTGATCACAGCTGCACTCCTAACCATGCTTGAGCCTCATTTGTCAAAAGCTGTTTTCCCATGGTTGTGAGATCATTCCCCATGTCTGCTGTGCCATGCCATGCAGGCGTTCGTGCTGCTGTCATGTGTGCTCGCCATCTTCTGCAACCTCACCCAGTACCTCTGCATCAACATACTCTCTCCCACCTCCTTCCAGGCATGTCCCCCTCTAACTATCTCTCTTGCGCAAATGTTCCCTTTTCATCTGGTCAATGCATGGCCTCTGGGCCCTTGAAACCTGAAGGATGTAGCCTGCGTTTATGGTTTCACTTTCTCTCTGTTGTTCGCTTCTTGTTCTGCATCCAACCCCATCCTATTTATCCTGAATCCGGTCAGCCAACTCCAAGGCAGCCCCACTTAGCCAAGCCAATACTAAGGGAACAAGACAAGTTTCCCCATGTGCCCAGCAGGTGCTAGGCAACATGAAGACGGTGCTGGTGCTGGTGCTGGGGTGGATGCTCTTTGACTCCTCGCTCTCACCCGCTAACATCGTGGGCATGGCCATGGCCGTCTCAGGCATGGCCCTCTACTCCTACGCTGCCCACGGCCGGGGGAGTAAAGGTTCAACAAGAGTAGCCACTGCAGGTGCTGATGCATCCAATAAGAAGCACGCGTGACTTGCGTTGGTGGCACATGGTACTGAATACATTTTCAGTGCTTTTGTTGGTATGGTGAAACACAGCACTGCAGCTCCAATTTGCACTGCACCTGCAGCCAATATTTATAACTACCATCATATTTGCCATGGTTTTACACATGTTGAGAAACTTCTTTTGTAGAGGGCCTCCCCTCCCGTCTCATCGGAGCACAAGGGGCAGGACCTAACATCAGGACCCATGTGTCTGGACCGGACATGTTACACAGGTGTCATTGATTTTGAATCTGGACGGGATTGGTTGATAAGGCAGATTACAATGTTAATGAAAGAACAGCTACCACCACAACCTTTTTTTGGCACCTCTGGAATTGTTACCCGGTAGCATAAGGGGGTCCGCCAACCAGTGCAGAGCAGATGCAGGTGGGCCAATGAGGAAGGCGGAGGGGAGGGGGAAGGGGCCGCTGCATGAGACATGGGAGGGGCAGGTGATCTTGCAACTGGTCGAATCACAAGTAGTAGCAGCAGTGGCGGCGGCGGCGGTGGCACCAGCAGCAACAGCAGAGGAATGATCCGCCAGAGAGGTTCTAAGGTGAACTTCTAAAAGAGGGATGAGGAGGACATACCGTAGCGCGCGTGGGGGTAATTGGATGGGGGAGTTTTACGGCTTAAGGTGGGGTGGCATTGAGTAAGTGTGGCATGGAAGGGAAAGGATAAGAGGTGTGTGAGAGGAGTGAATGCTGCAACCATGAGCTGGCCACCCTAAGCCCTCACCGCACCTCTTTCCATGCGCTTGACCGCACAGCCGCCTCTCTCTTCTTGACCATCCCGTTCTGCCTCTGCTCCACCACCGGCACCCCTTCCCCCTCTGCACCCTGCTTCCTCCCCCTCCAAGGACCTACTGCAGTGGCAGCGAGAGGTGCAGTTGCAATGCAGTGGCAGCAGCAGAGGTGGATCACGTTGAGCCCCTTGCCTGCACCTCCTGCCCACAGCCGCCACCCCACACTCACCACCTCCACCCACACGCAGCCCTGGGCTTTGAGATGCTGTGAGAAGGTGATGAAAGAAGGTAGGATGCAAGGAGGAAGGGGAACGCGCGGAGGAGGCGTGCTTCACTCGTATATGGCCATGCAACTGCTCTATTGGCGATGAATGGCAGCAAGGCGCTTGGTAGAGAAAGAAATAACTAAAACAGAAAGAAGTCTAAGGTGTTTCAGAAATAAAATTCGCACCTCTCAGACCCTCAGCAAGAATCATGCCACTAGACCCAACACCCGCTCAGTTGGCAAGTAACGGAGCATTTTTGCTATGCAATAGCAATGCCAGCGCGCCAGCAGGCGGTGACTTCAAGGGTTCGACTCGAACGAACCAGTGTTGCTGTCTCACCCTCTGAGATGGCTGAGTCGCTGAGCAACCTGGGCAACGGGCGAGGTGGGCCGGCAAATGAGAGGGTGCTGCGCCGCTGAGGCTCAGTGAAGTGGGTGTAACAGTGAGAGGGGAAGCAATGTAGGGGGCTGTGAGGCATGGAGAGCATTGTCCGTTGGTGATGGAGTGGAAGAGAGGGTCGGGAGGCGAGGCAAAGGAGGAAAGGACGATACACACTCACATGTGTGTAAGTGAGGGTATGAGGGTGCATGTGTGATGGTGTGTTTGATTGAACACTCACATCGTACCTCGCATGGTAGGGCATCTGAGCAGGCGAGAGAGAGAGGGGCAGTGACGCCAAAGACCACAGCAGCCCTCCTCGTGCAGACACCTCACGTCTCAAGCGATTCTACGTTGCATCACGTCACATCACATCTTGCATAGCACAGCGACTCACCTGGCAAAAGACGGTTTCAGCAACTGCCCATCTGTAGCAGACCGAGCGATACTTCATCAGTGCTGTTGGAATTACCGTAGCATCTCCCCAGGCACGTCCTTCCGACCCCCCTAACTGCTGCGGTGCCTGACACATGGCAGGCCGCCATGCTGGCAAGCATGCCTAGTCAGCGGCGTCGTCGTCAAGAGACAGGTGCAGAAAATGCGAGTGAGAAGGAGAGGGAGGGAAGGGGAGCGAGGAGGAGAGTGAGGAAGAGTACGAGGGAGAGGAACGGACAGAAGGACTGGTGCTATTGTTCTTGCTCTCCTCTGATGTGGCAGTGTGCCATTGGCTGTCAGGTGCAGCTCCAAGCAGCAGGGCGGTGGAGAGCAGGGAAGGGCGTGGGTGAGGTGGGAGTGAGTGAGCGAGTGCAGCGTGTGGTGGGGGCGTGCAATGGGACACCGTGCCTCCTGCGCTGCAGCTGCCAACGCCACTTGCAGGGGCGGCAGGCGGATGGGCAAGTGGAGACGGTGTGGAGGGGGAAGAAGGCAGAAAACGGGGGGAGGGTGGGGAAGGTGTAGAAGAGGTCAGGGGTGGGGGAGGGGAGATGGGAAGGGGAGATGGGAAGGGGAGATGGGAAGGGAAGATGGGGAGGGGGCAAATGGGGCGAAGTGCAGCAAGGTGAACGGTCTCCTCCTCTCGCATCTCGTCCATGGGGAGAGTTAAGGCGTGCGGTGATGCAGACAGCGAATGAACGATTACTCGCAGCACATCGCAGCACGCACAACGAGGCAACCACAAACGCATGTGAGGAGGAGGCGCGGATGCGAGTGGGGGGGCGGAAAGAAGCAGCGGCAGCAGCAGGGGAAAGCGCAACGGAAGGGGGGGAAGCAGAGGAGTGAGCGCAGTCATTGTGGCGGCTCGTGGGCCATGGCATCAACGAGAACACTGCTGGCGCCTGACTCAGGAGGAAGGGGGAATGGGGGGAGGGGGACGTGGGAGGGGAGAGGAAGAAGAGGGGGAGGGGGAAGGGAGGGCGATCAGACTAACTCCTAACGGCCAGTCCCTTGAGTTACTTGGGGTACGATGGGGTACGATGGGGTACGATTGGGTACGACGCGGTACGACGGGGTACGATGGGGTATGATGGGGTACGACGGGGTACGATGGGGTACCCGCTGCAGAGCAGGATGACGATTCATTCGACTCAAACGCCATTATAGAGCCACTCAGGGCACTTGCTGCGTGCACGCGGGGAGGAGGCTGGGAGCGGAAGCACCACCTATTCAGAAGCTTCAATACCCAAGTCTTATCAAAGCATGTGGTGGTATGGTATGGAGGGAGGCGAGCGGCACAGCAAGGTGAGTCGTCTCCTCCTCTCGCATCCCTTTCATTGTGCCCCCCTCCTCCCCGCCTGTCCCTCTCCTCCCCGCCTGCCCCTCTTCTCCCCGCCTGCCCCCCTCCTCCCCGCTTGCCCCTCTCCACCCCGCAATCCCCCCACCAGCATTCACCTGCCGCCGAGCGTGCCTCGCGGATGCCGTCGCCCACCACCGCCGTTGCGCGCGCCTCCACCGTCACGGACGAGGCGCGGACGGAAGGAGAGCGAGAGAGCGGGGGTGCGGGAAGGGCGGTGCGAGAAGGTGATTGGGTCGCGGCTCTTGATCCTCACGCCGCCGCGCGAGCCCTCACACTCCGCTCCCCTCCCATCCCGCCTATTCGCCGCCGCGCCAGCAAATGAAGCAGCGGCGTCGCCTCCCCGTTCTTCGCGCCCTTCGCGCTAGCATTGCGCGCAGTTGCGCACAGACGAGAGCGAACGAGAGCATGCGCGCGCGCAGCACTGACGCCATGGGGGCGAAGAAGCGAAAGAGCGCTACGCGTCGTCTGCGCCACTCCCGGCAGGGGGACGACGGGCGGTAACGTCGTAGGTGGGTGGTTGGCGGTAACGCCTGATTTCACAGAAATCAGAACGCGTGATTTCGTTTCGGCGGTGACTGGTGTGACTGTGTGAAGGGACGAGAATGATGGTGCAAATGCAAATGACAGTGCTGCCACGAGAATTTGGTAACCAGGTTCAATTCGAAGCAAACGAACCGCTTCCGATTGCACAGAACATCGTCAATTGCGTTTACTGAAAAATGTGACAGTTTCATTTCTTTTGCAAAACGAGGAAGTAGAACACGAATCTAAGATGTACACCAGCAATGCTTGTATCGAGTATGGATCTCCCCGTCGAAAATTCGAAATCCCCATAACCAAGCCGCCAGAAGCAAAGCCCAAGAACAGATTCGTTTCTCCTTGGAGTTAGCAAGCAAGGCACGCGCCGCGACGCGATTACTTGGCATCCTTGGAGCGAGCAAGCCACATCACACCCCCCCAATATACCTAGGAAATACCACTCGCCGAACCCGTGGGTCGGGTGATCCCTACCCCCAAACCACCATGATCCCTCCAGTTTCCTTCTCGCGGGTACCGGTACCCACAACCCACGAAGCCTCACACAAACAATTGAGTTGCTTTCACGTTGAGATCGATCGAAGTTGCTGGCAGAAACCTCTCACGCCGACCTGCAAGCCGTCGCAACGGCACGCCTTCATCCCACTGGGCAAATCTCTCTGGTTCACAACGCAACAGCACCCTGGGCTTCGGTGCAGTTGCACCCTTGATCGTTCCCGCCACTGGTGAGCACGATATGGGAATACGCCATGGATCACGCCGTGCAATCGTCGGTACCACTCCCTGTTGCCCGTGCGCGACAATAGTGCCTGGCCAGTAAACATCTAGATGATTCATTTTTCCCCTGTTAACAATTGTTTGAAGAACCGTATCCTGCTGCTCTGCTTGTTGCATCACGAAACGATATTCTCGATTTCGTCAGTTATCTCCGCCTCCCCCACATGTTACTTTATGACTCGCTCTCTCACCGAAGCTACTCAATACGCCGCTGCCCTCGCGGCTTCTCTACTTGTTACGTCATTCTTTTTCAACACTTCAGTTGTCTCCTCTCCCTTTCTCTCATCCGCCCAATTCTCTCCCCCCCTCCCCCACAGGTAATCCCATCACTCGCTCTCTCACCAAAGATCCTCACTACGCCGCTGCCCTCGCGGCTTCTCTGCTTGTTACATCATTCATTGTCAACACTTCAATCGTTTGCCCGGTAGGTAGTAGTAGGTACTATGTGGGGAAGGAAGGCTTCCTCTGATACACATCAACCACCCCGTGTGTTTGCATCCAAGGCGAGGAACGCACAGGAGGCACACGAGACCATCAGACCGTCTCACCCACACCTACTGCCAGGTAGGTACTGTATGGGGTAGGCTTTCTCTGATACACATCAACCCCCCCGTGTGTTTGCATCCAAGGCGAGGAACGCACAGGAGGCACACGAGACCATCAGACCGTCTCACCCACACCTGCTGCCAGGTAGGTACTGTGTGGGGTAGGCTTTTTCTGATACACATCAACCCCCCCGTGTGTTTGCATCCAAGGCGAGGAACGCACAGGAGGCACACGAGACCATCAGACCGTCTCACCCACACCTGCTGCCAGGTAGGTACTGTGTGGGGTAGGCTTTTTCTGATACACATCAACCCCCCCGTGTGTTTGCATCCAAGGCGAGGAACGCACAGGAGGCACACGAGACCATCAGACCGTCTCACCCACACCTGCTGCCAGGTAGGTACTGTGTGGGGTAGGCTTTTTCTGATACACATCAACCCCCCCGTGTGTTTGCATCCAAGGCGAGGAACGCACAGGAGGCACACGAGACCATCAGACCGTCTCACCCACACCTGCTGCCAGGTAGGTACTGTGTGGGGTAGGCTTTTTCTGATACACATCAACCCCCCCGTGTGTTTGCATCCAAGGCGAGGATCGCACAGGAGGCGCATGAAGCAATCAGTCTGACACACACACACACCTGCTGCCAGGTAGGTAGAGGTGCTATGTCGGGTAGGCGTTTCCTGGTACACATCGCCCCCCCGTGTGTTTGCATCCAAGGCGAGGAACACCCAGGAGGCACATGAAGCAATCAGACCGACGCACCCGCACCTACTGCCAGGTAGGAGGTGAGGTAGCATATAAGGTAGGTGTGTTGTGTCTGAAGTAGAAGGCGCAGAGGTGGTATGTATCTGGTGTGTGTGGTCGCCCCCCTGCTTGTTTGCCTCCAAGGCGAGGAACGCCCAGGAGTAGGCGACCTCTGAAGCCAATCTAGTGCTCTCCATCGCCCCGCGTGTTTGCCTCCAAGGCGAGGATCGCCCAGGAGGCACATGAGGTGATCAGACCAACACACCACACCTGCTGCCAGGTAGGTAGTAGTAGGTACTATGTGGGGAAGGAAGGCTTCCTCTGATACACATCGACCCCCCCGTGTGTTTGCATCCAAGGCGAGGAACGCACAGGAGGCACACGAAAACAGTCTGATACACCCACCCCTGCTGCCAGGTAGGTAGTGTGTGGGGTAGGCGTATTCTGGTACACATGTCCCCCGCCCCCCTGTGTGTTTGCCTCCAAGGCGAGCAACACACAGGAGGCGCTTGAGGCAATCAGACCGACACACCACACCTGCTGCCCGGTAGGTATCATGTGGGATATTCGCAACCAATCGAGACTTGCTGTGGTGGTAGCGTGCCACGCCAGAGCTGCAGAGCACACTCGGTTTTTACTACTTGTATTGTATGAGACCCCTTAGCAAGAATTCTGACGCAAATCGTTTTCCACTACGCCGTTTGAAGACCTCTCGCATCCTCACCTGGATCTACGCGATTTCTGCCCTTAGGAGACCACCTTGCCAACATTTGTAACCAGATCTACGCGAAGTCCTTAAGGTAAGCCGAACAAGTCGTTGCTGTTGGTACAGCTGCTGCTGCTACAGCATCCCCCCTGCGAGTGGATGGCTCCTCCTCCTCCTCTTCCCTTCCCCATTTCCTAAATATGGGACGACTGTCTCCCCGTCCCCCCTCTCCTTAGTATGGTGCGCTCGCATTCTCTTGCGTGTTCCTCATCTCCTCCCCCTCCCTGACTCCGGCCCTGTCCTACCCTACCCTGCCCCTGCCCTGCTCTTCTGCTCCCCTCCAGCGTCCACCAACGCTCCTGCCAGCGGGGCCAGTGGATCGGCAGCAGGGGCCAGTGGATCGGCAGCAGGGGCCAGTGGATCGGCAGCTGGGGCCAGTGGATCGGCAGCAGGGGGAAAACGGTTGGCGCAGGAAGGGACGAAGCCGCCCAAGCCAGCCAAAGGTACAGACTCACACAATTGCGCACACTCAGTACACACTTGCACACACTTGCACACACTTGCACACACTTGCACACACTTGCACTCACTTGCACTCACTTGCACACACTTGCACTCACTTGCACTCACTTGCACTCACTTGCACTCACTTGCACTCACTTGCACTCACTTGCACTCACTTGCACTCACTTGCACTCACTTGCACTCACTAGCACTCACTTGCACTCACTTGCACTCACTTGCACTCACTTGCACTCACTTGCACTCACTTGCACTCACTTGCACTCACTTGCACTCACTTGCACTCACTTGCACTCACTTGCACTCACTTGCACTCACTTGCACTCACTTGCACTCACTTGCACTCACTTGCACTCACTCGCACTCGCTGCACTCACACCCACATGCTTGCGTATACTCGCTCGCACCCACAAGCATCACTTGCAGACATTCACTAACACTTCGCTCACTCAAACTCGCTCACATTCCCTGCTCCTCACGTCGCCTGCCCTCACGTCGCCTCCCCCTCACACCCAGCACCGGCAGCGCCCCCCCCTCTCTGTGTTATTGTTAGAGTGAGTGATTGTGAGTGTGAGCAACGGAGTGGGTGAATGACTGACTGAGCGTGAGTGAAAGATTGAATGCGTGAGTGAGAGTTTGTGAGAGTGTGAATCTGTGAGTGCATCTGTTTGAGAGTCAAGGAGTGACCGAGTGCGTGAATGTCCCCCTGTCCCCCTGTCTCCATGTCCCCATGTCCCCCTGTCCCCATGTCCCCCTGTCTCCATGTCCCCCTGTCCCCATGTCCCCCTGTCCCCATGTGCCCCTGTCCCCATGTCCCCCTGTCCCCATGTCCCCCTGTCCCCATGTCCCCTTGTCCCCATGTCCCCCTGTCCCCATGTCCCCTTGTCCCCATGTCCCCATGTCCCCTTGTCCCCATGTCCCCCTGTCCCCATGTCCCCCTGTCCCCATGTCCCCCTGTCCCCATGTCCCCCTGTCCCCATGTCCCCCTGTCCCCATGTCCCCCTGTCCCCATGTCCCCTTGTCCCCATGTCCCCCTGTCCCCATGTCCCCTTGTCCCCATGTCCCCATGTCCCCTTGTCCCCATGTCCCCCTGTCCCCATGTCCCCCTGTCCTAATGTCCCCATTGCCCGCTGTCCCCATGACCCCATGCCCCCCTGTCGCCATTTCCCCCTGTCCGCAAGTTCCCCTGTCCCCATGTCCCCGTGCCCCGTTGCCCCCATGCCCCCGTCCCCATGTCCCCCTGTCCCAATGTTTCCATGTCCCCATGCCCCCATGCCCCCCTGTCCCCGTGCCCCCCTGTTCCCATGTCCCCCAGTCCCCATCCCATGTCCCCCTGTTCCCATGTCCCCATGTTTCCCTGTCCCTTGTCCCCATGTCCCCCAGTCCCCAAGTCCATCGCATTCCGCCAATCGGAGAAGAGTTAGCAGGCGTTTTTAACCGGATTAACTTTCTGCAATTGGACTGCAAGATCAAAGATGGACGACTCCGATGCAGCAGCGCGATCTGCGCTGCAGATCGGTGAGTTTCTTTCTTTTACGCACCACGTGATGCAGATTAAAAGCTATCGTGGAGAATGGACAGGCGTGCTTTAGAGTCTCGACTTCATCGGTGCATCGGTTTTCGTGTTTTGTTTTGTTTTCGGTTTTCCAACCCCAACTGCTGTCAACCAACCTGTCGTGGCTGTCAGTGCCTTTGATGTTAAGCATGAGGGTGAGCGGCTTAAAGCCTTGTGAGTCCGCTCACAAGTCCCATTGCTTTACCCGCACACATCACCTTGTCCCTCACCCTGACCCCCTCAACCTCGCGACTCCCCCTTCAAACCCCCCACAGAGTGTGGAGGCGAAGGCGGAGCTGGAGGCGGAAGTACCCCCTCTCTTCCCACTAGGGATGAGGGGGAGCACGGCACGCACGGAACTCCCGCCAGCAGCAGCACCGGCGACGCCAACAGCAGCACTGGCGACGCCAGCAGCAGCACTGGCGACGCCAGCAGCAGCATCGGCAACGCCAGCAGCAGCATCGGCAACGCGGTCAGCAGCTCCAGCAACGCCGACAGCTCCAACTGCCAGTCCCCTGCAACCACCAGCTCAACGCCAGACCCACACCCACTCCCACATGGTAAGTGCGCCTTTGCCCTCAGCGGCCCTGTCATTTTCTCATACCTCAGCGCCGTTGCTGCTGCTGCTTCAGCTTTGTCACGTCACTCCCACAAGGTGAGTGAGCGTGCCACTTCTGCCGCTCATTTGAAGTGTTGAGACCCTCCCTCCCAAACCAAGTGTGCACGGAGGATCTGCACGCGGAGTAAACGCGCCACTGCTGCTGCTGCTTCTTCAGCTTTGTCAGGACACTCCCACGAGGTGAGTGAACGCGCCACTGCTGCTGCTGCTGCTTCAGCTTTGTCAGGACACTCCCACGAGGTGAGTGAACGCGCCACTGCTGCTGCTGCTGCTTCAGCTTTGTCAGGACACTCCCACGAGGTGAGTGAACGCGCCACTGCTGCTGCTGCTGCTTCAGCTTTGTCAGGACACTCCCACGAGGTGAGTGAACGCGCCACTGCTGTTGCTCACTGTGCCCTCAGCCCCCTTTGTTGTTTTCCCACAGCTCACTTGCCTTGCCCTCAGCCCCATCTGTCACTTTGGCACGGTGCACCGTGCGTACAGCCCCCCATGCCCTTTGGCACGGCGAGCCGTGGCCACACCCCCTCCCCCCCCTTCCCCCCCCGCAGACCCCGTTCCCCTCCCCTCCCTTTGACACGGTGCTCCATGACCCCTCCCTTTTGCATTTATATTTTCGACCCTTTCTCTAGCTATGGGCCGTTCGTGGCTTCTAAGGACATACCTATTTCATGGTTTCATCCGTTTTTTTTAATCCCTTTGTGTCTGCTCGATTTACAGCGTTCGACTGGGAGCTTTTTCGTTCATGGATTGTCGACCATTGGGATCAAATAATGGAAAGTCGGTCGAACGTGGAGAGCCTGAAGGGCCTTCTAATGGCTCTTTCAAGTATGTCTGAGGGGGAGGGGAGTGGTGAACGGGGTGGCATGGGGAGAGGAGTGGTATGGAAGGGAAGGGAGGGTAGGGGGGGGTGGCTTGGGGTAGTGTTTGGCATGGGGAAGGAAGTGGCAAGGGGATGGGAGTGGGGCATGTGGCAGGGTGTTGATTGGAGTGGTATGGGAAGAGGAGTGGCATAGGGAAATGAGTTCTTTCTCCTCTCCTTCTACTATGTTCCTCCCTCATCTTACAGACTACCGAAGAATAGACGGTGAGGAGCACTTGAATGCTCTACTTCAAGCCTGCCCCATCCCGCCGGAGATATACGAGGACTTTGCTGCGGATGACTTTGAGGAATTCTGGATCAATATCGAGGAGGTATGTGTGGCATGGGAGGGGTGTGTGTTGCACGGGAGGGGTGTGTGTGGCACAAGCAGGTACCAGCAGGAGCTGGAGGGGGGCACCTTTTTTGTGAGTGAGGGAGGGTGGCACCTGTTCGAGAGAGACGGAGGGGTGGCCCGTTATGTTGCACGTGCATGAAGTTGGGGGAGGGGATGAGAGGGGCAGGGGGGGATAAAGTATGTTGTTTGGTGTAGCGGAATTGCTTAGAGAGACACTGTTGTTGCTGGCATGTGAATGTGTGTTTGTTGATGAAAAGCACACAACATCATTTTTAACCCCCTATCTACCCCTCTCTCCCCTGCTCCCTCTCACCTGCTCCGCTCTCACCTGTCCTCATTTCACAAACCAGATCCAGGCGGCCTTTGCTAAACTTCAACAGCAGGTGGAGCTGCGGCTGCTCGAGCTGGCTGGGGCGTCGATCCAGAGGGATGCGCAGAGCGAGGGGGGGCTGAAATCAGTTGAAGGTGAGATGGCGAGTGTCAGTTGTGAGGTCTTGCGTCGCCTCAAAGTGCAGTGCATGGCTGTGGGGGCTGCTGTCGTAGCTGCTACAGTTGCTACAAAATCAATGATGCTTCAACAGGGCAACTTGTGAAGCGCCAGAAAATGCACCCTTTCTCCTCCCCCTTTCCCAGCAGTTTGGCAGTGTGTGAATCAACTGAGGTGACAGAAAAGAGGGGGGAGGTAAGGTGGTGAGGTGAGGGTGCTGCATGGCAAGCGACGGCTGAATGGTCACAAAGTTCTGACGTGCCTTCTGAGGTGCCTAGAACTTCCCAGGCACGTAATGACCTCACTGCTTTTCGTTCCTCCCTGTTCTCCCTCCCAACACTTCGCCTGTACGTGGACCTGTTCCGGCGGCAACGTAAGGGGGAGGCAGTGAGGGTGCTGCAAGGCTCAGAAGGCTGACTTCTGAGGCATCACTTTCCTCTCTGCTCTGCCCTCTCCTTCCCCTTGGCCTGTACGTGGACCTGTACAGGCGGAGGTGGAGCTGGAGGCGGAGGTACCCCCACACCTTCCACCAGGCATGGGGAGTCGCACGGCACTCCCGCCAACAGCAGCACTGGCGACGCCAGCAGCAGCATCGGCAACGCGGTCAGCAGCTCCAGCAACGCCGACAGCTCCAACCGCCAGTCCCCTGCAATCACCAGCTCAGGTGATGATTTTCCTGTTTCAGGATCACTTGGTGAGTACATAGCAACTGTTGCTGCAGAACGAAAACCCGGGTACACTCACGCCCACCCCCCATGTGGGAGTCAACACAATGTAGTGAATGCATTTTGTCATTGAAGTCTCTATCTGTCGTTGCTTTAGCGAGAAGGTTGCTTCACACTCAGCCGCACCGAGGTTTGAGACCCACACCCACTGCCACATGGTAAGTGCGCCTTTGCCTTCAGCGCCCCCTGTCATTTTCTCATACTTCAGCGCCACTGCTGCTGCTGCCTCAGTTTTGTCACGACACTCCCACGAGGTGAGTGAACGCGCCACTGCTGCTGGTGAGGGGGAGATGCTTTACTTCTTCCCGTGCCCCTCACCCCCATGTTTTCCTACCCATGCCCCCCTCCTCCCCACCCCCAGGCATACACGGTGGAGATGGATCATGGAGAGGGGGTGCTGTCCTTTTTTTCCATGCCTCTCACCGTGTACGTCCCCTCCATGCCCCCCTATCCTCCCACCAGGCGTACACGGAGGTGAGGGAGGCGGGGGCGGGGAACAATCAGCTGAACATACAGCTGCTGCTGCTGTAGTATCTCATGACGGGCATGAGGAGGAGGACCGCACCTGCAGCACTAGTGCGGAGCGCACAGCCCATGAGGGGCATGAAGACGAGGACAGCAGCTCCAGCGCTGGCAGCAGAAGTAGCACCAGCAGCGCCAGCGACCCACGTGGTGAGTGCGCCGCCTCCCTTAGCCCCCCTGTCATTTTGTCACGACTCACCGTGCCCGCAACCCCCCCTGCCATTTTGTTATTGCTCACCATGCCCTCAGGCCCCCCTGTCAGATTTTCATTGCTCACCATGCCCTCAGCCCCTCCTGTCATTTTGGCATGGTGTACCGTGCGTACAGCCCCCCCCACCATGGCCGTCCATCCCTCCGCCGCCCCCCCACCCCCCCCCACCCCCTCCCCCCCCCACCTCTCCCTCCTCTCCCTTTGGCACGGTGCTCCATGCCCGCAGCCCCTTCCCCTCTGCATTTACATTCTCCCCTTCTGCATTTACATTCACTCCGTGTCTGCCCTATTCACAGCGCTTGACTGGGAAGATTTCCGTACATGGATAGAGATGCAGTGGACAAAAATACAGGAAAAGGACGCGATCATCGAGATCCGAAACAAGTTGATAAAGGTTCAAACAGGTATATCTGAGGGGGAGGTGAGTGGGGAACGGGGTGGCATGGGAAGGTGGATGACATGGGGAGGGGAGTGGCATGGTGGCATGGTGAAGAGGGTGTCATGGGGAGGGTAGTGACAGGGAAGGGGAGTGGCATGGGGAAGGGGATGCGAGGGATAGCGGGGTGGTTAGAGGAGGGGAGTGGTATGGGGAGGGGGGTGGCATGGAGAGGGGGGTGGCCTACGGAGCGGGGGAGAGGGGCGGCTGTGGGGGGGGGGTGTCAGGGATGGAGCGTGGGTGGGATAGGGTGGGGGGTGGCAGGGGGAGGGGAATGGCGGGATAGGGGACTGGCATGGCGGGAGGGGAGTGACAGGGAAGGGGAGTGGCAAGCGGAGGGGAGTGGCATGGGAAAGGGAGGGTAGGGGGTGGCGTGAGGAGGTGCGTGGCATGGAGAGGGAAGTGGCAAGGGGATAGGAGTGGCATGTGGAAGGGTGTAGCGGGGGGTGAGTGGGGTGGTATGGGGAGAGGAGTGGCATAAGGAAGGGAGTGGCATGGGGAACGAGCTCTCTCTCATCTTTTTCTACGTTCCCTCCGCATCGGCAGAATACTTTGAAGTGGGCGGCGATAGGCTTAGCAAGGTTACTGATCTGCATCAAGCCTACGCCAACGAGGCGGAGGCATATGAGGAGCGGGCCAGTCTTGCTGAAGTGGCATTTGAGCATGCCCGTGACAGGTTGTATCAGGTATGCTAGTATGCTACTCTGGGCCGTTATGCTGCACGTGCATGAAGGTGGGGGAAGGGGATGAGACGGGGAGGGGGGAATGAAGTATGATGTTTGGTGTGGCATGGTTGCTCACGTACCCCTCTCTCACCCACCCCCTCTCACCCATCCACACTCGTCCCCTTCTCACCTGCTTCTCTCTCACCTACCCTTGTTGTTGCACATACTAGTTTCAGGCAAGAGTGAAATATCTGCAATGGCAAGTCGAGGAGTTGCAAGATGCAGCTGCGGAGAAGGGAGTGGTGAGTGGCATAAAACCTCTTTACTTCTTCATCTGCCCCCCTCTCAACTACTTCCCTCTCATCTACTTCCCTCTCATCTACCCTCCTCTCACCTACCCTCCTCTAACATTACCCCCATTACCACCCCTCTAACATACCTGACCTCTCACCTGCCTGTCTGCCTTCCTCTTCCCCTTTTTTCCGGATGCCTGAATGCGAAGTTATCGCACCCGAGCCCTGATTTCAGGATTCATACGCCATTTTTCTAATGTGCTCCTGCAGTTAACTAAGCTGGCGGAGGCGCAAGACTTGTTGGTAAAGGAGCTGCAGCGCACGATGAAGGAGCGTGAGGCAACGATTGAGGGGTTGCAACGCACTGCGGAGGAGAGGGAGAGGATGGTCGAGGCACTGCAGAGCGCGGCGAAGGAGAGGGAGAGGATGGTCGAGGCACTGCAGAGAGCGGCGGAGGAGAGGGAGAGTAAGGTCGAGGCGCTGCAGAGCGCGGCGGAGGAGAGGGAGAGTAAGGTCGAGGCGCTGCAGAGCGCGGCGGAGGAGAGGGAGAGGATGGTCGAGGCACTGCAGAGCGCGGCGGAGGAGAGGGAGAGGATGGTCGAGGCACTGCAGAGCGCGGCGAAGGAGAGGGAGAGGATGGTCGAGGCACTGCAGAGCGCGGCGGAGGAGAGGGAGAGGATGGTCGAGGCGCTGCAGAGCGCGGCGGAGGAGAGGGAGAGGATGGTCGAGGCACTGCAGAGCGCGGCGAAGGAGAGGGAGAGGATGGTCGAGGCACTGCAGAGCGCGGCGGAGGAGAGGGAGAGTAAGGTCGAGGCGCTGCAGAGCGCGGCGGAGGAGAGGGAGAGGATGGTCGAGGCACTGCAGAGCACGGCGAAGGAGAGGGAGAGGATGGTCGAGGCACTGCAGAGCGCGGCGGAGGAGAGGGAGAGTAAGGTCGAGGCGCTGCAGAGCGCGGTGGAGGAGAGGGAGAGTAAGGTCGAGGCGCTGCAGAGCGCGGCGGAGGAGAGGGAGAGTAAGGTCGAGGCGCTGCAGAGCGCGGCGGAGGAGAGGGAGAGGAAGGTCGAGGCGCTGCAGAGTGCGGCGGAGGAGAGGGAGAGGATGGTCGAGGCACTGCAGAGCGCGGCGAAGGAGAGGGAGAGGATGGTCGAGGCACTGCAGAGCGCGGCGGAGGAGAGGGAGAGTAAGGTCGAGGCGCTGCAGAGCGCGGCGGAGGAGAGGGAGAGGATGGTCGAGGCACTGCAGAGCGCGGCGAAGGAGAGGGAGAGGATGGTCGAGGCACTGCAGAGCGCGGCGGAGGAGAGGGAGAGTAAGGTCGAGGCGCTGCAGAGCGCGGCGGAGGAGAGGGAGAGGATGGTCGAGGCGCTGCAGGTGTGCGGGCTAATGGAACTTGATGCCCGTGACCCCGCGACACATGTTCAGGTGAGCCACGGCCCACGGGGACACACGGGCGAGGGGGTGGGCGTGCGCGCGAGTATGGGCGTGCGCGCGAGTAAGGGCGCGAGTAGGAGGGGAGGGATTACAGAAGAGGCATGTGCGTGTGCTCCAGGCGAGGGCGCCCGACAGCTGGTGGGAGAGGGGCCTCTGCCGTGACTGCGCGGGTGCAGAGAGGACGTGCGTGTGCATCCAGCAGGTGAGTGAGTGAGGACTGCAGCCGCCGGGCGAAGGGTTTGATGAAGGGCATCCAGGGTGAGGAATCATGAAGTGAGCGCTAAATGCAGAAGGGAATGGGGTGGGGAAATGTGAAGTGAGGGCTGAAGGCGCAAGGGATGTTGGAATCAATTAGGTGACCGGTTCGTGCCTCAGGTGGCACTGCCTCGGGTGGCACTGCCTCAGGTGGCACTGCCTCGGGTGGCACTGCCTCGGGTGGCACTGCCTCGGGTGGCACTGCCTCGGGTGGCACTGCCTCGGGTGGCACTGCCTCGGGTGGCACTGCCTCGGGTGGCACTGCCTCGGGTGGCACTGCCTCGGGTGGCACTGCCTCGGGTGGCACTGCCTCGAGTGGCACTGCCTCGGGTGGCACTGCCTCGGGTGGCACTGCCTCGGGTGGCACTGCCTCGGGTGGCACTGCCTCGGGTGGCACTGCCTCGGGTGGCACTGCCTCGGGTGGCACTGCCTCGGGTGGCACTGCCTCGGGTGGCACTGCCTCGGGTGGCACTGCCTCGGGTGGCACTGCCTCGGGTGGCACTGCCTCGGGTGGCACTGCCTCGGGTGGCACTGCCTCGGGTGGCACTGCCTCGGGTGGCACTGCCTCGGGTGGCACTGCCTCGGGTGGCACTGCCTCGGGTGGCACTGCCTCGGTGTGCACTGCCTCGGGTGGCACTGCCTCGGGTGGCACTGCCTCGGGTGGCACTGCCTCGGGTGGCACTGCCTCGGGTGGCACTGCCTCGGGTGGCACTGCCTCGGGTGGCACTGCCTCGGGTGGCACTGCCTCGGGTGGCACTGCCTCGGTGTGGCACTGCCTCGGGTGGCACTGCCTCGGGTGGCACTGCCTCGGGTGGCACTGCCTCGGGTGGCACTGCCTCGGGTGGCACTGCCTCGGGTGGCACTGCCTCGGGTGGCACTGCCTCGGGTGGCACTGCCTCGGGGGCACTGCCTCGGGTGGCACTGGCCTCGGGTGGCACTGCCTCGGGTGGCACTGCTCGGGTGGCACTGCCTCTGGGTGGCACTGCCTCGGGTGGCACTGCCTCGGGTGGCACTGCCTCTGGGTGGCACTGCCTCGGGTGGCACTGCCTCGGGTGGCACTGCCTCGGGTGGCACTGCCTCGGGTGGCACTGCCTCTGGTGGCACTGCCTCTGGGTGGCACTGCCTCGGGTGGCACTGCCTCGGGTGGGCACTGCCTCGGGTGGCACTGCCTCGGGTGGCACTGCCTCGGGTGGCACTGCCTCGGGTGGCACTGCCTCGGGTGGCACTGCCTCGGGTGGCACTGCCTCGGGTGGCACTGCCTCGGGTGGCACTGCCTCGGGTGGCACTGCCTCGGGTGGCACTGCCTCGGGTGGCACTGCCTCGGGTGGCACTGCCTCGGGTGGCACTGCCTCTGGTGGCACTGCCTCGGGTGGCACTGCCTCGGGTGGCACTGCCTCGGGTGGCACTGCCTCGGGTGGCACTGCCTCGGGTGGCACTGCCTCGGGTGGCACTGCCTCGGGTGGCACTGCCTCGAGTGGCACTGCCTCTGGTGGCACTGCCTCGGGTGGCACTGCCTCGGGTGGCACTGCCTCGGGTGGCACTGCCTCGTGTGGCACTGCCTCTGGTGGCACTGCCTCGGGTGGCACTGCCTCGGGTGGCACTGCCTCGGGTGGCACTGCCTCGGGTGGCACTGCCTCGGGTGGCACTGCCTCGGGTGGCACTGCCTCGGGTTGCACTGCACTGCCTCGGTTGGCACTGCCTCGGGTGGCACTGCCTCGGGTGGCACTGCCTCGGGTGGCACTGCCTCGGGTGGCACTGCCTCGGGTGGCACTGCCTCGGTTGGCCTGCCTCGGTGGCACTGCCTCGGGTGGCACTGCCTTCGGGTGGCACTGCCTCGGGTGGCACTGCCTCGGTGGCACTGCCTCGGGTGGCACTGCCTCTGTACTGCCTCGGGTGGCACTGCCTCGGGTGGCACTGCCTCGGGTGGCACTGCCTCGGGTGGCACTGCCTCGGGTGGCACTGCCTCGGGTGGCACTGCCTCGGGTTGCACTGCCTCGGGTGGCACTGCCTCGGGTGGCACTGCCTCGGGTGGCACTGCCTCGGGTGGCACTGCCTCGGGTGGCACTGCCTCGGGTGGCACTGCCTCGGGTGGCACTGCCTCGGGTGGCACTGCCTCGGGTGGCACTGCCTCGGGTGGCACTGCCTCGGGTGGCACTGCCTCGGATGGCACTGCCTCGGGTGGCACTGCCTCGGGTGGGATGTGCGTGTGCATCCAGCAGGTGAGATGTTTGGGCACATTGTTTGAAGGTATTCGTAGGAGCATGTACTGCTTCACACCCACGCCCCTCCGCCCTTCCACGACTATCCGCCTCATCTGCCAGTATCTATTCACCTCCCGCACCTCACAGCACACATCCTTACACCCCCCTAGCCCACTCTCACCTCTTTCCCCTTGCAGCAGGAGCAGGAGGCGGAGGAGAGTGGGGCAGTGGGGCAACAGGAGCAGCAGGCGGAGGCGGGGGCGAGGGCGGTGGGGGGGGGGCAGGGGAGCGTTTCGATGGAGATGGATGAGACTGACGACCCCACGCAGGACGAGGTGAGCCAAGGGGTTTCATGGGCGAGGGGGTGGGGGTGGGCGTGACGTGAGGAAGGTGGCGAGGCTGACGGGAGGCGGTGCTGCTGCCGCGAGTGTGAGGTGACTGCTTTTTTCTGTGAGGCTCAGCAATCTGAGGTGGGCTCAGCAATCTAGTGGGAATGGTGGGGGGGGGGGGGGCGGGGGGAGAGTGGAGACGGCGGTGGGAGATTGGGGGGTGGTAGAGGGGAGACTAAAAAAATGGGGAATGGGGAGAAGGGATGCGGGAGAGGGGGGTTGGGAGAAGGGGGGATGAAAGAGGGGCGTCCTCTCACTGCGCACCCTGCGCCGTGCCCAGGCCCAGCCCGGCCCATTCTCGACCATCCGGCAGGGAGCAGGCGGGAGGTGGGGCTATGGGAGGAGCAGAGGGCAGCAGGATGGGGATTGTAATGACATGGGAGCGGGAGCTGCGAGGGAGGTGGTGAGAGGTGTGCTCAGTGAGGGGGAATAGGATAGGGGGTCGGGCAGCAGGGAGAGGAAGGGGGGTGGCGGGAGAGGGAAAGCTGTACGTGGTGGGTTGGAGAGGGGGATGGGGGAGCCGGGCTGGGTTAAGGTGGTTGGGGAGGGCGATAGGGAAGGAAGGTGGGATGAGGGTTTATGGTTTAGGTGAGCAGGGGAGGGACATGATGGAAGAGCAGCACCACCCACAAGGCGAGGAGAGCCAAGGAATGCCATGAGCTCTGTAGGAGCCTGTACACTCCACCTCCTTCTTTAACCTCTATCCGCCCCATCTGCTGGAATGCTTTCACTTACAACCCCCCCCGCCCCGCCCCGCCCACACACATTCCTTTGCCATTACCATAGCAACAGCAGGAGGAGGAGGCAGGGCGGCCGCAGCAGGAGCATGTGGAGGTTGGGAGAAACATGATGGAGGAGCAGCACCACCCACAAGGCGAGGTGAGCCAAGGAATGCCAGGAGCGAGGGGGTGGTGGTGGACGCGAGGAAGGCAGTGAGGAGGACGTGAGGGATAACAGGGGGAGATACGAGGCGTGCAACAGCTGTGGACAGGAGCTTGAAAGATTGGCCAGGGAACTTCTCCCCCTTCACAACCCCCCTTCCACCATTTGTCTTTCTGCGCATCTTCGGAAAGAGCCAAAGATGCAAGCATGCAAGTCAGGTAAGTCGAATCTAGGTGACAAAGCAAAGGGACACAGGCGAGCTTCCTTGGCCGCTACTTGTAACAGGCAAGCAGTGCTCCCAAGGGAACTCCACGAGGGGCTCCTAGGGTACGTGTACTATGCGACGACCTCATGAGGTACAGTGCAGTGCAATGCTAGACGTTGAGCGGCTGCTGCCAAGGGAGCTCTAGTCCCGGCTCCAACACTATGCAGCAGTCCCCAGGTGAGAAGGTGTCTTCTGGCCCGCCGATACGTGGATTCTCAGCTTCGTTGGACTTGACCTCAGGGCCTGACCTTCCCTAACCCTTTCTCTTCCCCCTTCCAACCTGTTCTTTTGTCCCTCTTCTATTTCTGTCCAGGCAACAGCAGCATCAACAGCAACATCAACAACAGCAGCAGGCGCGGAGGAGGATGCGGGGGCGTGCCTGTCAGCTGGTGCTGTGCAACAGGAGCAGGAGGCGGAGGAGAGGGCGGCAGTGGGGCAGCAGGAGCACCAGGTGGAGGCGGGGGCGAGGGCGGTGGGGGGGCAGGGGAGCGTCAGAACGGCATCAGATGAAGATGCAGCAGCAACAGCAGCAGCCGCAGCAGCAGCCTCCACTGCTGCCCCTTCCAGTGCTGCCCCTTCCGCATCAGCAGCAGGAGACTCAGCAGAAGCTAGGGCAGCAGAAGCAAGAACAGTTAGAACAAATGCAATATTAGCGCGGTCATTAATAGCGACAGCTATGGGAGGTCAGGCAGCCTTTGCAGCAGTCGCAGCAGCAGCAGGTGCAGCAGCAGCAGGTGTAGCAGCAACAACTGCAGCAGCAGGAACAGTGAGAGCAGCAGCAGGAGGAGCAACAGTGGCAGTAGCCGAAGAAGGGGGAGCAGGAAGGGTTGTAAATGGCTGGGAAGGGGGAGGAGAAGAGGGACTGGAGAGTAGGGAGGTGGGAGGAGAAGAGGGACTGGAGAGTAGGGAGGTGGGAGGAGAAGAGGGACTGGAGAGTAGGGAGGTGGGAGGAGAAGAGGCTTCGGCAGAGAGTGGGGAAAGGGAAGGAGAAATGGGGGGGAAGGGGAAACAAGAAGGGGAGGTGAAGCGACAAGAAGAAGGGGAGGGGAACGGGGAAGAGATGTGGGAGAAGAAGAGACAGAGGAAGTGGGAGGGGTAAGGGGTAGAGTAGGAGGAAGAAAGTCTAAGAATAGTAGGGGGCAGAGAGGTGGGAGGGAGAGAACACAAGGTGGAAGAGTGGGAGAGGAAGGGGAAGAAGGAGGAGAGGAGCAGGAAGGTGGAGTGGGAGGGGAATGGGGAGGAGGAAGTGGAGGAGGGGAGGAGGAAGGTGGAGTGGGAGTGGAAAGGGGTGGAGGAGGAGAGCATCTTCAGCAAGAGCTGAGAGTGGAAGTGGGAGGGGAAGGGGGTGGAGTAGGAGGGAGAAAGTCTAAGAAGGGAAGGGGGCAGAGATGTGGGAGGGAGAGGAGAGAAGGTGAAGGACTGGGAGGGGAAAGGGGAGGAGGGGGAGAGCAACAGCCTCAACAACAGCAGCAGCAGGAGCAGATTAATGGGAGGGGAAGAGGGGGTGGTGAAGGAGGAGTGGGAGGGGAAGGGGGAGGAAGAGGAGAGCAACAGCATCAGCAAGTTCCAGAAGGGATTACAGTAGTTACACACAAGGGCCGGACAGAGTGGTTTTCGACATCGGAGTTGGAGGAGGGGAAGGAGCGATGTCACGACCCGCGTCAGCGGGTGTTCGGTCGGATACTTCGCTCAAGAATCTTTCACGGTATCTATGGGGCGTCGGAGGGGGGTAAAGACAAGTACAGAATTCGAGTTCAGGGGAAACACATCGGATACTTCTTGAAGGCAGACGCTGGAGTCGCCTCGGAGCTGGCGCACATCCTCTCAGGAGTTGAATTCCCCATTGCTTTTGTTTTCATCACAGAAGCGCAGTTCAAGACTGCCGTGGATCGGGGTGGAATAAAGGAAGGGGAATTGTGGCACAAAGTGATTGCGGATTTGTCCCGTGTAACAGTGTATCGTGGGGAGAATGAGGAGACTGAGGAGGATGAGGAGGAGGATGAGAAGATTGAGGAGGATGAGGAGGGGGGTGAGGAGGAGGATGAGAAGAATGAGGAGGATGAGGAGGATGAAGAGGGTGAGAAGGGTGAGGAGGATGAGGAGGAGGATGAGGAGGAGGATGAGGAGGATGAAGAGGGTGAGGAGGATGAGGAGGAGGATGAAGAGGGTGAGGAGGATGAGGAGGATTGAAGAGGATGCGGACGAGCCACATCAGCATCTGCAAGTCATGCCAGTCAGCTCAGCGCCTCGCCTCTCGTGTGCGACTTGCCTTGTGGGCGGCTGCTTTTGCCTGCCTCGCTCTCCTTGCCCTGCCTCACCCTCGCTGCCCTCCAATGGATGCCTTTCTCCCTTGGCGTTGCTGTACCTCTTGCTATTGGAGCTATCCTCGCCGCAGTTGCCCATTTTGTGGGTCGCTTCATCAAGCGTACATTCTAATATTGCGAATACCTTACATGCATGTGCTAGTGTAGTAAGGCAGGTATCTAGGTACGGTAGTTATATAGTTTTGGCAGATCCTTTAAAGAAACATCACACTTGCTTTTTGAGGGTGCACAGTGAGTCTACGGGCTAAACGAGTCTGTATGGAGATTAGAAATTGAGGTACCGGTACAATAGGGATGAAGGAAACGTATGAAGCTGTGAAATGGTGAACCAAGGAAGTGGGAAAATGCTGGTTCATTGCAGGCTGAAGGTCAATGTTGTGCTGTAAGTAGCAACTTGACATTGCAGCTTTGAATTTCATTTCCCCTTATTTGTTTAGCTCCCGATTTTACTTTTAACCATCAGGGTAATTGCAGATTTTGGACAATTTACCCTATCGCATCAGTGTAATACCAGATTTGGACAATTTACCCAGTTGGTACGATGCCGTATTTTCTGTAGTTTGTTTACAGTTTGGGTTTCACATAAAAATTTATGTGAGTCAAATTAGGTAAGACAACAACGCCCCATGGCCAGCGAAGGATGCACCTCAAATTCTAAGAGCGCGCCGTGACAAATCTGGATAATCACTGCCTTGACTGCCGCCAGCGACATTTCTGGAAATCAAGCTCCGTCCTCCAGCTTGAATTCTGTCCCAGCCAGCATGCGTGGGGAACGAGCACAATAACGAGAAAGAGGGAGCAGAGTTGGGGAAAGGGGAGGTGGGGTTATAAATTCCGAGCATTTTGCACAACACCATTAAACTGCATACTAGGGATCACACAAGCACACACATTACATGGAGGCCCATATCAACTGACCCGGAGTTGGCCGAGCTGTGCCAGGGCAGGCACTTGTAGAAGTCTTGACCGATTGCATGGAACAGCCCTTAGCGGCCCTCTGCGGCCTCTATCTGCTTGCAAGAAAGCAGAGAAGCACATGGATGGAAACCCCCAGCACTGAGGAGCGGCATATTGAAGCAAAGAGAGCGCCATACAGGTATAAGGGAGGACTGCAGCGTAATACACCACCTGTGGCCCTCTACTGCCTCTACCTGTCTTGAGAGAGATCAGGGAAGCACATGAAGAGGGCAAAAGTACGATCGGTGGGGAAATCATTTGCAGCAACCTGCTCCCTCCAACAGCCCCCACCGCGTCTACCCAACTGCTCTGCTCACACACGTCGAGGAAAGAGGAGAAGAGCAGGGAGGTGGAAGGCGAGAAAGGTGGGAAGCGGTGTATGGGAGAACGATTGTCAGGTCAAGAACCAAGAGTACAGTTCTAGCAGGTTGACAAGGCACGAGCAGCAGAGTAAGCAGCACCGCATGCAGCACCTCTCCAAGAATGACCTTCACATGCTTAAAGAAGTGAAGCTAGTGAGTGCAGTTTTTTGAGATACGTCTCTACAATGCCGCCCACCAACGCGTCATAGTGCCCAGGCGCGTCATGGTGAAGGGGAGGCGCCGCGCCGGGGGTGTGAGGAGGTGGCGCCGCGCGTGCTAGGGGTGGATGGCCGGGTGGGCAGGTGGGCGGGCACGTCGGGTGGGCAGGTGGGTGGTCTCGTGGGTGGGTGAATTGTTGGGTGGGTGGATGGGGGGACGAGTGGGTGGGTGGGTTGGTGGGCGGGTGGGTGGAGAGGTGGGCGGGTGGGTAGAAGTGTGGATGGGTGAATGGGTGGATGGGCGAATGGGTGGATGGGTGGACGGGTGGATGGGTGGGTGGATGGGTGGATGAGTGGGTGGATGGGTGGATGGGTGGATGGGTGGGTGAATGGCGGGTGAATAGGTGGCTTGATGGGTGGATGGGTGAATAGGTGGATAGGTGGGTGGGTGGGTGGGAGGGTGAGTGGGTGGGTGGGTGGGAGGGTGAATGGGTGGGTGGTTTGGTGGGTGAATGGGTGGGTTGGTGGCGGGTGAATGGTTGAATGGGCGGGTTGAAAGGTGGATGGGTGAATAGACATTAGACCGGTCTCGTGGGGACCGGTCTCGTGGGGGGGGACCAGTCTCACTCTCACCTGCGGTGTGTGCTCCGCAAGGTTGGTGTGGCAGCCACATACTCAGCCACGCCAATCCACTCTTGGGCCAACTCAGAAGCCACCTCACCTGCAGCGTCGCTGCCACATATTGAAGAACCACGTCAATCCATGCCACTGCGCCAAGCCAGCACACTAGTGTGTGCCCCAGACTGACATGTGAGGACACAGTATTTGCCCTTTAACTCATTTGTAGTGTGTGTTGCACATCAACGCACGGAGAGCAGCTAGGAGAGCAGATGTGTGCTGCTGCGCTGCCCCGTCCTGGCGCATAGATAGAAGCCATGCGCCCACTCCGATGCGGGGTGGGTTGGAGGAGAGGAGGGAATGATGGGCTGCGGGAGGTGAAGTGAGTGCCACTGAGGGGAGGAGGGGTTAGGGAGAATGAGAGGATTGCTGATGAATACACGCTAGTGGGTTGCTACCCCACTTCGCTTCACCCTATGTGCCGTGTCTAATATCAAGCATCTACCAGCTATCTGGGCGGCACGGCAGGAGTGGAAATCGCACCTGCTGGCTGGGCGGAGGCGGGGGGGGGGTAGAGAACTCCAAAGATGGTGGCACGTGCGTTGGCAAGGCCGCTCCACCCCCGAATCTGCACCACCACGGTGCTGGTGCTGGTGCTGGTGCTGCTGCTGCTGCTGCTGCTGCTGCTGCTGCTGCTGCTGCTGCTGCTGCTGCTGCTGCTGCTGCTGCTGCTGCTGCTGCTGCTGCTGCCGCTGCTGCTGCTGCTGCTGCTGCATACACACATAATGTTCAGTGGCAAGTTGCTGCATGCACACGCACAGGAGGGCTATCGCACCTCGTTCCACCCCGTGTGCTGTGCCTGGTACCTGGCATCAAGTAGCAAGTTACCTGCTGGCTGGCCGGCAGGAGCAGAGGTCTCCAAAAATGGTGGTGCGGGCATTGGCAAGGCCGCTCCACCCCGGGTCCGAGTGGAGGTTGCGCGAGTGCATGCCGAGAGGGGAGAGCAGGAACACGAGGTCTGGGGGGAAGGGGAGTGGGGTGGAGAGGGTGGGGGATGGGTGTTGGCGGGAGGGTTTAGTGGCAGGGCAACAGGGTTCCTGATTGGTGGGTTCTACGGCAGGTTGCTCAAGTGCATGCACGAGGGGACAGGAGGAACACAGAGCATGGTGGGGGAGAATGGAGGGAGAGGGGGAAAAGGGGAAGCGGGGAAGGGGGTGTGGGCAGGGACCATGGGTGTGAGTGACGGCATGCGGGGGAAGAGGAAGTGGGGGTTGGGGAGTAAAGGGGGAAGCAAGACGCGGGCTGAGAAACAAAGTCCGCTTTGGTGGTGTGTCGTGACACGCCATACCTCCGCTTCTTCCTCTCTCGTCTCCCATGCACACACACTCCCATGCCCCGTCCAACCTTGCTCACGCACCCCTCCCCCTTCCCACAATCCTCCCTCACCACCCTCCTCCCTCCCCCCCCCCCCCTGTGACTCACGGCCATCAGCATCGGTGGTAAGTCGACCAGGGTACCTTTTGCGGAGGTGGTGCGAGCGGGGCATGATGGAGAAGAGCTGCGCTGCGCGTGCTGCGCCCGCTCCACCAGGCTGCGCACTGCTTGCTACCACAGCGCTGGGCCGGCAGCCCGTGGGCGCTGATGCGCTCTCCACTCCCCTTGAGACAGGTGAGCGCAAGAGACCTGAACGCGTGGCGGACACTGAAGGAGGGGAGGAAAGAGTTGCCCGACCGACTGAAGTTGACCGACTGAAGTTGCCCGACCGACTGAAGTTGCCCGACTGAAGCAGCACCGCCGCCTCTGCCCCTGGCAGCAGCGATGCAATCGTCTACGTAGAACCAGGTGAAGAACGGGTCCCTGCTGCCCGCCTTGCCCTCCCCTTGCACCCTCCCCTTGTCCTCCTCGCCGCCTATCTCCCCCTGCCATGTGGCCGAGGAGGAGAAGCGTGTGCCATGGGAAAGGGGAGGACTGGGAATGCAAGGGCAGCACAGCTGGAATGACTATTGAGTCGACGCATAAGCACGGGTGGCATGCATGGAGCGAGAGGCAGCGCAGGGAGCGGACAAGTGGGGACAGCAAAGAGAGGAGGAGAGAGGGAGGGAGAGAGTGAGGGGGAAGTGCAGGAGGCAGGTGCCCAGAGTGGGGAGTGACGGAGCCCAGGCCGCCAAAACCATGAGTGTGGCTACTCGCTCCCACACTTGCCAGGCTGACCTGGAAGGGCGTAGGCTGACCTGGAAGGGCGGCTGGCTGACCTGGAAGACGCAGGTGACCTGGAAGGGTGGCATGCTGATCTGGAGGGGCGGCAGGCTGGTATGGAAGGGCGGCATGCTGACCTGGAAGGACGGCAGGCTGACCTGGAAGGGCGGCAGCGGGCCGAGGTTGAGGGTGAGTGTGTGGAAGGTGAAGGCGAGGCGGCGAGCAGTGAAGCCCATGGGGCCCTGCAAGGTGAGGTAGCCCACCGGCCCCAGGAACACCCCGTTCTCTATCTCCATCGCCTGGTGGGGGGAGAGGGGGGTTGAGATGAGAGGGATAATGGAGGGGAGTGGAGGGGAAGGAAGAGGAGGGGAGAGGAAGAGAGAGAGAGAGGAAAAAGGGGGAAGGTGAAGGCGTGGCAGGGATCTTTGGAGCACATGCGGTTTGAGGGGTGGTAAGAGCTGAAGGGGAGCCGATGGGGCACACAGAGACAGGGGGAGGGGGTTGATGGGGAGGGAGTTGGGGAGGGAGATGGGGCATGGGGAGCAGCATAGTGGCGGAGAAACGAGAGGATGTTCACGATAGCAGGTGGATGGGAGAAATGGTGGTGAAGAGGGGGAATGGTGGGTCCCAACAGCGTGCAGCAGCATGAGCTGAGTGAAGTAATGAGCGAGCGGGGCAGCAGCAGGAGCGCGTAGGGTGGACGGCGGGGGCACTGACCCGACGGGGGCATCGAAGCGTTGGATGGCGGCGATGGGGCCTCCCCACCCTTGGCCGCCTTGCGCACCTGCTCCCGGGACACGTGGGGGCACACGCACAGTGGGGGGCACACGCACAGTGGGGGGCACGCACAGTGGGGGGCACGGGCACAGTGGGGGGCACGCACAGTGGGGGGCACGGGCACAGTGGGGGGCACGCACAGTGGGGGGCACGGGTACACGTGGCAGTCAACCTCGCGAGGGGACCTGTGAGCGAGAGGGAAGAGCCGAGTGCATGGGCACGAGGGCAGAATTGTGGAGCAGTTGGAAAAGTGCAGGTGGTGAAGGAGGTGGGAGTTGTCTAGGGGAGTTGGTTGGAGGGCAGGAGAGAGAAGGGGCACTGCAGAGCACTTGCGGAGGAAGCATTGAAGCGGTTGGACTAGTACGAAGAGGGGGGAATGGCAGTGAAATGAGGGGATGTAAATGGAGGGAGTCCACTAAGGGGGAGATGGGGGAAGAAGGGAGGGGGATTGAGGGTGAAAGAGAGAGTAAAGAGTTTTGGATAGCCATATGGGCTGAGAGACAGCTGGCATATGATAGCAACAGATAGAGAGTGTGGGCGGGGGGAGGTAGGGAAGGGCTGCAAGAAGCATGCAGGGCGTGGCACAGTGGGAGCGAGGAGGAGTGGTGGCACCAATGCAGTACCTTTCACCAGCATCAGTAAGTAAGCTGCCCCAACAGTACCTTCCTCGCTCGTTCCCCGTGCACATTCACTCCCACCCCCGCTCCAACCTCGCTCACCCACCCCTCCCCCTTCCCCACCTCCCCTCCCACCCCCCCCCTCTCTCTCCCCCCTTCCCGCTTACCCACTTTCCCATTCCATGCCCGCAACAAGTGACCCCGGGGGATACCCCGTGCGGCGGTGGTGCGAGTGGGGCATGATGGAGCAGAGCTGCGCTGTGCGTACTGCGCCTGCTCCACCAGATTGCGCACTGCCACTGCTGGGGCTGGCAGCCCGTGGGCGCTCGTTGCGCTCTCTACCCCCCCCGCATACTGGCGAGCGGAAAAGGCCTGACCGTGTTGCAAACACTGAAAGGGGAGGGTGTGGGGAAAGATCGACGCTGCAACACTTGAGAGCGCCACTGGCAGCCCGTGGGCGCTGGTGGCGCTCTCTACACCGCATGACACAGGTGAGCGGAAGAGACCGAAGCGTGTTGCAGACACTGGAAGAGAGGGGGTTAGGGTGTGGGGTGGGGAAAATAGAAATGGTGAGAAGGGTGAGAGGGGGGAAGGGTGCGGGGAAAGAACTCTGGCAATTCAAACGGATAGCTGGTGGGATGATTGTGGGGAGGGGAGAAGGGCGGATGGGAGGGGAGGAAGGGGAACGCTACCTCGCTCACCCACCCTCACTGTGCCTCTGCTGATTACCCGCCTCTTCGCACCACTGCCAGTCACCCGCAACCCCCCCCCCTCCCCCATTGCAACTCAACCGCGCCCCTCCCCTCTCCCCCTTTGCCACTCACCCGCCCTCACTGCGCCATCGCCCGCAGTGGTCACCAGCGGCGCCGTCCCCGCATCCGCCTCGCCCGCGCCCCCTGCAGCCGCTGCGCGCCAAGCCCTCCGCCTGCCGGGGGGAGCGCGCGCTGCGCTTGGCGGAGCGGCGCAGCAGTCGGTGCGGAAGGGGGAAGCGGCGGCTAGCGAGTGGGCGGAGGAGAGTAGGCCCGCGCGAGGCAAGGGTATTCTGGAAAAACTTCGGAGAGAGGGGTGGCGAAGGAGAGAAAGGAACGAGAATGGGGAGGGAAGGGCAAGAGTAGGTGATTCTGAAACGAGGAATGTATTCGCTCTTGTTCTGAAATGCTGTTCATATCGCAGCAGCGTATGCGGCCTACACCGCGTGTGTAGACGACCGTTCCAGCTTGCGACAAAGCGCGCATTGCTTGCGAAAACGCCGAGCGGCGACGACCCACCTATTACGTTCGCTCGTTACTGTAACGCTCGCCAAGGGGCGCGTTCCCGGGGGCAAGGCGGGGTGGACGCGGAGTGCCACGGGCCAGAGTCGCGCGGAACGCGGAACGCAGCGCGGAGAAGGAACACGCTTGGCGACAATCACTAGGGAAACCGCAATGGACTTCATTGCTCGTTTCGTCGGCGGCTGTCAATGCCCGGGCGGAAAAAATGCTGTTGGTGGCGACTATAGCACGCGCGACGCGGCTGCTGATGATGTCTACATGCGCTGAGAAGAATGGCGGAAATCCGATGACTAGTTTCGATCGGAATAAAATGAATAGTGGGGTTCGGGGGATGGGAGGGACTCTCGAGGGGAAAGATAATTGAACATGTTAAACGCACAAAAAGCACTCGCTGTATATCGAAGCAAAACAGTTGCCTCGCCAGCTAAAGGGGGAATGGGCTGCTGACACGTGCACAAGATACAGTCAAGAATCTGCGGAGAAAAGAACCAATCAAGCGAGTGAATCACGTCAGGCCCAGATACAGTTGAGAATACATTGAAAGGAGTTTCATATTCTCTCTGTAGGTGAGATGGGTCCGCCCTTTATCGGGTTATAGAGAAAGGCAAGTCACTCACAACAGCAGCAAAGCAGAGATTACTTGCTCGTAAGCGCTTGCACTTCATTCTGCTGCTCTCTCCTGAAATCCCGAGTCGCCTCTTCTCTCGCTCATCTCCCTCCCGTCTGGACCCGTTTTTTCTTCCGTGGCCCGCTTCGGAGTTCCGAATGCCGCACCTCCTTTGATTCGCTCCTTCTAAAATTCGCATTTTCTTCCCCCTTGAGGCCGTGTCGTGGCGTGCTTGTGCCCGTGCCTCGTCCCTGCCATCACCCCGCGTCATTCACCCTCGCGATGATACGACCATGCGACGCGAAGATGGGAGAGGAGGGGAATGGGATGAACGGATAGGAACGGGCTGGATTAGGCGCCGGGATTCGTGAGATTTCGAACCACCTTACTGACAGTTTCGTTAGCAGCTTAATAATACACCGCAATTAGACGAGAAAGTGCGCCGCAACGTTTCAAATACAAGGCGCTTGCGCCCACAGTACCGCAAATTTATCCGCCGCCGGACCCGGCAGAGAGAGTTGAGGCAAATCACTTCTTATAGCCACCGTACCCTTGTAACAATACAATTCCTCTCGCTCGCTTTTAGTGGTGCTTCAAGAATCGTACCGTCGTCGCCGTCTACTTGCATCGGCGCGCAATTTGTGCGTAATCCGCTCTTCCGCGCCATTCCGCCTTCCCGCCTCCGCCTCTTCTGCTCTCCGCCTGTCCGCCTCTCCGCCTTTCCGCCTCCCCCTCTCCGCCCGTGCGCCGTGCGCCATGGCGTTCCCAGAGCTGCTGTCGCGACAGGCGTCAATCTAATCGCTCACGCTCGACGACTTCCAGGCGACGTTCGCAGGCCCGTCGCACGCCATCGCACCCATGCCCATGGACAACATCCTGCGATCCGTCTGGCTCGCCGAGGAGTCGCACATGCTCGCCGCCGCGCACGCCGCCGGGCGCGCGGATCCGCGTGCGCGCGACTATTGGTGCAACCCTACGGTTTGCACTCGGCTTGTTGTCCGTGTGCGTGAATGTGTGTGTGTATGGAATGGTATGAGGGCATGGGATAATATATATTTCATGCTTATAATTGTGTGTGAATGTTGAGTCATGATGTCGAGTGTGTGTGTCGAGTCAATAGCGAGTTATCGCTAGACGCGTGTTACGCGGTCGTTTGTGTCTCGCGCGCGGTTTCTATTTTGTCGTGCGCGGTTTCTATTTTGTCCTGTGTCGAACGTTCGGCGTGTCGCAGGTGTGTGCAGCAGACCCATCAAGAACTCAAGGATGAGTTTGTGATGAAGAGCCCGAGCCTTGGTGTCAAGCCTCAAGTGATTTCGAAGCTCGCCAAAAGGGTACACCTCAAGATATTGAAGATAGTTACATTACTTTGTGTAGTGTAACATTTCACTTGGTGTAGGCCCTAGTGAAGGGTAGTTTCGAGACCCTTCGTGGTTGGGGACAGTGTGGCACTGTTCCACATCACTGTACCTCGGCTCTTGGGGTTTGTAGGAGCTGGGAGTCATTCCCAACTCGTAACTCTTCCTATCTTGTGTTCTAAGACTATAGTGGCTGCCATAGTACCGTTCGTTCAAACCGACGCTGTGTCGTCAATACTTTATCAAATCGTGCAATCTAAATTGATAATTGTAGACGACGTGAAGACGCTCCAGATCCAATTTGAATCAAGTCATTTGCAGCTATGAGCAGAACGCTATCAACGTTTGAAGCCGCTGTGCAGAAATCCGTCTGTGCTCTCTTTCGTTTTAGGCACATTCAAGCCTATTGTGACTATAACAAGTGGTATCAGAGCCCCTTGGAGCAGTTTCGACAATGTCTGGACCTGAGGAAAGGGGTGGCAGAGGTGCTGGTGGCAGTGGAGAAGCTCAAGCTCAAGGCCAACCCCGTGATTCAGCCATGGCGCCCATGCAACCAAGTCTTGGCCCACCTAGGGATGAGCCTAGGGTGTTTGGGCTTGACAAGTTCAACGGTGACAACTTTGCTGAATGGTCCTTCAAGATGGAGAACATCTTTGACCACTATGACCTGCTGGAGGTGATGGAAGGAACGGAGAAGCGCCCCGAGAACGACCCGGAGAAGAGCCCGTGGGTGCGGAAGAGCGCACAAGGCTATCTCTTACTTGGGCAAGTGTTGGGGAGCAGTCAGATCCATCACATCAAGCCATTCCAGCGTGAACCAGAGAAAGGACCAAAGGCATGGGCTGCTCTCAAGGGTGTACATGCTCCTGCAACAGCGGCGGTAGCGGTGGTGTTGGAACGGCAAATGGCGGCACTACGAATTGAAGAAGACGAAGCGGTTGAAGAAGGGGTGCAGAAATTCTTCGACTTGTTGACGCGGCTTGAGGGAGCTGATTTGAACTACAGTGAGCTCCAAAAGAAGACCAAGTTGCTGGCCTTACTCCCAGAGTCATGGTCCTCGCTCATCATCAACCTTAATCGCGACTTGCCCCGCCTCTCGCTTGAAGACGTGAAGCGAGCTATCCTTCAAGAGGATTTCCGCCGCCGTGAGTTGGCGAGTGCGGATGGCGCTGGGGCAGCGAGCATCGGCCGTGGATATGGTCGAGGAAGAGGCAGAGGACGAGGGGGAGGAAGGTTTGGAGGCAGCAACTTCGGCGGAGGCCGCAGGAGTGGCGGTTACGGCAGCGACGACAAGAGCTACGGACGCGGTCGCGGCCGATTCGACGGCGAGTGTCACTATTGCCACAAGAGCGGACACATGTGGCGCGACTGCTACAAACTCCCTGATGGTTGGACCCCTGCTCAAGGCCAAGAGGGTAGAGGAGCAGGAGGAGGGAGAGGACGAGGCCGTGGAGGCCGTGGCGGTCGCGGTGGCGGAGCTGCAAACATGAAGAGCGGAGACAACGACAAGGACCCGAGCGACGATCGATACCCGGGTCTATTCTACTTCGTGTCGACGCAAGTACCGGCTGGTCCAGAGAAGGATGAAGGCTTTGAGGAGCCAGCAGCTGTGGGGAAGGTGACCCTACACCCCCTGGACTATTGGGTGATTGATAGTGGCGCTACCTATAGCATGACACCTCGCCCGGACTTGCTCACCGAACTCGAGCCGTCACCGGTGAAGCATGTCACATCGGCTTTGGGGCAGCGAGCAGAGGTGAAAGGCATGGGCAAGGCCATGTTCAAGGGTGCTGATGGGAAGATGGTGGGCCTCAAGAACGTGCTTTGGGTGCCCAGCCTTGCTGCAAACCTGATTTCCGTGCGGCGGTTGGCAAAGGCCGGCATGGACACGAACTCGAAGGGAGCCAAGACCTACACCGCAAGGCTTGGCGATCGAATTCTTTGGGACCTTCATGAGGACAGGGATGTCTACAACGAGATGTGGCAGATCCCAGTGGTCCCTATGCCTAAGGAGAGGCAAGTGGCAGCAAGCATCAGCACCAAGGATGGAGCGGTCGGTAGCGACGATGGCGCGAACGGTCGCGCTAAGGAGAATGAGCTCAAGAAGAGCAAACCTGGAGGGACCAGCAAGTTCAGTGAACCTAAGGAGAGTGGTGCAGCAACCAAGGAGCAGCAAAAGGGTGAGGAGAACCCAGAGGCAGCAGCGGAGGAGGACTACGGAGAGAGTATGTGGGGCGCTATTGCGAGCGCGGCATTCTCCAATCCAACTTCGGCTACGGGGGAGTGTGATTGGCTCACCTTGCATCGGCGCATGGGGCATGTGGCCCTGCCCATCTTGCAGCAGCTAGTGAAGAATGAGATGGTTGCTGGCATACGTGTGAAGGGGGAGCCCGATGAGGTGTTTGGCTGCCCGACGTGCATTCAAGCCAAGTTCACCCGGTTTCCGTTCCCTAGTTCGGAGGCAACGGCAAAGGCACCGCTTGATGAGGTGGTGATGGACGTGGTGGGCCCCCTGAAGCTTGGAGCTGCTGGAGCTGAGTATTTTCTCACCATTGTCGACGTCTACACCCGCTTGACTTGGGTGTACGTGCTGGCCAAGAAGAGCGACGTGGCTGAAACGTTGAAGACGGATTGGTTCCCGATGGTGGAGCGGCAACAAGACCGTCTAGTCAAGTCAATCCGCACCGATCGAGGGGGAGAGTTCCTGAGCAAGGAGTTTGGGTTGTGGCTGAAGAAGAATGGTATTCGGCACTCCCTCACCATGCCATACTCCCCTGCAATGAACGGCATCGCCGAGCGAGCGAACCGCACAATCACGGAGGCGGCACGGGGGTTGCTCATTGAAGCCGGGCTACCCGACTATTTCTGGCCTGATGCGGTGCGGAGCGCGTGTGTGGCCAAGAACAGAGCCTTGACTCATGTGGGAGCAGACAAATGGGTGCCCTATGTGGAGTGGCTAGGAAGGAAGCCAAAGGTGGATATGCTTCGGGTGTTCGGGTGCATGTGCATGGCGCTCGTGCCTAAGCATCTTCGGCACAACAAGCTTGGTGCCAAGGCGGTGTGGGCCGTGCACTTGGGCATGGCTCAAAACAGCAAGGGATGGCTTCTTTGGGACCCATTCACCAAGAAGTTCTTGGTGAGCAGGGACTGCAAGTTCATGGAGAACTTCATGTACAAGGATTGGAAGGCGGAGAATGAGGCGAAGATAGGCGTGCGGTTTGGGGAGGTGAAGAGTTCCGGTTTGGAGCATGTGGAGCTGCCTTTGGAACTGAGCAGCGGCAGCAAAACCACAAGGCAATCCTCCCTTGTGAATGGGGGAGAGGAGGCCAATCATGCAGAGGAAGAAGAGGAGGAGGAGCAGCAAGTGAGCGAGCGTGCACCGTCACTTCCTTCCCGTACTACGAGTGCTCCACGGATTCGAGCCACACCGCAGCAACGCCAAGGCCTTCATGTCCCTGCAGCTGAGGAAGAAGGAAGGGGCAAAAGGAGAATCCAAGCCCCAAATAGGCTGACCTATGAGGCACTGGGAAAGCCAGCCAAGTCAGCCTTGGCCGGAGCGGCACTTATAGTTGGAGAAGACGAGGAGAGTGACTACGAGGAGTGTGCCTTCGCGTTCTTCTCTCCGGTGGAGATGCCGGGGGAACCAGCAACTCTCAAGGAGGCCTTGGAGAGTAGTGATGCTGAGGAGTGGAAGAAGGCAATGGAGAGTGAGCTGAAGAGCATTGAGGAGAACGGCACATGGGAATTGGTGGAGCTACCGGAGGGGCGTAAGGCGATTACGTCCAAGTGGCTCTTCAAGATCAAGTCCGACGCCGACGGCAAGATCGAGCGCTACAAGTCTAGGCTTGTGGCGAAGGGGTACCAGCAGAAGGAGAAGGTGGACTATAAGGAGTTGTTTGCTCCTGTGGTGAAGCCGACGACGCTGCGAACCCTACTCGCGGGAGCTGCCATCAAAGGATGGGTGGTGAAACAAATGGATGTCACAACGGCATTCCTCAATGGCGTCCTTGAGGAAGAGATTTTAATGGCGCAGCCAGAGGGGTTTGATGATGGTAGTGGCAGAGTTTTGAGGCTGAAGAAGGCCCTTTATGGACTGAAGCAGGCCCCTAGGCAGTGGTACTTGAAGCTGCGAGGAGTTTTGGAGGAGATCGGCTTCACTCCCTCAACGGCCGATCACTCATTGTTCATGCTTGGCGAGGGGGAGTAGAGGAGCTTCATGGTGGTGTACGTGGATGACATCCTCATCTTTTCACCCTCATCTGACCTTGTGAAGGAGGTCATGCTGAAGCTTCAGGACAAGTTTAAGTGTAAGGCCCTTGGTGACGTCAACTTCTACCTTGGGCTTCACATTGAACGTGATGTGGAGAAGCGGTGCATGCGGGTGCATCAACGGAAGTACCTGGAGGCATTGGCTGCCAACTTTGGGCAGAGTGAAGGCCATGTGGCTACACCCTTTCCCTCTGGTTTCAAGTGTGTGAAGGGACCAGAGGAGGAGAGCGTTGGTGAAGAGGAGAGGCGCCGTTTTCACTCGTTGGTGGGCAGCCTCATGTACGCGGCGGTAAACACCCGACCGGACGTCGCGTTTGCTACCGGACAGTTGGCTAGGGTTGTTCAATGCCCTAATGAGGAGCAGGTAGCAGCTGGAATGAGAGTGGCCAAGTATCTTGGCCAAACACCGACCGTTGGGCTGCAATATTCGGCGGCGGCGCAAAGGCGCCAAAAGGGCGCGGATGGTGTTGAACCCGGGCGTTTGTTCCTCACCGCATTCTCGGATGCTTCTTTTGCATCAGAACCAGAGGACATGACAAGTGTTGGAGGGTTCATTTGCTGTGTTGGTGGAGGCCCAACTGCTTGGGAGAGCAAGAAGCAGGTGGATCAAGCATTGAGCTCGGTGGAGTCCGAGTATATGGCACTCTTCCGTGCCGTACGAGAGATTGTGTGGCAGCGGCGTTTGTTGGCTGAATTGGGGGAGGAGCAGCAAGGACCTACCCCACTCTACTGTGACAGCCAGGGTGCCATTGCTCTTGCTAAGAACCCTGTGTTGCATGGCCTCACCAAGCACATGAGGGTGAAGTGGCATTGGACGAGGAGCATGGTGGCCGCGGGTGAAGTTGAGTTGCACTATGTGAAGACGACAAGGCAGCCAGCTGACATGATGACCAAGAGGCTGGTGGAGCAGCAGCATTGGAAGTGTTGCAAGCTGGCTGGGATGGCTCTGAACTGAGAGAGCAAGATCCTAAGGCCAACAATCCGAGGGGGAGTTTGTTGGTGCAACCCTACGGTTTGCATTCGGCTTGTTGTCCGTGTGCGTGCATGCGTGTGTGCATGGAATGGTATGAGGGCATGAAATGATATATATTTCATGTTTACAATAGTGTGTGTATGATGAAGCATGATTTTGAATGTGTGCGTCGAGTCAATAGCGAGTTATCGCTAGTCGCGTGTCACGTCGTCGTTTGCGTGTCGTGTGCGGTTTTCTATTTTGTCGTGTGTGGAACGTTCGGCGTGTCGCAGGTGTGCGCAGCAGACTTCCAAGAACTCAAGGAAGAATTTACCTTGAAGAACCAGAGCCTTGGTTTCAAGATTCAAGTTATTTCGAAGCTCTCCAAAAGGGTAAACTTTAAGATAGTGAGAATAGTTGCATTACTTTGTGTAGTGTAACATTTCTCTTGGTGTAGGCCCTTGTGGAGGGTAGTTTCGAGACCCTTCGTGGTTGGGGACAGTGTGGCACTGTTCCACATCACTGTACCTCGGCTCTTGGGGTTTGTAGGAGCTGGGAGTCATTCCCAACTCGTAACTCTTCCTATCTTGTGTTCTAAGACTATAGTGGCTGCCATAGTACCGTTCGTTCAAACCGACGCTGTGTCGTCAATTCTTTATGAAATCGTGCAATCTAAATTGCTTATTGTAGGCGACGTCAAGACGCTCCAGATCCAGTTTGAATCAAGTCATTTGCAGCTGTGAGCAGAACGCTATCCACGTTTGAAGCCGCTGTGCAGAAATCCGTCTGTGCACTCTATCTTTCGTTTTAGGCACATTCAAGGCTATTGTGACTATAACAGAGAGCAGATGTGTGCTGCTGCGCTGCCCCGTCCTGGCGCATAGATAGAAGCCATGCGCCCACTCCGATGCGGGGTGGGTTGGAGGAGAGGAGGGAATGATGGGCTGCGGGAGGTGAAGTGAGGGCCACTGAGGGGAGGAGGGGTTAGGGAGAATGAGAGGATTGCTGATGAATACACGCTAGTGGGTTGCTACCCCACTTCGCTTCACCCTATGTGCCGTGTCTAATATCAAGCATCTACCAGCTATCTGGGCGGCACGGCAGGAGTGGAAATCGCACCTGCTGGCTGGGCGGAGGCGGGGGGGGGTAGAGAACTCCAAAGATGGTGGCACGTGCGTTGGCAAGGCCGCTCCACCCCCGAATCTGCACCACCACGGTGCTGGTGCTGGTGCTGGTGCTGCTGCTGCTGCTGCTGCTGCTGCTGCTGCTGCTGCTGCTGCTGCTGCTGCTGCCGCTGCTGCTGCTGCTGCTGCTGCTGCATACACACATAATGTTCAGTGGCAAGTTGCTGCATGCACACGCACAGGAGGGCTATCGCACCTCGTTCCACCCCGTGTGCTGTGCCTGGTACCTGGCATCAAGTAGCAAGTTACCTGCTGGCTGGCCGGCAGGAGCAGAGATCTCCAAAAATGGTGGTGCGGGCATTGGCAAGGCCGCTCCACCCCGGGTCCGAGTGGAGGTTGCGCGAGTGCATGCCGAGAGGGGAGAGCAGGAACACGAGGTCTGGGGGGAAGGGGAGTGGGGTGGAGAGGGTGGGGGATGGGTGTTGGCGGGAGGGTTTAGTGGCAGGGCAACAGGGTTCCTGATTGGTGGGTTCTACGGCAGGTTGCTCAAGTGCATGCACGAGGGGACAGGAGGAACACAGAGCATGGTGGGGGAGAATGGAGGGAGAGGGGGAAAAGGGGAAGCGGGGAAGGGGGTGTGGGCAGGGACCATGGGTGTGAGTGACGGCATGCGGGGGAAGAGGAAGTGGGGGTTGGGGAGTAAAGGGGGAAGCAAGACGCGGGCTGAGAAACAAAGTCCGCTTTGGTGGTGTGTCGTGACACGCCATACCTCCGCTTCTTCCTCTCTCGTCTCCCATGCACACACACTCCCATGCCCCGTCCAACCTTGCTCACGCACCCCTCCCCCTTCCCACAATCCTCCCTCACCACCCTCCTCCCTCCCCCCCCCCCCTGTGACTCACGGCCATCAGCATCGGTGGTAAGTCGACCAGGGTACCTTTTGCGGAGGTGGTGCGAGCGGGGCATGATGGAGAAGAGCTGCGCTGCGCGTGCTGCGCCCGCTCCACCAGGCTGCGCACTGCTTGCTACCACAGCGCTGGGCCGGCAGCCCGTGGGCGCTGATGCGCTCTCCACTCCCCTTGAGACAGGTGAGCGCAAGAGACCTGAACGCGTGGCGGACACTGAAGGAGGGGAGGAAAGAGTTGCCCGACCGACTGAAGTTGACCGACTGAAGTTGCCCGACCGACTGAAGTTGCCCGACTGAAGCAGCACCGCCGCCTCTGCCCCTGGCAGCAGCGATGCAATCGTCTACGTAGAACCAGGTGAAGAACGGGTCCCTGCTGCCCGCCTTGCCCTCCCCTTGCACCCTCCCCTTGTCCTCCTCGCCGCCTATCTCCCCCTGCCATGTGGCCGAGGAGGAGAAGCGTGTGCCATGGGAAAGGGGAGGACTGGGAATGCAAGGGCAGCACAGCTGGAATGACTATTGAGTCGACGCATAAGCACGGGTGGCATGCATGGAGCGAGAGGCAGCGCAGGGAGCGGACAAGTGGGGACAGCAAAGAGAGGAGGAGAGAGGGAGGGAGAGAGTGAGGGGGAAGTGCAGGAGGCAGGTGCCCAGAGTGGGGAGTGACGGAGCCCAGGCCGCCAAAACCATGAGTGTGGCTACTCGCTCCCACACTTGCCAGGCTGACCTGGAAGGGCGTAGGCTGACCTGGAAGGGCGGCTGGCTGACCTGGAAGACGCAGGTGACCTGGAAGGGTGGCATGCTGATCTGGAGGGGCGGCAGGCTGGTATGGAAGGGCGGCATGCTGACCTGGAAGGACGGCAGGCTGACCTGGAAGGGCGGCAGCGGGCCGAGGTTGAGGGTGAGTGTGTGGAAGGTGAAGGCGAGGCGGCGAGCAGTGAAGCCCATGGGGCCCTGCAAGGTGAGGTAGCCCACCGGCCCCAGGAACACCCCGTTCTCTATCTCCATCGCCTGGTGGGGGGAGAGGGGGGTTGAGATGAGAGGGGTAATGGAGGGGAGTGGAGGGGAAGGAAGAGGAGGGGAGAGGAAGAGAGAGAGAGAGGAAAAAGGGGGAAGGTGAAGGCGTGGCAGGGATCTTTGGAGCACATGCGGTTTGAGGGGTGGTAAGAGCTGAAGGGGAGCCGATGGGGCACACAGAGACAGGGGGAGGGGGTTGATGGGGAGGGAGTTGGGGAGGGAGATGGGGCATGGGGAGCAGCATAGTGGCGGAGAAACGAGAGGATGTTCACGATAGCAGGTGGATGGGAGAAATGGTGGTGAAGAGGGGGAATGGTGGGTCCCAACAGCGTGCAGCAGCATGAGCTGAGTGAAGTAATGAGCGAGCGGGGCAGCAGCAGGAGCGCGTAGGGTGGACGGCGGGGGCACTGACCCGACAGGGGCATCGAAGCGTTGGATGGCGGCGATGGGGCCTCCCCACCCTTGGCCGCCTTGCGCACCTGCTCCCGGGACACGTGGGGGCACACGCACAGTGGGGGGCACACGCACAGTGGGGGGCACGCACAGTGGGGGGCACGGGCACAGTGGGGGGCACGCACAGTGGGGGGCACGGGCACAGTGGGGGGCACGCACAGTGGGGGGCATGGGTACACGTGGCAGTCAACCTCGCGAGGGGACCTGTGAGCGAGAGGGAAGAGCCGAGTGCATGGGCACGAGGGCAGAATTGTGGAGCAGTTGGAAAAGTGCAGGTGGTGAAGGAGGTGGGAGTTGTCTAGGGGAGTTGGTTGGAGGGCAGGAGAGAGAAGGGGCACTGCAGAGCACTTGCGGAGGAAGCATTGAAGCGGTTGGACTAGTACGAAGAGGGGGGAATGGCAGTGAAATGAGGGGATGTAAATGGAGGGAGTCCACTAAGGGGGAGATGGGGGAAGAAGGGAGGGGGATTGAGGGTGAAAGAGAGAGTAAAGAGTTTTGGATAGCCATATGGGCTGAGAGACAGCTGGCATATGATAGCAACAGATAGAGAGTGTGGGCGGGGGGAGGTAGGGAAGGGCTGCAAGAAGCATGCAGGGCGTGGCACAGTGGGAGCGAGGAGGAGTGGTGGCACCAATGCAGTACCTTTCACCAGCATCAGTAAGTAAGCTGCCCCAACAGTACCTTCCTCGCTCGTTCCCCGTGCACATTCACTCCCACCCCCGCTCCAACCTCGCTCACCCACCCCTCCCCCTTCCCCACCTCCCCTCCCACCCCCCCCCTCTCTCTCCCCCCTTCCCGCTTACCCACTTTCCCATTCCATGCCCGCAACAAGTGACCCCGGGGGATACCCCGTGCGGCGGTGGTGCGAGTGGGGCATGATGGAGCAGAGCTGCGCTGTGCGTACTGCGCCTGCTCCACCAGATTGCGCACTGCCACTGCTGGGGCTGGCAGCCCGTGGGCGCTCGTTGCGCTCTCTACCCCCCCCGCATACTGGCGAGCGGAAAAGGCCTGACCGTGTTGCAAACACTGAAAGGGGAGGGTGTGGGGAAAGATCGACGCTGCAACACTTGAGAGCGCCATTGGCAGCCCGTGGGCGCTGGTGGCGCTCTCTACACCGCATGACACAGGTGAGCGGAAGAGACCGAAGCGTGTTGCAGACACTGGAAGAGAGGGGGTTAGGGTGTGGGGTGGGGAAAATAGAAAGGGTGAGAAGGGTGAGAGGGGGGAAGGGTGCGGGGAAAGAACTCTGGCAATTCAAACGGATAGCTGGTGGGATGATTGTGGGGAGGGGAGAAGGGCGGATGGGAGGGGAGGAAGGGGAACGCTACCTCGCTCACCCACCCTCACTGTGCCTCTGCTGATTACCCGCCTCTTCGCACCACTGCCAGTCACCCGCAACCCCCCCCCTCCCCCATTGCAACTCAACCGCGCCCCTCCCCTCTCCCCCTTTGCCACTCACCCGCCCTCACTGCGCCATCGCCCGCAGTGGTCACCAGCGGCGCCGTCCCCGCATCCGCCTCGCCCGCGCCCCCTGCAGCCGCTGCGCGCCAAGCCCTCCGCCTGCCGGGGGGAGCGCGCGCTGCGCTTGGCGGAGCGGCGCAGCAGTCGGTGCGGAAGGGGGAAGCGGCGGCTAGCGAGTGGGCGGAGGAGAGTAGGCCCGCGCGAGGCAAGGGTATTCTGGAAAAACTTCGGAGAGAGGGGTGGCGAAGGAGAGAAAGGAACGAGAATGGGGAGGGAAGGGCAAGAGTAGGTGATTCTGAAACGAGGAATGTATTCGCTCTTGTTCTGAAATGCTGTTCATATCGCAGCAGCGTATGCGGCCTACACCGCGTGTGTAGACGACCGTTCCAGCTTGCGACAAAGCGCGCATTGCTTGCGAAAACGCCGAGTGGCGACGACCCACCTATTACGTTCGCTCGTTACTGTAACGCTCGCCAAGGGGCGCGTTCCCGGGGGCAAGGCGGGGTGGACGCGGAGTGCCACGGGCCAGAGTCGCGCGGAACGCGGAACGCAGCGCGGAGAAGGAACACGCTCGGCGACAATCACTAGGGAAACCGCAATGGACTTCATTGCTCGTTTCGTCGGCGGCTGTCAATGCCCGGGCGGAAAAAATGCTGTTGGTGGCGACTATAGCACGCGCGACGCGGCTGCTGATGATGTCTACATGCGCTGAGAAGAATGGCGGAAATCCGATGACTAGTTTCGATCGGAATAAAATGAATAGTGGGGTTCGGGGGATGGGAGGGACTCTCGAGGGGAAAGATAATTGAACATGTTAAACGCACAAAAAGCACTCGCTGTATATCGAAGCAAAACAGTTGCCTCGCCAGCTAAAGGGGGAATGGGCTGCTGACACGTGCACAAGATACAGTCAAGAATCTGCGGAGAAAAGAACCAATCAAGCGAGTGAATCACGTCAGGCCCAGATACAGTTGAGAATACATTGAAAGGAGTTTCATATTCTCTCTGTAGGTGAGATGGGTCCGCCCTTTATCGGGTTATAGAGAAAGGCAAGTCACTCACAACAGCAGCAAAGCAGAGATTACTTGCTCGTAAGCGCTTGCACTTCATTCTGCTGCTCTCTCCTGAAATCCCGAGTCGCCTCTTCTCTCGCTCATCTCCCTCCCGTCTGGACCCGTTTTTTCTTCCGTGGCCCGCTTCGGAGTTCCGAATGCCGCACCTCCTTTGATTCGCTCCTTCTAAAATTCGCATTTTCTTCCCCCTTGAGGCCGTGTCGTGGCGTGCTTGTGCCCGTGCCTCGTCCCTGCCATCACCCCGCGTCATTCACCCTCGCGATGATACGACCATGCGACGCGAAGATGGGAGAGGAGGGGAATGGGATGAACGGATAGGAACGGGCTGGATTAGGCGCCGGGATTCGTGAGATTTCGAACCACCTTACTGACAGTTTCGTTAGCAGCTTAATAATACACCGCAATTAGACGAGAAAGTGCGCCGCAACGTTTCAAATACAAGGCGCTTGCGCCCACAGTACCGCAAATTTATCCGCCGCCGGACCCGGCAGAGAGAGTTGAGGCAAATCACTTCTTATAGCCACCGTACCCTTGTAACAATACAATTCCTCTCGCTCGCTTTTAGTGGTGCTTCAAGAATCGTACCGTCGTCGCCGTCTACTTGCATCGGCGCGCAATTTGTGCGTAATCCGCTCTTCCGCGCCATTCCGCCTTCCCGCCTCCGCCTCTTCTGCTCTCCGCCTGTCCGCCTCTCCGCCTTTCCGCCTCCCCCTCTCCGCCCGTGCGCCGTGCGCCATGGCGTTCCCAGAGCTGCTGTCGCGACAGGCGTCAATCTAATCGCTCACGCTCGACGACTTCCAGGCGACGTTCGCAGGCCCGTCGCACGCCATCGCACCCATGCCCATGGACGACATCCTGCGATCCGTCTGGCTCGCCAAGGAGTCGCACATGCTCGCCGCCGCGCACGCCGCCGGGCGCGCGGATCCGCGTGCGCGCGACTATTGGTGCAACCCTACGGTTTGCACTCGGCTTGTTGTCCGTGTGCGTGAATGTGTGTGTGTATGGAATGGTATGAGGGCATGGGATAATATATATTTCATGCTTATAATTGTGTGTGAATGTTGAGTCATGATGTCGAGTGTGTGTGTCGAGTCAATAGCGAGTTATCGCTAGACGCGTGTTACGCGGTCGTTTGTGTCTCGCGCGCGGTTTCTATTTTGTCGTGCGCGGTTTCTATTTTGTCCTGTGTCGAACGTTCGGCGTGTCGCAGGTGTGTGCAGCAGACCCATCAAGAACTCAAGGATGAGTTTGTGATGAAGAGCCCGAGCCTTGGTGTCAAGCCTCAAGTGATTTCGAAGCTCGCCAAAAGGGTACACCTCAAGATATTGAAGATAGTTACATTACTTTGTGTAGTGTAACATTTCACTTGGTGTAGGCCCTAGTGAAGGGTAGTTTCGAGACCCTTCGTGGTTGGGGACAGTGTGGCACTGTTCCACATCACTGTACCTCGGCTCTTGGGGTTTGTAGGAGCTGGGAGTCATTCCCAACTCGTAACTCTTCCTATCTTGTGTTCTAAGACTATAGTGGCTGCCATAGTACCGTTCGTTCAAACCGACGCTGTGTCGTCAGTTCTTTATCAAATCGTGCAATCTAAATTGATAATTGTAGACGACGTGAAGACGCTCCAGATCCAATTTGAATCAAGTCATTTGCAGCTATGAGCAGAACGCTATCAACGTTTGAAGCCGCTGTGCAGAAATCCGTCTGTGCTCTCTTTCGTTTTAGGCACATTCAAGCCTATTGTGACTATAACAAGTGGTATCAGAGCCCCTTGGAGCAGTTTCGACAATGTCTGGACCTGAGGAAAGGGGTGGCAGAGGTGCTGGTGGCAGTGGAGAAGCTCAAGCTCAAGGCCAACCCCGTGATTCAGCCATGGCGCCCATGCAACCAAGTCTTGGCCCACCTAGGGATGAGCCTAGGGTGTTTGGGCTTGACAAGTTCAACGGTGACAACTTTGCTGAATGGTCCTTCAAGATGGAGAACATCTTTGACCACTATGACCTGCTGGAGGTGATGGAAGGAACGGAGAAGCGCCCCGAGAACGACCCGGAGAAGAGCCCGTGGGTGCGGAAGAGCGCACAAGGCTATCTCTTACTTGGGCAAGCGTTGGGGAGCAGTCAGATCCATCACATCAAGCCATTCCAGCGTGAACCAGAGAAAGGACCAAAGGCATGGGCTGCTCTCAAGGGTGTACATGCTCCTGCAACAGCGGCGGTAGCGGTGGTGTTGGAACGGCAAATGGCGGCACTACGAATTGAAGAAGACGAAGCGGTTGAAGAAGGGGTGCAGAAATTCTTCGACTTGTTGACGCGGCTTGAGGGAGCTGATTTGAACTACAGTGAGCTCCAAAAGAAGACCAAGTTGCTGGCCTTACTCCCAGAGTCATGGTCCTCGCTCATCATCAACCTTAATCGCGACTTGCCCCGCCTCTCGCTTGAAGACGTGAAGCGAGCTATCCTTCAAGAGGATTTCCGCCGCCGTGAGTTGGCGAGTGCGGATGGCGCTGGGGCAGCGAGCATCGGCCGTGGATATGGTCGAGGAAGAGGCAGAGGACGAGGGGGAGGAAGGTTTGGAGGCAGCAACTTCGGCGGAGGCCGCAGGAGTGGCGGTTACGGCAGCGACGACAAGAGCTACGGACGCGGTCGCGGCCGATTCGACGGCGAGTGTCACTATTGCCACAAGAGCGGACACATGTGGCGCGACTGCTACAAACTCCCTGATGGTTGGACCCCTGCTCAAGGCCAAGAGGGTAGAGGAGCAGGAGGAGGGAGAGGACGAGGCCGTGGAGGCCGTGGCGGTCGCGGTGGCGGAGCTGCAAACATGAAGAGCGGAGACAACGACAAGGACCCGAGCGACGATCGATACCCGGGTCTATTCTACTTCGTGTCGACGCAAGTACCGGCTGGTCCAGAGAAGGATGAAGGCTTTGAGAAGCCAGCAGCTGTGGGGAAGGTGACCCTACACCCCCTGGACTATTGGGTGATTGATAGTGGCGCTACCTATAGCATGACACCTCGCCCGGACTTGCTCACCGAACTCGAGCCGTCACCGGTGAAGCATGTCACATCGGCTTTGGGGCAGCGAGCAGAGGTGAAAGGCATGGGCAAGGCCATGTTCAAGGGTGCTGATGGGAAGATGGTGGGCCTCAAGAACGTGCTTTGGGTGCCCAGCCTTGCTGCAAACCTGATTTCCGTGCGGCGGTTGGCAAAGGCCGGCATGGACACGAACTCGAAGGGAGCCAAGACCTACACCGCAAGGCTTGGCGATCGAATTCTTTGGGACCTTCATGAGGACAGGGATGTCTACAACGAGATGTGGCAGATCCCAGTGGTCCCTATGCCTAAGGAGAGGCAAGTGGCAGCAAGCATCAGCACCAAGGATGGAGCGGTCGGTAGCGACGATGGCGCGAACGGTCGCGCTAAGGAGAATGAGCTCAAGAAGAGCAAACCTGGAGGGACCAGCAAGTTCAGTGAACCTAAGGAGAGTGGCGCAGCAACCAAGGAGCAGCAAAAGGGTGAGGAGAACCCAGAGGCAGCAGCGGAGGAGGACTACGGAGAGAGTATGTGGGGCGCTATTGCGAGCGCGGCATTCTCCAATCCAACTTCGGCTACGGGGGAGTGTGATTGGCTCACCTTGCATCGGCGCATGGGGCATGTGGCCCTGCCCATCTTGCAGCAGCTAGTGAAGAATGAGATGGTTGCTGGCATACGTGTGAAGGGGGAGCCCGATGAGGTGTTTGGCTGCCCGACGTGCATTCAAGCCAAGTTCACCCGGTTTCCGTTCCCTAGTTCGGAGGCAACGGCAAAGGCACCGCTTGATGAGGTGGTGATGGACGTGGTGGGCCCCCTGAAGCTTGGAGCTGCTGGAGCTGAGTATTTTCTCACCATTGTCGACGTCTACACCCGCTTGACTTGGGTGTACGTGCTGGCCAAGAAGAGCGACGTGGCTGAAACGTTGAAGACGGATTGGTTCCCGATGGTGGAGCGGCAACAAGACCGTCTAGTCAAGTCAATCCGCACCGATCGAGGGGGAGAGTTCCTGAGCAAGGAGTTTGGGTTGTGGCTGAAGAAGAATGGTATTCGGCACTCCCTCACCATGCCATACTCCCCTGCAATGAACGGCATCGCCGAGCGAGCGAACCGCACAATCACGGAGGCGGCACGCGGGTTGCTCATTGAAGCCGGGCTACCCGACTATTTCTGGCCTGATGCGGTGCGGAGCGCGTGTGTGGCCAAGAACAGAGCCTTGACTCATGTGGGAGCAGACAAATGGGTGCCCTTTGTGGAGTGGCTAGGAAGGAAGCCAAAGGTGGATATGCTTCGGGTGTTCGAGTGCATGTGCATGGCGCTCGTGCCTAAGCATCTTCGGCACAACAAGCTTGGTGCCAAGGCGGTGTGGGCCGTGCACTTGGGCATGGCTCAAAACAGCAAGGGGTGGCTTCTTTGGGACCCATTCACCAAGAAGTTCTTGGTGAGCAGGGACTGCAAGTTCATGGAGAACTTCATGTACAAGGATTGGAAGGCGGAGAATGAGGCG